ATCCCCTCCGTTCGCTAGAAAAACAGTTTGCATATACATGGACGTCCGTATGATGTGAAGGAAAACAGGACTTATGGGATCAAGTGACCTTCAACTTCTATTAGGTCCAATTTTGAAGCTTACTGGCACTTTCAATCGTGGACAGAGGTCAACACCGGCACTCATACGCATCCCAGATGCAGCATCGATGAGTCTTGGGTACCTAACAACAGTTTTTGGTTTGTCCCATTTTAGTCTTCCCTTGGGTCAGTTTTCACTTCTGGAGCAACCCACAAGCCTTGCTTTTTCAGAGATAATTTGACCATCTCGACATAACAATCTGACCCTTGTCAAAGCAACTCAGATCTTATCTTAACCATATTGCAGGCTATTTGTCTTGCACCCAACATGCTGATTTTTATAAGTCACTGTATGCTACTTAAAATATTAATTTGCTGTTAGGAGATGATAATGGCGATGTGGTGACGCAGTAGATAGTGCTGTCGTCTCACAGCAAGAAGGTCGCTGGTTCGAGCCTCGGCTGGGTCAGTTGGCATTTCTGTGTGGAGTTTGCATGTTCTCCCTGCGTTTGCGTGGGTTTCCTCCGGGTGCTCCGGTTTCCCCCACAGTCCAAAACATGTGGTACAGGTGAATTGGGTAGGCTAAATTGTCTGAAGTGTACGAGTGTAAATGAGAATGCGGATGTTTCCCAGATATGGGTTGCAGCTGGCAGCTGGACCCCAGATTATTAAAGGGGCTAAGCCGACCCAAAAAAAAAAAAAAAAAAAATGAATGGATGAAATGATAATCACTGATAGTTGCTTCACCTGTGATTGGTCATAACTTATTGGCTCATCAGAATATATTATTAAAAAAATTAAGTAAAGATCGCAATTAAGTCCTTATTGAAAACATTGGTTTTAACATCAAGGTTTGGAACAGTGATTTTCAACCAGGTGTCTAAAACTTCCAAGGGGGCCATGAAATTGCTTACTAATTATTTAAAATAAGAAAAACAAGCTTTAAGATAAAGCAAAATATTTATTTGATTTATTTTAACAACTATCGTTTTAATTTAAAAGCACAAACAAGTCTTGAAAACCCTAATTTAAATTGAATGCTAGACCAGGACATTTCATGGAAAATAAAAATAAAAAGTCATAATTATTTTTAAATTAACATTTGTCTAGTAAAGTCAAACTCTAAAATATTTTATAGGCTAGAAATAGGTATTTGTGATTATATAGTGATGATAATAATCACACAATACATAATAACAATAATATACACAAGCAACTAGAAAAGCACATTTACTCATAATAAAACAAAAAAGTAAACCCTGAAAACATTCAGGATTTAAACATTTCAAATGAAATTAATTAGATATTCTGAAATTCCACTTGAATTTACTGTAAACTAATTAAATTTAGGTCATCATGATTGATGCTGCACAGAACAAATTCACCAAACATTTTCTCACACTGAACATCACATATTTCTTACCGTGAGGCTTTCCATCTTCAGATATGCTGGTGATATAGATATTTCAGCTGGCTCGTGTAAATGGCTCTCACATGTCAACTGTATTTCCAAAATCAGCTCCAAAAGCAAGTCAGTGAAGTAGTTTACGAGGCTCTAATCCTGAAGTGATGAAGACAGTAGTCATGAGAGTTCACCGGTTTACCTCCACACGGCTGAACGATTTCATTCTCAACAAACCAAATAACAGCTAGAATTCCCCACAGGACACCACCAATTAAATCGCAACAGTGACACTGTGTTACGTCTCATTAGAGTTCACTAAGGACTGAATTTCCATTCCTCCATCGGTGCACTTCCTCCTTTCAACACCTCTGTAAACATCAGACCACAACAATAAGGATGACCCAATGAAACCAGGTCAATGTGACGACGATTAAGGAAGGTTGTAATTAAACAGTACTGAATTATTACAACACAAATCTTTCTTTTCTTGTACACTTTTTCTTTCTTTGAAACGTAATTGCTTGACAACACTTAAAAAGTATATTTCCTCAAAAGAATTGAACTTTTATTCATAGAGGACACATTAAAAAGATCTAGTGACAGGAGCTACATTTATAGTAGGGCTGCACCAGTGGTGTAGTGTAGTCGGGGGGCTATACGCATGTATACTCTGTATGCCTACTTTTTTCCACGAGCCGTTTGGGTATTACAACTTCTGAGGATCAATAATTGCGTATACTATAATTGTTTTGCTGATTAAACTTCCCTAATTTATCTGTATTCATGTACCCTTTAAGTTTTTTTTAACCTTGCATCTTAATTTGCTGCAATTGGTGCATTTTTGTCAAAAGTTTTTCGAAGACGATCACAAGTCAACTATATGATGTCTCGGTGAAACATTCAAAATGATAAAACAGCATGGGCGTCGCTTTAGCCCCCTATTTTTCTATTCAGACCCCGTTAAACTTTTGCGATTAGCTCATGAACTGTACACTACTAAATTATCGACTCAGGCCTCTTTAAATTTGATAAGAAAATGGCAGCAGACTTCCACCACTTCGTTATCAACTCGTTTTTCCTTTAATCAGTAAACCACAGCTGCGCAGAGCCATGTTTATCGATAGTTATAATATCTGCATATTTACAGTTCTATGCTGTAGAAAAACACTATTTGCTAAGCATAAATCATTGAATAGGATAAGACTATTGGCATCTCTCTTTATAATGAACAAATTAGTTTAAATCTTTTTTCTTTATAAATAGATAGTTCACCTAAAAAATGAAAATTGTCATTATTTACTCAACATTTACTTGTTCCAACCTGTTTTCCCCCTTTTTTGTTGAACACAAAATAAGATATTTTGAAGAAAGCTGGAAACATGTATCCATTGACTTCCATAGTATTTGTTTTTCCTTCAGTGGAAGTCAATGATTACAGGTAACTTATGAAGAAAAAAAGCTAGTTTTGCCTAGTTTAAAAATTTGGGTTGGGTGGGTAATAGTTGTTATGATTATCACTGTATTGTATACTTACAGGCTGGGGTCGAGGTGTTTTTTTGTTTGTTTTCTTTTTGTAAGTTTATACATTTCAGAACATTAATCCTGGAATTTGTAATTACTGTAAGTCTATTCAATGACCAAATAAAATTCATTTCACAAAAAAATTATACATGACATTCCCATAGAAAGAATGTGTAATTAGTTAATATTACTCAGTAATTAAATGAATATTAACACTGTAACAAAGTGTAACCATTGGTTTAAATGATTATATAACTATAGACTGTGTTGCCAGTTTGTAAATTTATATTTTATTTTTACTTCATGGAGGCTGTTTTTTCAGACGTTTGCTTCCAGTTTTGGAGTTTAGAGAGTTTGGGAGAGGATCGGAAGTGTATCCTTGAAACTAAATTGCTCCTTTGTGTCGGGCCGGAGCCGCCGTACAGTCATGTTAGCCTGTGCTGTAGTAGATTTTGACCAAATTTGTAAGATTAATTTGACCTTTCTAAACAGCGTTACATAATCTGTTGAAAGTGGATACTTCGCATAAATAAAGTTTTGACAGAAAATAAATGCTTACAGGAATTTACTACAGTGTTTTGATTAGTGAAAAGATGATAGACTTCAGCCCCGGGGAGGATTTTTTATATCAGCTCAACGTGATGAAAGTTATGCGGATTCACCTGTTTAGATTTACTGTGATTTTTGCTGCTTTAAGGTTATGTTCAGGGTGAAACTGACTCTCAACCAAACACCATGTGTGGAGCATCATTGCTCTTGCTGCGAGTTTTTACAGTGGCCCCCAAAATAATTGTGTGAGGAAAAAATGTGAGAATTTAATTGCATTGAATAGCAACACTGTCAAACTGACAGAAATCAGACACCCGCTTCGAATGTTATCACTCGATTGAATGGGTGTTATTAGTGGGTTAACAGCTGATAGACATGGGTCAGTAGGGACCTTCTGTGTCTACTGGCTGTTATCATCAATCCACATAGTTAATCAACTATACTAATAGAAAGACTGCAGATCTGTTTTTACATCACTGTGATGGTTGCGTTTAGGGTTGGGGTAGGGGTATACGTTAATAAAATACAATTAATCAGAAATTAATAAATAATAAAAATTATTATTGTGGTTAGTCAGCTATACTGACAGAGTAGGCTCCAGATCCAGATCTGTTTTTACATTACTGTGACGATTGGGTTTAGGTTTGGGGTAGGTTATTCTGTCCCATATGTGACAGAAACAAATATGTCCCATATATGCCAGAAACATATGTCACATGTGTATGTCAGAAACATGTATGTCCCATATATGCCAGAAACATGTATGTCCCATATATGCCAGAAACATGTATGTCCCATATATGCCAGAAACATACGTCCGCCAACACAGTTAAAGTCAGAATTATTAGCCCCCTGAATTATTTCAATATTAATATTTTGAGTGAATGCCAGCCGTTACGTTTGGAGAAAACCAGGCACCGCTCATCACCAGGCTAATAACATCACTACAGTGAAGCATGGTGGTGGCAGGATCAATGGGACAGGGCCTGTCTCTAGCTTGTCCTTCTCAAAAAATGATACAAAAATAAGCCTAAAATCTTATAATTCGATGGTAGAATGCATCCTTGATCACTGTCAACTTCTCCTCCATCAAATGATGTCACTTACCTACATAACAGGAGTTATAGCCTTAAAAGTGTAATGCACGCATTTTAAAATAAATTTAATACAAATGTGACAGGACTGACCGAAACATGGGGACATTTTTAAAATAGTATTTATTTGTAGAATTTATTTTTAATTTAATGTTTTTAACCAATTGATGTGAATAATAACAACTTAAACTTGCTATTTCTGAAGTTTTCTTTCTTCTAAGAAAGAACAGAATAACAAAACTATTAAAGCTGTAGTTCAATTGAGGTGAGGGCAAGGACGATGACAGGGTTTGTACATTTTTAAATAAATCTGAGAACCAATTGAATGACATATTCCTTTACAAAACAGAAATCACAGAAATCAACCATCAATTCATTTCAGAATTTATTTAGCATGAAATACTTTTCATTCACTGTATTTACGTTTTTATTTCAAGGACAGATAATGTGCGTTTCTGGTATAATGTCCTTTGTTTGTGTGAGAAAAAAAGTGAGAAAATGACAGCAAAACTAAACAGAAACAAACTTTCTAAATTATATATTTTGCATACAGCTATGAAAAAATACGACAACATTAAATTTTTACATTTCTATGGATTTGTGATTTATTATAGAGAGTAAAACATAATTTATATATAAACATAATATTTTATATAAACCACTGATAACATTTCTTCTTTTTTTGCCTAAAATAATATCTAGTCTAGTCAAAATATTCAAAATGATGCTTGTATTAATTTTTAGACTATGCAATGCCAATTTAAAAAAAAAATGAAAAACATTCTGGTTATTTTGACCACCTAAATGACAATTTATTTAAAACTAGGGAAGAAACATTATTAGACCTTCATATAATAAATGTTTTTCCATAGCTAAAACAACTTGCACAGCAACTTGTATGTTACAAACAACCCATTATGGCCAATTGAAAAACAATGCTGAACATAGGCTGAATGGAAGATATGATAGCAAACATAACTACAGTCCAAAATATGTTTGCCACTCAAACACCTATTAAAGACCAATGACTACTAAAAATGTCAATAAAAAAGTCCTTTTAGGAAGCCGTGCAGATTCAAATGTCTACTCACAGACATTTTATGTAAGGTCTAGAAAATACCTGATTTCTATTTCCACTCCACTACTGCGGAAAAGGTTTCCGAGACCTCAATGCACTCCTCAGTTCAGCCAGACAGCGCTGGGCTCTCGGGTGTCTCCGCAGGTGCTGGCGTGCTGCTGGATGCGGTCTGGGGGGAATGAGATGGAGCAAAGAGGACATGCAACCATATGCTCATCTGCAGCTGAGCCAAAAACAGAAGAGCTCATGAGTCCCACGAGCCCTGATGGATCTGAATCCAGACAGGTGGAGGCATGAAAGGGGAGGTAATCTGGACTGAAAGATTCTGCATAGACAAAAAGCACCCGATAAGCTGATAAACAGTAAATTACAATGTAAAAATGAGCTGCAGGTCTGTCCACTGGTATAAAGTCCTGCGCAAATGTGCACGTGCATTATTGACATTACCTCCACAAAGAGGACAGCTGGTCTCAGGAGAGTCCTGTGCGTCTATTGGCTTCTGTCTGGCTTCTGCCTGGCTTCTAGGTAATTTTGGTGAGGTGGGATGATCATGTGTGGATCCTGTGGGTCTGGATCTTTTTAATGGAGTATCACTGTTTAAAAGGATCTGCCTGAACGAACATCATTAAAACAGAAATTACATTTAGAATAAGCACAGGACTCTAATACAATAAGGCTGTATTAGTTCATGTTAGCTAATGGATTTACTAACATGAACAAATAATGAATAATACATTTATTACAGTGTTGATAAATTTTGCCTAAAATTAGTTAAAGGAAATAAAGTTGCTTGTTGTTAGTTCATGTGCATCATCTAATGTTAACAACAAGCACACATTTGTATGTTAATGGTAAATTCTGAACGAGGATTCAAACAATTAAAAACCCGGCAACCTCCCGCTCTCCCTCAGGAAGCCAATACGGAAGTAACTAAAACTGCAATTCATCGACTCGCCTTTGGGGGCTGGCCCCAGGAAAACCAGATGTTTTCTGACTGCAATGGTAAATTGGCCAATTTTACAGCTGATAAAAACTTGTTTACAGCTAATATTACCCTTCATGACAACTGTGAGGGTTTGAATTTTTTTATGACTCATCCGTTGTGCTTATATTAAGTAATATTAAGTCTGCATAATTAAGGGCGCTGCCACTTGAGTGACAGCTAGGTCTCGCTGGTCGCCATCACTTCACCTCAGCTGATTCGGGCTGATTAGTCACTGAACTCAGCATATACATCATATTTTTGTTTTGTTTAATGTTTCTTTACACAGTCAATTGCCTTTTGGAATTATTTCTTGCAATTATCAGATATTATAGCCTGCTGTGTGCACTCAATTGTGCTCACAAACCATTCAAATCGCCTCCATTTCCCAGGTGAGTGAAATTATATGCTTACATAGTATATCTATAAATGTATATTTGTTTAACTTAAGATAATTGATCATTTATAATGTTCTTTAGAATTGCAATGCAGTTCAGAATCTGACAGATTGATTAGCTGTAGGCTCTAGAACAGTCATCTGAAACACTGTCATACAGATTTACGCCTAGATTTCATAAATAGCCTTGCATTTACTAACACAGACTTTATTTGAAGTGTTTGGAAGTAATTTGCATTTTCCTCCTGTTGAAAAGCATGATAAGCACAATGCTGAGTGGGTCAATGTATTACAACAGTGTTTTAAAAGTCTAAACACTTCAATGATACAGTATACAGCCAAGCACATGTGGTCAGAACACAATCGAGTCGCAGGTAAGGAGGTATTAAGCGCTCTGCCAAAGAAAACATATTGAAGCAAAATGTCAGCATGCACCTGTAGCTCCGCTCACGCACCGCCTCTTTGCCCTTGTTTGGTATCCCGTGGTCGGTGTGATGACGTGCGAACAAAATGGCGACGTTTGGCTGCGCCTACTTGTAGCTTCTTTTGCATTGTTCAGAAACCCATGGGTGACATCACGGATACTATGTCCATATCTTTTACATTCCATGCCTAAACCCCTTTGAACAAAACCAGGACCCCCTCTTCTCTCCCCCACCTCACCACACGTCATTCCCTAACTGAATGTGCCTCACGCAGGTTTGACAAACCACCTATAGAAACACTCTTTCTCTTTCCCAAAATAAATTATTGATTGAAACACCTCATCACATTCTTACACCCTATTCTCTGAGCACTAACAGTTCCTCTGTATAAGTAGCACTTCTTGCGTGTATTGATCTTGTTGAATTGTTGAATGCCTCCTCAACTGGAGGTCGCTTTGGACAAAAGTATCTGCTAAGTGACTAAATGTAAATTAATCATTTCAAATACATTATTAGTTCATGTTAGTAAAAACATCAGCTAACATTATCTAATGAATCCTTATTGTAAAGTGTGACAATGAAACAACTTTGAATTTTTTGACTTTTAAGACATTTTAGTTACACATTTTTAAATCACCATGATCTCAGTCCTTATGATTTTTGCACTAACATCTGGTATTTAATTTGCTTTAATAATAGCAGCATCCATGCTGCATATATTATACCTTTGTGCAAACCTGATGATAATATGCAGCATGATTTGACAAAGAATACTTTCCAAAGAATACTTTTTTGTCCTTCCTTCATATACCTACAATTAAACATGCAACAGCAATTTATATAGCACTGCATCCTTCTTATGGACATTTAAAAACTTTTGACTTTCCAACAATACTAATAATAAGATTGTAATATAATAATAATAAGACATATTATTGCTTATTAATAGTGGACACCTGAACATATCTGTATATACAGACATTTAGCTTTGTCAACACAGTAATGAATTACATTTTGAATTATATTCCAATGTGAAACAACCTGAAAATCCTCAGTTTCTCAGGATGTACTAGATTGACCAGGTGTGGGATTAAATAAAATGTTATATGTTCATTCATTCATTTTCTTTTCGGCTTAGTCCCTTTATTCATCAGGGGTTGCCACAGCGCAATGAACTGCCAACTTATCCAGCATATGTTTTACGCAGTGAATTCCCTTCTAGCCACAACTCAACACTGGAAAACATACACTCTTGCATTCACACACATACACTACGGCCTATTTAGTTTATTCAATTCACCTATAGCGCATGTCTATGAACTTAGGGGGGAAGTCAGAACCCATGGAAAAAACCCACACGAACATGGGGAGAAAATGCAAACTCCAAGAGAAATGCCAAACTAACCCAGCTGGAGTTCAAACCAGTGACCTTCTTGCTGTGAGGCGACAGCGATACCCACTGTGCTGCCCAGTGCTGTATAGTACTGTTCATTATTAGTTCATGTTATTAAATACATTAACTAACATTATCTAATGAATCCTTATTGTAAAGTGTGACCAAGTAATTTGCTTTTTTTTTTTTTTTACATTCAAGACATTTTAGTTACACATTTTTAAATCACCATATTATTATTAATAATATCCGACATTTCTTTTGCTTTAATAACGGCTGCATCCATGCTGCATATATTATACCTTTGTGCAAACCTGATAATAATGTGCAGCATAATTTGTCAATAAATATTCTACTGCAAATTATACAGCACTGCGTCCATCTTAACCCTTTAACAGGCATCATAACCACCTGGATGACACTTTATCCATAGGTTAGCATTATTATTTTAATTGCTTATTACAGTACTATTTATGAGAGTTGTGTCAGTATATTATTCAATTCAAGACGTGTTTTTTTTTCAAGGAGTGTACTTTAAAGGGTTAAGGGCATTTAATAAGTTTTGACTTTCCAGTGCATTAAATTATGTTTAATTTAAAATAAAAACTTGTTTGATAATAATGCATACCTGAACGTATCTGAATGTAAAGTCTTTAGCTTTGTCAACACAGTAATTAAATTACATTTTAAAATATATTCAAATTAGAAACAGCTTAAAAATACTCCAGGTGGGAGATTGAGAAAATGTTAATATTTGTCATATTGAAAACATGGCTCCTTTTCCGTTATTCTGAACAATTGTCAATTTTATGAAATTTTCTATTCATAAGAAATGCCATGGGGCAGCACAGTGGCGCAGTGGGTAGCACAATCGCCTCACAGCTAGAAGGTTGCTGGTTAGAACGCCGACTGGGTCAGTTGCCATCTCTGTGTGGAGTTTGCATGTTCACCCCGTGTTCGCGTGGGTTTCCTCCGGATGCTCCGGTTTCCCCCACATGTCCAAAAACATGTGATATAGGTGAATTGGGCAAGCTAAATTGTCCATAGTGTATGAGTGTGAATGAGTGTGTATGGATGTTTCCCAGTAATGGGTTGCAGCTGGAAGGGCATCCGCTGCGTAAAACATTTGCTGGATAAGTTGGCGGTTCCTTCCACTGTGGCGAACCTAGATTAATAAGGGGACTAAGCCGAAAAGAAAATGAATGAAGAAAGGCCATCAGTAGTTTACAGATCAAAACATGTAACTTTATATTGCAAATCCAGATTTAATGAGAATTTTTAAGTGGCCTCTTAAATTTTTCCATAGCAGTAAAAGTTAAAGGAAAAAAAAAACATGAATCTAAATCAAAACAAAACTCTGCAGATCTATGCAATTAATTCTTTTTGTTTCATTCATACCGTGCCTTAGGCTTCCTCCTTTGCTCTTGAGGGGTCTTAACCAGTTCACCAGACGTCCTAAACCCCCCTGATTGAATGAAGACAGAAACAACATTTGTATGATCTGCTGAAAGCGTTCACTGTCTTTGCTCTGGCTGATTTGTAGTGGAATAATAACTCACCTGGTGGGCTTTTGGAGTTATCTTCTCTCTGAGGGGTTGTGCTGGACGCAGTGCTGCATGGAGAAGTTGACAATGAGCGTCTCTTTAACTGAGCAGCTTTGACCATTCGCTCGGCCCGACTCAAACTCCCAGCATTCCTCTGGGCTTCTGAGGAGCCGTCCCTATCAGAGAGTACCAGAGGGGTTATTTCATGCAGCCACTAATCTACTTTTGGCGTTTAACTTAAATTCTATTACACACCCTGTGATTCGCCCAAAAAACGTGTTTTGGACAGCGGGACTGGAAAGCCACTCCATCACGGATGACATTTTTTCTGGTGTACGCTGTGAACACAATCCACATTAATTCAACCAAACGGTGATGGTTGCTGTTCATTTAAATTACATTTAGCAGACACTTTTGTCCAAAGCGACTTATAATTGAGGATGAACTCAGCAATTTAACATAAAGAATTCATTATTGAATTGAATTAAAAGAGAGAGCAAGAGAGTGTTTCTACAGGTGGTTTGTCAAGCCCACTCACTTGCTGTTACCTCAATAGTAACAGGTTTCCTACTCAAAGCCAAATGTCAAATTCCCTGACATTACCCTCACTTTAAGTGACTTAAAAGCTACATTTTAACACCTATAATGCATAAAAAACCAAGCAGCTGTTGTGTTAAGCAATTCCACCAAAATTTTGTGATTATGTGATCGTTAAATTTAACACAAAATAATGGAAATGGCGCAAAATGAAAACATGCTTGCCTTTTTTTTTTAATCACAAAAAAGTACCTTCAGATTTTTTTCAGATATGTATGGATTTTATCATGTGTATTTGTATGGATGGACTGTATCATGTGTATATGTATAAATGGAATGTATCATGTGTATATGTATGAATGGATTGTATCATGTGTATATGTATGTATGGAGTGTATCATGTGTATATGTATGGATTGTATCATGTGTATATGTATGAATGGATTGTATCATGTGTATATGTATGAATGGAATGTATCATGTGTATATGGATGGACAGTATCATGTGTATATGTATGTATGGATTGTATCATGTGTATATGTATGGATTGTATCATGTGTATATGTATGAATGGAATGTATCATGTGTATATGTATGGATTGTATCATGTGTATATGTATGAATGGATTGTATCATGTGTATATGTATGAATGGAATGTATCATGTGTATATGTATGGATTGTATCATGTGTATATGTATGAATGGATTGTATCATGTGTATATGTATGAATGGAATGTATCATGTGTATATGTATGAATGGATTGTATCATGTGTATATGTATGAATGGAATGTATCATGTGTATATGGATGGACAGTATCATGTGTATATGTATGTATGGATTGTATCATGTGTATATGTATGGATTGTATCATGTGTATATGTATGAATGGAATGTATCATGTGTATATGTATGGATTGTATCATGTGTATATGTATGAATGGATTGTATCATGTGTATATGTATGAATGGAATGTATCATGTGTATATGTATGGATTGTATCATGTGTATATGTATGAATGGATTGTATCATGTGTATATGTATGAATGGAATGTATCATGTGTATATGGATGGACAGTATCATGTGTATATGTATGTATGGATTGTATCATGTGTATATGTATGAATGGATTGTATCATGTGTATATGTATGAATGGAATGTATCATGTGTATATGTATGGATTGTATCATGTGTATATGTATGAATGGATTGTATCATGTGTATATGTATGAATGGATTGTATCATGTGTATATGTATGAATGGATTGTATCATGTGTATATGTATGAATGGATTGTATCATGTGTATATGTATGAATGGAATGTATCATGTGTATATGGATGGACAGTATCATGTGTATATGTATGAATGGATTGTATCATGTGTATATGTATAGATGGACTGTATCATGTGCATATGTATGAATGGAATGTTTCATGTGTATATGGATGGATGGACTGTATCATGTGTATATGTATGGATGGACTGTATCATGTGTATATGTATGAATGGAATGTATCGTGTATATGTATGAATGGATTGTATCATGTGTATATGTATGGATGGACTGTATCATGTGTATGTGTATGAATGGATTGTATCATGTGTATATGTATGGATGGACTGTATCATGTGTATGTGTATGAATGGATTGTATCATGTGTTTATGTATGTATGGACTGTATCATGTGTATATGTATGAATGGATTGTATCATGTGTATTTGTATGTATGGAGTGTATCATGTGTATATGTATGAATGGAATGTTTCATGTGTATATGTATGTATGGATTGTATCGTGTATAAGGATGGATAGTATCATGTGTATATGTATGAATGGAATGTATCATGTGTATATGTAAGGATTGTATCATGTTTATATGCATGAATGGATTGTATCATGTGTATATGTATGTATGGATTGTATCATGTGTATATGTATGAATGGATTGTATCATGTGTATATGTATGGATTGTATCATGTGTATATGTATGAATGGATTGTATCGTGTATATGTACGAATGGATGGTATCATGTGTATATGTATGAATGGAATGTTTCATGTGTATATGGATGGATGGACTGCAGTGTTGGGAGTAATGCGTTACAAAAGTAATGTATTACAGTAATGTATTACATTTTCCTGTAACGCAGTAGTGTAAGGCATTACTAATACATTTTCAGTAATATTTTACTCGGTACATGTTCAGTAACGCGTGCGTTACAACACACTTTTCGGCCGCAAGACATTAACAAATAAAAAATACCGCAGTTCTATTTCCTGTTCGTGGCTAGAGAATATGCGCGTGCTGTCATTAATCTCCCTCTGGCTATGGGACCTTTTTACTTTGAACGCGGAATGATTTCAGCTTCTGAGCTCAAGGTCCGGGGCTATTGGCTCAGCCCGGTTCGCAGTACGCACAGTATGAAAGTAAATCAGTTGCGAAACTCGAGAGCTTGCAAATGTAAATGTGAGCACTTGTGATAATAATATTTGTATGTGTAGGTTGAAATGTACACTTACAGCTCTGATGTGAACAGCTGAAATCCTCGATTTGCACACACACACAACAATCCACACACTTGTGTTTTAAATTCGAAGTTGCAGATTAATAGTTGTGTATTTGTAAAATGTCATTCACAAATACGAAGTGACAGACACACGTGTGCACGGCAAATTTGACTGCATCTTCGCTCTACAACCACAGGTCGGCACTCACAACCTCTCAGATTCGTCAGTACAACTACAAATCTCCCGCGCTCTGACTTTTGCTACACATCTCCCGCGATCTCTGTAGCAGAACTCATCTGTGCACTCGCAGATGCAGAGGCGTGAGCAGCGCTGGGCAGGGGAGGGGCGGGGCTGGTGTAAAGCTGTTTGATTGGCTGATGCCTGACCAATGAACAATGCCAGCAGCCAACAGGACTGAGGTGCAAAATAATCATTTCCCACGATTATTTTATTATTTAGGGTTTATTTAAACTCTTTTCTGAAGAGATTCTTGTTAAAAATAATAAATTCTGTGGAAATGTACATACCAGTAAAAGAGCAGCAAAGCCAGTTTATTGGCTAGAGCCAGCCAATGAGATGGGGCGTTTCTGTTTGTCAGGACACAGGGCAGCTCACGTTGTTGGAGGCCTCGAGCAATCAGAGGGTAAGTTATGATTTTTAATAATTATCTATATGTTCAATACTGTTAGCTAAGCTAAGGACTGTGCTGGGTGCTTCTCTTGTTTGTTTTTTTATATAAGAAACAGTTATGAGTTATCTAGGAGCTGCTTTCAATCATGTTATATGGTTCTAAAGATACGATTCAACCCACATGAAATAAGAAGTTGTAATAGTATTTATAGTAAATAATAGTACGTTTTTTAACCATACTAACTATAGTAAACTGTATTATACAGTATATATTGCAGTATCTACAACTTTGTTAATGAATGCAACAGCACACTGTAGTATTAACTAGCATGAACTTTAATAAATTGAAGTATACTTGTATGTATGTGAGTATATATATATATATATATATATATATATATATATATATATATATATATATATATATATATATAGCTTAAATTTGAAAAAATTGAAATATAGCTATCTGTTTAAAACTAAACATTCTAATGCCATTTATTATGCAAATATCAAGTTGAAACAAATCTGTTAAGAACACATATTTATATGTAAAACCTAATACATTTTAAAGCAGTTTCATTTCTTTCTAATTTTTACATCTACATGCATTACATCTGATTTAGGTCCACAACTTGCATCCTTCAACATGATATGTGTGTTCAAAGGAAGAGCAACTAGGTGAGGGAGACAGTGTCCATCACTCGGCTGAGGGTCCACTTTGAGCATCTCATCTGCAGGGTTAAGCAACATAAGCTGAACAGTCATCATCTCTCTCTATTACAGCGAGCATCAACCAGCTTTACACAATGGCTTGCTTTCTGACCATTAGTTAAGGCTTGAGCAAAGTATTAAAGAGGAGATAACATTTGATGGGTAATGATGAAGTTGGATTTACCACCTCCATCTCATTATGAACAAGGAAAAACCCTGAAATATTTCAATACAAGTAACTAGACATTTGCACTGCACTTATTTGGACTGTAAATTTTATTTGACAAATTACATTCCCTTACAGAACAGGTGTCAAACTCAGTTCCTGGAGGGCTGCAGCTTTGCAAAGTTTAGTTCTAACCCTAATAAAACACACCTGATCAAACTAATTGAGTCCTTCAGGTTTGTTTGAAACTTTCACTTAAGTGTGTTGAAGCAGGGTTGCAACTAAAAACGTGCAGGGTTACGGCCCTTCAGGAACTGAGTTTGACACCCCTGCCTTACAGTAAAGTGTAAAAATACTACATTAAACAATTATCAAAATAAAAGTTGTGTTTGTGGGTGAGTGTGTGTTTTGTTCAAATCTGTAGTCATCTTGGCAAGAAAAAAGAGAAAATTAAGTCGGCTTCCTCTTGAATGATCTGAATCATTTTGAAGTGTTTGTAGATGAGCTGGATCATCATGTCATCTTTAGCATAAATGACATCCTATTCAAGCTATGCAGCTTCTCTGAGTTCCTCATCGACTTGAAACATGCTGATCTCTCCTGTCACTCCATCCTTACAGGAAACTGAGAAATAACCTATAGTTAGTAACGTTCATAATTAAAAAAGTGATATAAAGGACACACTGTACACAAACATGTAAATAGATAGATGGATAGATAGATATGATGCAGGTTATAATAACAAAAACCGGTATGATCTGTAAGAAACTGAAACGCCTAGTGTTATTTTTAATTGCTATTAATGTGTGTGTGTGTGTGTGTGTGTGTGTGTGTGTGTGTGTGTGTGTGTGTGTGTGTGTGTAAATATACTTCAATTTATTAAAGTTCATGCTAGTTAATACTACAGTGTGCTGTTGCATTCATTAACAAAGTTGTAGATACTGCAATATATACTGTATAATACAGTTTACTATAGTTAGTATGGTTAAAAAACGTACTATTATTTACTATAAATACTATTACAACTTCTTATTTCATGTGGGTTGAATCGTATCTTTAGAACCATATAACATGATTGAAAGCAGCTCCTAGATAACTCATAACTGTTTCTTATATAAAAAAACAAACAAGAGAAGCACCCAGCACAGTCCTTAGCTTAGCTAACAGTATTGAACATATAGATAATTATTAAAAATCATAACTTACCCTCTGATTGCTCGAGGCCTCCAACAACGTGAGCTGCCCTGTGTCCTGACAAACAGAAACGCCCCATCTCATTGGCTGGCTCTAGCCAATAAACTGGCTTTGCTGCTCTTTTACTGGTATGTACATTTCCACAGAATTTATTATTTTTAACAAGAATCTCTTCAGAAAAGAGTTTAAATAAACCCTAAATAATAAAATAATCGTGGGAAATGATTATTTTGCACCTCAGTCCTGTTGGCTGCTGGCATTGTTCATTGGTCAGGCATCAGCCAATCAAACAGCTTTACACCAGCCCCGCCCCTCCCCTGCCCAGCGCTGCTCACGCCTCTGCATCTGCGAGTGCACAGATGAGTTCTGCTACAGAGATCGCGGGAGATGTGTAGCAAAAGTCAGAGCGCGGGAGATTTGTAGTTGTACTGACGAATCTGAGAGGTTGTGAGTGCCGACCTGTGGTTGTAGAGCGAAGATGCAGTCAAATTTGCCGTGCACACGTGTGTCTGTCACTTTGTATTTGTGAATGACATTTTACAAGTACACAACTATTAATCTGCAACTTTGAATTTAAAACATAAGTGTGTGGATTGTTGTGTGTGTGTGCAAATCGAGGATTTCAGCTGTTCACATCAGAGCTGTAAGTGTTCATTTCAACCTACACATACAAATATTATTATCACAAGTGCTCACATTTACATTTGCAAGCTCTCGAGTTTCGCAACTGATTTACTTTCATACACAGCGGAAAATAGATGAAAATGGCATAAGACAGTGCATTCGCGAGACGGACGTAAGTGCATATGGCGTTATTTCACTGACAAATGTCGTAAGCTCATTCATGTAATACGAGCGAGTGAACGTGCCGGTTTCCTCTGTGGACAAAACTCCTCGCGTTAACTCAACACTGGCTGAGCTGCTCACGTGCTAACGACCTGCTCTCGCTCCGTCAGATGATGCAGACTCACAATCTATGCCTTGTGTTTCCTCTTTCTTTCGTTCTGTTGCTCTCCAGAGATCCTCCTATTTAATTGTTATCCCAAGAATTTTTATATGGTTTATATATTGCTACACTATTTACTTACAGGTTAAGATAAATTCTATAATAAATACCAGTGTTTTTGAGTGTAAGGTATACTGCCTATGTTTTAGGCTAGCATTTACAATGAATGCTTAACCATACTGTCGTATTAAGAATAGTGAACTCATAAAATGAAATATAAAGTGTAGTTTTACTACAGTAAAGTGTGGTGAATTGTAGTACAATCAACCCCATATTGTAAAAAAAAACTACAGCACTGGATCATTGTTATATTACACTTGTTGTGTTACCATAGCAACTATAGTATTACCACAACAGAGTAATTAAAGTACTTAATGACAACATGTGTGTTCAGGGGCCCTGTGGAACAGCTTCTTCTCAAAATGAAGATGATGGCAGAGAAAATGTCCTCCACAATCAATAATGTGGAAGACAACAGACACTAGTTCACTTTATTTTAGTTGCCATAAAAAATGATATTGATAATGAGATTTATTTGAAAAGTGAATAGTACAGTAGGCTATAATACCTTATCAAGTGTTTCTATTAGTTACATTTCTGCTTGCATTAGTTTTTATTTTTGGCTAAATGCTTTTTATTTAAAATATCTCATCATATAACATACAGCCAACAATGTTAGGGTTTATTAGATTAAAAATTATAAGTCTATTTTAGCATTTTGGTTATTGTTAATAAATAGTGTACTAAAATAATTAATATCAAAAAGCTTGAAAGGAAGAGGGAACACAAGACACAAATTGTGAGTTTGCATATAATCTCACTGAGAGAGCAGTGCACTGAGAGCAAGAAAACTTGTGCGTGAGCAGTGCATATTTGAGAGATCGTGAGAATTTGTGCGCAATAAGCGTATGTGAGAGCTCGCAAGCAGTTTTGTCCACAAACAGGAAATCGATGAACAAACATTATACTGAGAAAGCTGTTCATCATGCTCACTTTGTGCAGGACGGTTTTGTGTTGTGAACCACTTGAATGTAAAGTAAATACAATAATGGCAACAATAAGAAAAGGAACAAAATCTGCATTTTGTCATGGCATTGGAGTTTACATATCGGCCTGTTGTGTTAAATATTAATATAGAAAGCCATTCACAGATATTGCTAAATAATCACTTTATTTCTACCATACTTTTAACAGATCATTTGTAATTCTGGCTGTCATTCTTTCTTGCATTGTCTTGAGCCATCACATTGCCAATTATATACTATAGTGTTAGTATCCTGGAGAGGTTACAGTCATTCTGCTACATCAAATTACTTTCTACTGGATGTAAAATGCTCATTATAGAACATTATAGAATTTTATAATGTTAAGTTTTATTTCTGTAGTTATTTTGGTGAAAGTAACTAAAAAGTAATATAAGAGTAATGTAACATATTACAATTCTGAGACAGTAATATTGTAAGGTAAGGGATTACATTTAAATAACAGTAATAAGTAATTTGTAATGTATTACAGTTTGGAAGTAACTTGCACAACACTGATGGACTGTATCATGTGTATATGTATGGATGGACTGTATCATGTGTATATGTATTAGCGCTTGCACGACTACTGGTTTCTGCAAATCGATTTCTTTTCAAAACAATACTGGAGTTACTCGACTACCCTAAAGCATGTAGCGGGCTTGTGTTAAAGCGCTTCACCTCTGATGTTATTCGTTCCTCTTGTTTATGCTGTAGATATCTGACCAACAAAATATACATCAAAGTTAAGTTACACATTATACAAAAGGAAATTCGTTTAAAAAAGATACATTTTAAAGGAAATATGTTTATATTTATTTAAGCCTTTAGATATATAAAGGCTGGCTCTTTTACCGTCGATGAGGGACAATAGTGGTATTACAGATTTCAAAACAAATATTTTAATATTAAAAAGGAAACATAAGCTTGACACCAAAAGATCTTATTATTGTCTTAACAAATACCCTTAAATGATGCAGGCTGTAGTTTACAGCAAGCATCAAGTGTTCATTGAGATGTGATTGAGATTGTGTCGTCTGTAATATCTTTCGTCTGTCTTTTCGGGGGGGTTTTCTCATAAGGCGCAGCTTTTGAAAATGATGACATCAGTATCTGCTGGGTAGCTGCGCTGGTTTGCCAACAATTGTTTATGTCTGTAATTTCTTAGCATCTTTATAAGGGTGGTCTTGTTTTACATGGTAAAACAGGTCGTGGTGTTGCCTGCTTTTGATGACACGCGTCGTCAAAGCAGTTTGCGGTGCACGTTGCTCGGTTTTGTGTCGGATAGCGAAAAAGTAGCTCATGAAGTCTAGTGACGTTTCTTGTCAACAATGTCTGTGACTCTGACCTTTTTTACCTTATTTCTTTCTTACTCCTTTCAGTGCAACTAACACAGTATGGCTGTAAACTTGTACGGCATGCAGCAGTCTGAAGGACAGGCTGCAAAATGCTTGCGCAATGTTACGCATAGTGCGTAAATATCAGAGCAATCATTATCGCTTTATCGAAAAATTTTATATCGTGATAATTACCGATATCGAATTACCGCCCAGCCCTAAGGAGAAGTGAAATGTAAAATGAGAAATAAAACTCTCTGAAATCAAATGACTTGGACCAAAAAAGTAAAATAAATTAAATTCCCTGACTTTCTGAATATCGGCACATGTAGTTAATTGTATGTGACAGATAAAGCAGCATCAATCGCTCACCAGATTTTCAGGAGTATCTTCTTGTTGCTCTGATGAATCTTCAGTGTCATCTTCTACGGTGCGGATGCGCAGAAAGGACAGACCAAACTGTGCGTGTTTATTGAAAGGCTGAGTGCAGGTGACTCGCAGTCTGTCCCAGCTCTCCTCAGCAGCCCGAGAAAGAAAATCAGCTGGACACAAAGACAACGAAGACAACTTGATTAAATCTCATGCACTTGCATATGGAGTTCTCACACACACACACACACACACACACACACACACACACACACACACACACACACACACACACACACTCACACACACACACACACACACTCACACTCACACTCACACTCACACTCACACTCACACACACACTCACACACACACTCACACACACACTCACACACACACTCACACACTCACACACACAAATACATACACACACACACACACAAATACACAAATACACACACACACACACACACACACACACACAAATACACACAAACACACACACACACACAAAAACCCTCTGGTGATCATTTTACAACAAACCATTTTATGGCTTGTAATGTTATCGGTTTGTCACTTTTTAATTGTGTTCTGCACACCAAATTGTTGCAGACATAAAAAAACAGTAAAATAGTCGCACTTGTGAAGCTCACTACTACCCTAAATGAATGGAAAATAAAGTATGAATGGAAAAAATACAAAAATAATGCCTATTTGAAATAAAAAGCTTGTTGAATGTTGAATAGCAGTAACAGAAAAAAACAATGCACTGAATAAATAAATGTGTAAGAAATGAGTCAGCCTCGACCCAACTTCCACTCTAAATGGTGAATTGATGCTCATTATTACTTATGATGACGTCAGTTTCAAGTCTGCCTAGATCAACAAGTGTGACCCACGCACCCATTCTGCTGTGACAATGCTTGTGACATCACTCTCTGATTATAATGACATTATTAGTAAAATGACACAATTTTACAAAAATATTGCAAATTCAGAGGCAAATGAAAGATGTGAGACATCCTGTTGCTGCCTTTGCAAGAAGAGAATATTCGAGTTCATCCAATGGTTTCCATCACAAAGCATGAAATTTACAAGTGTGAACGCAGAGGGTGTAGTTCTTTGTTATGCATGTGGAAAACCTGGTCACGTTGTGAGGAATTACCAGAACAGTGCGAAATCTCAAAGCATTGTTTGTCATGCATGTGGAAAAAAAGGCCACATAGAAAGACATTCTTTAGAGAAAATGAGGAAAGACCAGGAAGTTGTTTGTTTCAGATGTGGAATTATGGGACACAAGGCAATCCAGTGTCATTTTTCAGTGAAAAGAAAAACAAGTTATAAAGATCTACATAAGCAAATAGCCAGGCTAGAAAACCAACTGGAAGGATTGAAAGGAATGAAGGAAGGACCCATTCACACCTTTTAGACACATCACTGTGTGAAAATGACTGTAACTAAGGCCCCGTTTACACTAGTGCGTTTTAATTTTAAAAACGACGATTTAGAATGAAAACAATCCACGTCCACACTAGCGTTTTACCCAGCGTTTCTGATCAGCTCTCCGTCCACATTAAAACGGAGAAAACGCACATCACGTGACTACACACACACTCTGACATGCGCTGAAGCGTGCTTTAAGCAGTGCATGTTGGACTGTTCATCAAGGATCTCCTGCTGGATCTAATCTCACTATATTTGTTAAACGTGATATTTAATTCATCTTGTTGTCTATATGTAACAACATATTCCCCAACTTTGGTCTTTTGAATACTTGTTCTCAAGGAAATGTGTTTTGGTTAATGTTAAGTTAATATATTAATTAATGTAATCGCGGAGAACGATTCTACACAATTGACTGATTGCTTGCCTTTTTTTCTCTATTGTACAAAATCATTGTACGTTATAGTTTTATAATGGCCATTATTGATTATTAAAACTAATATTTAGTGAAAGAGAGGGTATGTTTGTATTTTCAATGAAAACGAAAGGAGGCACACTTGGATTAAAGATGTCCACACTGAGAAAGTGTAAATACAATGTGTTTGAAAAAGAAATTTTTTACACACAAATGTTTGTTGTGTAGTGAGTGCACATATGTTATCTAGTGGATACAAATGTGGTGTAGTTAATGTGAATGTTTAATGTTTCTTATGCTTGATTTTAATGTGGATTCTAATGAGGATGTCAACACTAAGTAGACACAGAGTGAAAAAAAAAATAAAAAATGCCTGCACACATAAAAGCTTGTTGTGTGGTGAATGTACATGTGGTGTAGTTAATACAATGTTTAATGTTTTTATTGTGTGATTTTTTTAATGTGGATTTAATTTGAGTTTTATTATAATAATTTATAATTTGGATCTCCACACTGATGAAATAGTGAGTGAAAAAAAGAACAACGTTTGCATTAAATGGAGAATACTTTGCAATAGTTGTATGTATAAAAAAAAAAAGTGTACATGCTGAGAAAATGAACGAGAAGAAACAATGCTTGCATACAAGCATGCAGACACACACACACACACCCACACACACAATTTTCTCTATTGATTGATGTTTTTGCTCCTTTGGCTTTTGGCTGTAGTACTAGTACATTAGAACATTAGATGTCATGGTTCTCATGTGCTCCTGTCCTAAACCCAAGAAATTGTTTATATCTTATAGTTCCAAATTTGAAGAAGAGACTATGACAACTAGCCTAATTGGATGGAGCAATAACCAGTGTGCATGAGGTGATGACCATCATGCAACATTGGTCTTGTCTCTGCATCGTTTGAAGTGATTACATCTCGACCAAATGGTAACCATTGTAGAATGGGGATGGGTATGGTGCACAGAGAACCATCTCATCAATGGTGTTGAAACTACAGTAACATGGAGAGATAGAGAGAACAGCTGGGTCAACAGCCAAGGAGCAACATCATTAACATCTGAAGGCAACATCAAAAACAGTATAAAGGTTTGAGTTTAAGAATGTTCAGGGTTCATTCTGACTCTGGTGAACCCAAGGTACTGCCATGTATTTTGAGACTGCTATGCTGAATAAACATCTTCATTGAGCTTTTCTTCATCATTTTTTTCTTACAAATGCTTGCATTTTAATTATACATCATATTTTTAAACAGAACTGAATATCTTGGAAGTAAATTCTGGAAGGTGAATATGAAGTACTAAATTTAGGTAGGACGATGTGAGTGAAATATTTTTAGTTTCAATATTCACTGTTTATATAAACAGCCATGTTACATTGCAGGACAAAAAAAATGCAAACCCTGGCGATTCAAGTCACTAAAATGCAAGCAATTGTTAATTCAATGCATTATTGTTTTCAGTTATTTCTATTCGACAAGCTGTTTATTTCAAATACTTTAGGCACTAGTTTGATCCATACATTGTGACTGTCATTTGAATTTAAAAAGCATTTATGAACACTAATTCACTAGAACATTTTGACATACATGTTTTGATTTGTTTTTTTTTTTTTTTACATCATTTACATATTGCGAACTTATTTAAAAAAATAATAACATTTTTAAAAAGTATTTTGGGGCCACCTATAATACTGCTCAATTAAACAAAATTGCAGTGTCATTAGTTCAATCAATAGTTCATATATTGTGTGAAATTATTAAATTGAAATTTTTTAACATGAATAAATATTTGAAGTTTTGAAGACAGTTACAAAAATATGTTTACGAGGGCAACTTAAAATACGGAACTAGTAAATTATGAATAAGTAATACTATTAGAAATGTTTGCTGTCAGTGCCAATAGCCTTGTGGTTAGTTCATCGACACATAGCACCGAGGTGCTTGCGGCGACCCGAATTCGATTCCCGGCTCGAGCTCCTTTGTCGATCTTTCCCCCATCTCTGCTCCCTACACTTTCCTGTCAGTACATCTCCACTGTCTAATCAATAAAGGTGAAAACACCCCAAAAAATAATTATTAAAAAAATGTTTGCTACTAATTCTTAACAGTATTTCACGTTGAAAAAAAAGTTAATTTTTTTAGGTATTAGATACTGCATAGTACACAAAATCTGCTTCAAAAATAAAACATTAATACTAAACAATGTTGATTTTTTTTTTTTATCTCATTAATAATGTGTTACACACACTGTCCTTCATCTGTCTTGACCCCCAGGAATCATAAGCATGACAACTCAGTGAGGTTGACTTTTTTTAGCAGAAGTGGAGGATTTATATGCATACCTTTTTTAAACATGCGCACATTTTGGCGTCCCGTGCCCTGTTTGGAGTCGGCTGGACTCATGAGTGTTGCAGTGGGCAGCAGAGTGACAAATGGATGATCTGATGACCAAGATGAGCGGCCTACATCAACCTGAATGAACGCAGAGCCATAGTTTCCTTCACAAAGAAAAGCAGGGAGACTGTGAACATTCATACATCAAGAAGATGCATATGATTATAGTGTGAGGTTTTAAAGATAACCAACACACACCAACATCAATGAATCCAATAGCAGACACTTTCTCCATCTGCAGCTCCACTCTGAGGACTCCAGTGCGGTCCTGAACACTGCACAACCATGGCCTGCTGCTGTCACTGCCATCACACAGATTACACACACCGTTCCTGCTATCCTGTATTTCAGTCATGAAGAAAGAGAGTTAGTACACTTTCAATTACATTTACAAAACAAATAATGGACTATCTACCCGACTATCTACCCATCCTTTTATCTATCTATCTATCTATCTATCTATCTATCTATCTATCTATCTATCTATCTATCTATCTATCTATCTATCTATCTGAGATTGTTTGGGCTTTAAACTTTACTTATATTAACGTCAGTTATATTACAGTTTTTCTCAGTCGCTTTGGTGCATTTCTCACAACAGACAACATTAGTGCAAAACCTAGTTGTTAACCTGCAAAAGAGCATCACTTGCTCAAAATGGATAGTTCATTCCTCAAAAGCAAGTATTGATGTCAATCAAAGAGTTAGTATCTCCAAAATGAAAAGTCCTGACACCATTGTTTATAAACAAGATAGTCAGATGGCTTTGTCATGTTTTCATTATGAAAGTTTACTCTGGACATTTTTTTAATGCAAAAAAAACAGATGTTGGTGACATTTCTTGAAAATGCTCAAGACAGCACTATATACTATTTGCACAGCCATTTGAAAACAACAGTAAAGTTAGACATCACTGCATTTAGTGAGGTATCTGAGTACAAGACACTGAATATGTATGATTCACATTTTTACTGCACATGCTCGTTGCAATTCGAATTTATTCACAGCATTGTGCAAAAGAATAAATAAACCCTTATTTACAACAAGCATAAGCTTCCTTTGGGTAAAGCTGGGCACAACTGTAAACAATACTGCCGTACATATTGGAACTGAACCTGCAACATACACAGGTCTGTAAATCATTCATGAAATTGTTCAATATTTCAGACATTTTCAGGAAAATAAAGAATGAATTTTTTTTATATAAAATTTGCTTCACAGATTTTGACAACTAGTTTAACATTTTTGTAAGTAATGGCTCAAGTAATGAAATGAGTTCATCAATTAGTTTTCAATTAATTAGTTTTATATGCAATGACTATTCAGCATTTACAAGTTTAGTTAATTTTGACTGACATGACATACATATAATAATTTTATAAATAGAGAGTTGTGTGAACGCAATTGATGTATGTGCAAAGGCATTTGCAATTTGTTGGAAGGAATGAGAAACTGCTACAAGGATGTGCACATGTGACTAATTGTTTTTAGAAATGCATTAACTGTTGTGGAAATGTAAATAGTGTTGTGAGAAATGCACCAAAGCGACTGAGAAAAACTGTAACGTCAGCGTTAAATGTTAAGCACAATACAGTATTAAGCACATTCAAACAATTAGAAACTTAAAGACGTAGTTGAATGTTTTATTTCAGTAATATTGTTACTAAACAAACTGAGAGTTTAATACTGTGAACTCTTCAGTATAACGAAACGTAAACATTGTTCAAGAAAGTCATTAACTCTTTAGATATTGCCAGTATAGCTTTACTAAGTTAGTTTAGATTCCTTTTTTGAACAAATATTATCATTTACCTGTGATGTAAACGAGACGATGTGTTTTATTTTGACGGGAGCCATCGTGGAAGCAACTCATTCAACGTGACAACACATTGCGTCACCACGTATTCGTTTTTCCCGCCCGATGCATCCCGCCCTCATTCATCCGGTTCACCAGAAATCAGACGATGCCCCCTCGTGGATCTTGTAAAGTAAAAAAAAAACATATGCAGTGCTCAGCGAATGAGTACACTCCTCACAAATCATTCATTTACATTCATATATTGAATAGGAAGCTATACAATATTATATTTATGCATATGCATTAGATTAGACGGTACTGAAGCCAAATATGGAGCTTATCTAACCAAAATAACTTACACCCAAATGTATGTAGTAGAAAAATATTAAATACATAAAAAAAGAGAAAAAATCAAGAGAAGCAAAAAAAAAAAAAAAAAAAAAAAAAAAATCTAGTTGACATTTTGTAGGATGTAAATTTTTTATATTTTTTAAATATTTTGCTTAATTGTATTGTCTTTCAATTTCTAAATCTGTTTGGTGAATAAACTATTATTTTAATAAATATATCTGTTTAATAAATCTGTTTTGTTTAAATGCACCAAAATACATTGCCTATATTCACTGAAAAATGGATAAATATATATATATATTTTTTAAATGGGGAGTACTCATTTATGCTGAACACTGTATATGCAATAAGCTTATTTATTGTATAAATCCGAGTTATAAAAATGGCAAGTTATAACATTACAAATCATAAACCGTATATATATATGTAAAAAAAACTTTTGAAAAAACTGCTAAGGCAATATATAATGATAGCAATGCAAATAAAATAAAACTCCAATAAATATTCTGTACCATACAGTTAGGGGCGGATTTAGTGATTTGAGGGTTCTAAGCAATTCCAGCCAAGGGGTCCTAAGATGCACCATTAGCATTCATATTTATTAATTTTTATTTTGCTGTCTTTTTCTTATATATATATATATATATATATATATATATATATATATATATATATATATATATATATATATATATATATATATATATATATATATATATATATATTTCTAATTATAGTTTTTTTATTAGAAAAATAATAATAATTATGAAAGTTTTTTGTTTTTTTCAACTAAATCTTCATCTGACGTAATTGGGGGTGGGGTACAAAATGTGCACAGATATAATAATGACATAAATATATATTTGTTAGACTCACCCTACAACATATGATAAAAACCCTTTATATATCATTTTTAAAAGTATTATTTTCACTTATATTAGAAGCCACCAAATTTCCTGGGCCCTATGCAGCCACTTACTTCGCCACTTGGTTAAATCCACCGCTGCTTAGTTATCATATTGGTTTAGTGTCTTTTCCTTTAGATATATAATATAGATATAATATAAAACCTAAATGTTGATTAATTTCTATATACAGTTGAAGTCAAAATTATCAGCCCCTCTGAATTATTAGACTGCTTGTTTATTTTTTCCCCAACTTCTGTTTAACGGAGAGCCGATTTTTTTAACACATTTCTAAACATAATAGTTTTAATGACTCATTTCTTATAATAGATTTATTTTATCTTTGCCATGATGACAGTAAATAATTTTGACTAGATATTTTTCAAGACACTACTATAAAGCTTAATGTGACATTTAAAGGCTTAACTAGCTAAATTAGGTAAACTAGGCAGGTTAGGGTAATTATGCAAGTTATTGTATGACAGTGGTTTGTTTTGTAGATTATTGAGAAAAAAGTTAGCCTAAAGGGGCAAATAATTTTGTCCCTAAAATGTTTTGTAAAAAATTAAAAACTGTTTCTATTCTAACTGAAATTAAAAAATAAGACTTTCTCCAGAAGGAAAAAAAATATTATCAGAAATACTGTGAAAATGTCCTTGCTCTGTTAAACATCATTTGGGAAATATTTACAAAAGAAGAAAATAATTCAAAGGGGGCTAATAATTCTGACATCAACTGTATGTTACACTATTCACTAAAATGTCTGTCAGTTTTGCATATTAAAATCCAGAAATGAGTTTTGTGTTCTAGTTAACCTACATAAGTATTTCATCCAGTGCAACTTTTGGCAACAAATAGACCTGCCTTTATCATAAGCTTCACTTAAAACTGATTTGGCATTAACCAAGCCACGAGAATTCCTCCAGCTGTCCTTAAAAGCTGGAGACAGCTGCAGATATATATCCGCCTCCTGGAAATGGGGATTTTGCAGCATATTTAAAAATACTTTAGAGAACAAGCACTCATAACAACTCTGCCTATTAAAAAAATAAGATAAAATAAATCATTAACAAAGAGTTCAATGTTAAAACCGTGAGCCTGAAGGAAACTGAAAACAAGAAAACCCTCATTGGCTTTAAGATGACCACTGAATCGACCTGGAAATCAATTGGATGTTTTCCGCCCTTTGCAAATGAGCTGTTTGTGCGACATTCCCTTCTCCAGCTGTTTGTGGCCCCTCCCGTGAAGCTGCTGTATATGTGGGTGTGGGGAATCAGGGGGCCGCCATGACCCCATCTGCACTCCCGTAATCAAAACATCTGTCTTCCATCCTCGTCATCATCTACATACCATCATCCTGCATGAAGAGCAAATCAAATAAACATAATAAATCCATGCATGAAGCGTCACACTATATAGCTCTGTTGCCTGCAGCTTTGATTTTGCAAGCCTGTTATAATAAGAGTGATGTTAGAACATTAGTATGTAAGCCTATTCAGATGATAATAGTTTGGCAGGAAACTACTGGTAAACAAATCACGGGTCTCTGGTTGGTGCAGGCATAAACTCCGCTCATTATCATTTCCTGTTTGGCTAAATGACTTTACTCCACATGTATTTTCTTATGTAGCGATCCTTTTAAATCAAATCTTATTATTCTTATTATTAAGGAGCTAAGAGTTAAAGATAACACAAAACACAGTCTAACCACATATTTAAAAAAAACAGATTTGTTATTAAAAAGCAGATTTGAGATAGCAGAGTGTGTACTTGACTTTGTAATAACAGCGCTTACATGAAGTTATCAAGCAAAACACACTCTGCTCACACACTTCATACTCACCATAAATAAACATAACAGTCCCTAGAAATTTTCCCAGAGATGGGTTGCGGCTGGAAGGGCATCCGCTGCGTAAAAACTTGCTGGATAAGTTGGCGGTTCATTACGCTGTGGCGACCCCGGATTAATATAGGAACTAAGCCGACAAAAAAATGAATGAATGAATGAGTCCCTGGAAATGTAAAATTTGCATTTATGTTATATTCATTAAAGGGAGAAATTTAGTTAGTTAACAAATATGAATAGTTTTACAACACTTTTTTTATAATATTTTTTTCGGAGTCCACTTTAGTGGACAGGACAGTAGAAAGTTTTGACAGGAAAACGTGGGGAGCAGAGAGAGGGAAAGAAATAGCACAGGAGCTCAAGGTGGGAATTGAACTCAGGTCGTCGCAAGCACCGGAGAGCACATGTCAACGCACTAACCACTACACCACTGGAGCTAACTTTTACAACATTTTTTAACATCAAGTATTAAGTCACTTATATGTTCACATGAAGCAGAACTTTTATTTCAATATTTGACAATGTATTTTCATTTATTTATTCATTTTCCTTCAGCTTAGTCCCTTTATTTATCAGGGATCACCACAGCGTAATGACCCTCCAACTTATCCAGCATACGTTTTACTTAGTGGATGCCCTTTCAGCTGCAACTGGGTAAACACCTATACACTCTTATTCACATACGGCCAATCTAGTTCATCCAGTTCACTTATACCGTGAGGAAAACCACCAAACCAACAGGGAGAACTTGCAAACTCCACATAGAAATGCCAACTGACCCAGCTGGGGCTCGAATCAGCAACATTCTTGCTGTGAGGGCTAACCACTGAGCCACCGTGTCACCCCTTGTGTTTTTTCATATGAAACCAAATACTAAGTAGCAGGCGGGGTTTCATGTTTGTGCTCTTCCTATCACCTTTGACTCGAAGCAACCTAAAAGTTGGAAAGTCGGGCTTAGCCTATGTTGACCTAAGTCATCAAACTGACATTATCAAAGTGAAAGAAAACGGTCAGATTCTGATTATTGATAACCAAAATAAACAGTTTTTTCAGTGAATTAACTCCGGCACAGAATAATTGCTCACCTTAAGACATTAAGATATGAATAATGTAACATATAACCACTTTAATAACACATATATAAAGTGTTTAGTATATTTATTTTACTTGCAGTATATAAACCACAAAACTAATACACTGAAAAGCCTAATAAGTTGACTGAACTAAATTAATTGAGTAAACTCGTGGCCTCAATTTAATTGAGCAATGAAGTCTCCCAAAAAACTTGCATATTTAAGTTTATTTAAATTGCGTTTTACGTAAACTATACTTAAATTGTTCAGTTCACCAAACTTAGTACTACTGACAGACATTTCATTTATATTCATTCATATATATATATATATATATATATATATATATATATATATATATATATATATATATATATATATATATATATATATATATATATATGCATGTGCGTGTAATAATATACTTCGAAAAAATTCAAACAAAAAATAAGTAGCCATTTATTCACATTATAATAAATAAATAATTATTCATGAAGCCATTTGTTTTCTGAATTAAACAAAAAACCTTGTACTTAAAAGGTTGCACATATTAGAATTTTGCAGTCAAGACTACATTTGTGAAAATGAAGGATTATTTTGATTTTGAGCTCGCTACACTTGAAATGTTAAGTTTATGCATTTTCATGGTACATAAGGTAAATTATCTGATATTTTTAAGTGATAGGACCAAAATGCAAGATTTTAGGTTATGTTCAGTCAGTTTTACATAATTGTAAGTAAAGACAACATTAGGGTTTTCAGTGTAGTTTCTCTCATAACAAAATGTCTCTGGCCCAGCTCTGGCCCACACAATCAGCTTTTGCTTGGCCCACATGCTGCAGGGAATTACAGAACATAACTGGACCAAATCTGGCTTCCAGACACCGGCCAAACACGGACCATATCTGGGTCAAGTCACAGCCAAGTTATTAACTCATAACTGGGCCTGAACTGGGCCAGATAGGTTGTTGTGCCACGATTGCAATGAAATTGACAAACCCATGAAGCATTGAGGCACACTATGGGCTGTGTTTTTTTCTCAAAGCGACCTGATTGGTAGAATTTCTTTGCTCAAAAATTATTTTGATGTATTTTAAATGTGGATCAAGACAGGCCAAACTTACGTGGCCCACATCTCAATTTTTAACATCTGTACTGCCTCTGCCAAACACAGGCCATGTTTGGCCCACATGCTGTATTCCAGTGCTGAATGAATGCCTGCTGTGCCAGCTTTATGCCAAATCTGGGCCAGAATTCTTCGCTACCTGGGTTCTTAAACATAACAAGTGTTATTTCACAAACTATATGCTTATGATTAGCCTATATTTAACAAAGGTCTCAGTATAAAAGTTCATTTTAGTAGTCGCAGTACAAGTGAAAACTATAGTTGTAAATTAGCTACTCAAAGTTAACTATTAAATTGATGCAAACACCTTAATGTTCATGCAAGCTCATTGAACCCTTATTCCTTGGTTGACATTTGTTTCCAATTTAATTATTTTTAGATAACCAAATAAGTAAGTTGTTTCGAGAATGTTCTCTAGTTTATTGGCAACCAAAAAATAACCATCCCAAAATGTCATAGGGCAGTTTTCTTTAACACTGCTAAAAAAAACAGCTCATAAGATTTGTTTTGATAATGTTTTGCTGATTTTTGCTGATTCGTACTGGTCAAACCAGCATTTGACCAGGACCAGAAAAATCTGCAGTTATTTTTACTGTTTATGTTTAATGATTTTGGTAGTATAGTAACCAAAAATTGAACACTTACCTACTTTCCTTTTGTTTATTCCCTACATTATCACAGTGGAATGAACCACCAATTACTCTAGCAACTGATTTACTGGTAAACACCCTTTTTGCTGTAACCCAGCACTGACAACACAACCCTGAGTTCTGTTAAACACACACTCCCCCATTCACACGGTACAGACAGTTTTACTCACTCACTGTCCTTCAGCTTAGACCCTGATTTATCAGGGGTCGCCACAGTGGAAAGAACCGCCAGTAACTTGAGCATATTACTCTGGCATATGTTGGAAGGGCACAGCACTGAGAAACACCCATACATTCTCCCATTCGCTCACACAAGCGCGGCCAATGTCGATTTTTCAAATTACCTACATATCATTGGACTGTATAGGGTAAACTGGAGTTCATGCAACTGGGAATCGAACCAGTGACCTTTTTGCTAAGAGGCAACTGTGCTAACTACACAGCCGCCATACCTGCCCATTTAAAAAAAAAAAAAAAAAAAAAAAAAAAAAAAAAAAAAAACTTACAAATTTTTATTTAAGGTTTACAAAGCAGCTCATATTAGAACCACTTGTTTGGGAAACTTAGGAAGTCTCTCATAAAATATATCTAAGACAATATTACGTAACAATATTAAATCTTATGCATCCAATAATAACATACTGAAATTAATATAAAAACTAAATTAACAGAAGTATAGCCTAACCTTACTCAATTTTTTATAGTTGTCACATTTGACGAAGCAAAACTTCAAAAAGATCCCTATTTTACCTGCGATGTGCCCTAGGCCTGCCGAATAAATATGAGCGTTTAAGTCTATTATTGCCTTCTTGCTGCTAACTCTGTTTAGCTGCTTCTGTAAGCTACTTTACACTCAATTACCGTCATCACTTAAACGACCATTTAAATACCAAACAGCGTCCACTGGTGAAATGGAGTTTTTCAACAGGTGGGCTTGTATAGGAGTCACGAGGCGGTGTCAAATAAAAGACGAGAGGGAGCGGAAGGGTGATGGAGAGCGGATGATACTGAATACCAGTCTATCGACAAACTCCTTCGGTTCTCATTCCGCGCAGCACCGTGTTTTTAACCCATTGACGCTTAAACTCGAGGGCTTCACCGGAACATCAGTCAATCACGAATACGATGGTATTCTCGTCATTAAACCCCCTGTCTTCCTTTCGGTTTTCTCGTGTGCGGTGGTAGTTAATCAGACTCGGTCAGTTAGTGTAAGAGATGGACACGGTGGAGCCCGCAGCCCCTCCTCAGCGCGTGCTGGACTCATTCGACAGGAATGCCGCCGCATCCGAAGGAAACTCGGAATATTTACAATCTGTGAGTAGCGAGTCGAGCTCATTCATCATGGTGCAGCCTAAAAATCGTCTCGAAGTTCCGTCCAAGATGTGGGTGACGACGGTTGTGGTCATCGTGATTGTCCTGCAAGTTGCATCGACCACCGGACTCTTCATATACTTGAACATGTCAGTGGCACAGGTAAAAACATTAGAATTATTGATAACGGTGATTTGTGATACAGTGTCTTTATTAGTTGAAACTTCTGTAAAACTTTCCACTGGCACTCAAATATTGGTTTTATTCTAAATAACAGTGACAAATGAGACATTTTATGAAGTCTGTATTATTTTAAACTGTGTATGCACTGTCAAACCTTTTAAATATATGTACTGGAGCTTTTATTATAGCACAAATCCTCCTGGAGATCATATGGGAATGGCATTAAAGCTCTTTCCTACCCCGCAGGCTGACATGCAGTCATTAGTATCAGGTTTACAAGTTTTCATTGTGTGAGCATTGCTTTATTTCTCTTTGTAAGTTTGGTATGGTGGTAATTTAGCATTAGGTCATGGTTCTTTGTTATTTTCAGTTGTGAGTCAAAAGGAATCAGGCTCGGGTTTGCACACAGAATTGCTAGAAATATTCTTTACGAAAGTTTGTTGTAATTGTACTGTTTTCAAACTCCCCTATCAGTTTTTTGAATGGTGCTTTTTGTATTCTGATACCCTCTTTTTGTAATGCGTGGGAAAGTTGTCAAATCTTTGACTAAAACATGCCCCGTGTTAATGATTTATATTTTTTGAGCAGATAGCTTTTTTCCCATTGGAGGTGAAAACAAAATAACAACTCATTTTAATAATTTAACTTATGTATTTATTTAAACTAACAACAAAATGTATCTATCAGAAAAAGACAGAAAGTGGTCTAGAAAGTGCCCCTCAAAGTTATACAAAGATGAGCGTAAATGCTTTAATTAAAACAGGAACGCTGTCAGTTTGCATTAGCATGTTAATTACTTTCAGATCCTCTGCTTTATGAGAGCTCAAGGTCAGTGGTTTTGAGGAGAATGGTTTTGCAGTTTGGTCCGCATCATGAGTTAGACACAATACTCAAGGGGTCCTGATCCTGAAAACAGAAAGCCATACCAAAATGTGAATCGCAGAAGCCTTAGTTTCAGACCTCTACAGTCTAGTTATGTCTGCTTTTCTAGTGACAGAGAGATTAATAAAATTCTTCATAACTTTATCATCATACAATGTTTGTGGTCTTAGTCTAAATAGCTGTCTGTTGTGGGAACTTCTTTGTTCTCCAAAGGCCTGATTTTAAGGCTAGTAACAAGAATACACAGCACAACATGATAGTTACTAGAAACGATTATTTTTTATATCTTTCTCTTTTTTTTTCTTACCCTTTTTACTTTTTAAGTGAAATGGTGAATCGGGGAGTTTAAAATGTATTTGGCACAGAAAAAAAAACTATGTGACCACACATTAGGTTAAAATAATGTTATGACAATAAATGCCAGCAGATGGATAATGTGCTTCATGCTTCTTTGGAACTCTGGATGATCTCAGATTTTTCTTGGTTAAGACAATTGAATTGCACTCTGCCATTTTGGTTGATCTAAAAAAAAACATAAATAATTATCTATCCTAAATATTAATCATAATTTTTTGTTTCAAAACAGGCCATTGATCCATGTGTCTTTTTTATATATGATATAAATATTAGATCAAATATAAAAACATAAAAAAATAAAGTTGATTCAACAAACTGTCTCAAATAACACACAAAGTTGGATGGTTGGATTGGACATTCGTGCAGCCCGTTACATTACAAACCACAGGAGAGGGCAAATTCTTCAGCAGGATTGTGCTCTTTCGCATACTTCAGCCTTCACATCAAAGTTCCTGAAAGCAAAGAAGGTCAAGGTGCTTCAGGATTGGCCAGCCCAGTCACCAAGTATAAACATTATTGAGTATGTCTGGGGTGAGATGGAGGCATTGAAGATGAATCTAAAGAATGACGATGAACTCTGGGAGTCCTGCAAGAATGTTTTCTTTGCCATTCCAGATGACTTTATTATTAAGTGATTTGAGTCATTGCAGAGATGTATGGATGCAGTCCTCTAAGCTCATGGGAGTCATACTCAATATTAATTCTTTTTCCACTGCACCATTACTTTATATTCTATACTGTACATTATTTCTGCTAAATGACGAGACTTTTGTCTAAGCAAAGACAAACCTTACTGTCCTAGTTAAATATCATGGCATGATCATATTTTATTTTAGTCAGATAAGCATAATCTTGAGGCTTTTGCCTTTCATATAAGTCACTTTTCATACCAAAGGTTCAACTAGAAGTCAAGTTTTTTTTTGCTGTTCCTAAAACTTGGATAGGTGACAAGACTTTTGTCAGGTAGTGTATATTTTTAGTGGATTGGTGATTTGAAAACTGTGTCATCAACAGGCTCGAACACAAGGAATGGTGGAGGAGCTGAGGTGTCTTGGTCTGCTGAACGCTATGGAGAAAGAGCAAGATGTACCCGATGATCTAGTCCAGCTCTTTGGAGAGCCGTGCATTAAACTAGCAGAAGGACTCAAAGCCTACATCTCTAAGGTAAAAGAGATTCTGAACATCAAAGAACATGAAAAGATGCTCAGTTAATGCAATCCAACATTGTGACTTGTGCTTCAAACCCTTCCGCTCAGCCTGGAAGCAGGCACAGGTTTATCCAAGTTTATCCTACAAAGATGTAATGTGTAGTCATGAAAGCATATTAAACATGCAATTACACCAGAAGCCCTCTAGAGATGCACATGACAAGCGAGGGAGAAGCTGCAGAAACCACAAAGCCCTGGAAACCTTCAACACACGAAAGCATTCAGGAATGCATTGATCTGTGCCTTTTTGGGAAATTTGGGTACTTACAGTAGATGTCTGTTCTCTCATAAGTGATTAAGAAGTCATTTAAAACATGTAAAAGTGTACACTGTCATGTTTACTCAAAAGGTTCTGCAATATACAGATCTTATCTGTAATATCTGTCATTTTCAAGATTCATTAAAATATATCTGACTGTAAGTTTATATAAAAATGTAGATCAAAAATGCTTAAACAAATGCTTAAAGGGATAGTTCACCCCAAAATGAAAAAATTGTGCCATCTTTTACCCTTGACTCATTCCAAAACATGAATAAAAAATAAGATATTTTGAAGAATGTATGAAACCTGTAACCATTGACTTCTATAGTATTTGTTTTTCCTGCTATGAATGTCAGTGGTTACAGGTTTCCAACATTTTTCAATACATGATCATTTGTTTTCTATAGAACTAAATATAAAGCTGGTTTGGAACAGGTCAAGGGTGAGTAAATGATGGCAGAATTTTCATTTTGGGGGGAAATATCTCAACCTGGCAGAACATATTGTGCAATTTGTGCATAGCTCGGCTTTGAGTTTGGAAGCTATGAACATGTAATTCACCTAAACCTTTCCTCACTTTAATAAAGATTCATTTATGTTCAGGTGGTGTTTGTAAGGAATTGGATGCAAGCCGTGTACAGCTTTTTTTAAGAGATATATCCAGCTGCAGACCCACACATGTTTCAGGACAGACAATCCAGGACACACAATCTAGGCAGGGGCAACAGAGATATGGTTAATGTCAGATCAGTCTTCTTCTATTTTTTTTCTTGTTTAACAGCGACTAACTACTAAGAAGCATTATCGCCGCCTACTGTATTTCACAAATATGGCGATCTAGACAGTCCATACTACGATTGCTATTAGACTGTGAACAGTTTAGGGTTTCCCATTTCAGTAATTGTTTCATTATTATGTCGTTACAATCATTTTAACATCTGTGCAGTTTTGGTACTCAAATTATGTAAATAAAAATATTTAGTTAAAACACTTATGACTTTATTCACATATCCACACAAAGAAAACATAATAGACCGTCTAATTGTAGGATTAATTCAGGATCTTAATGCTGACATACTTAGTTTACTTTATCATTATTTAGAGTTCATTTGTCTGTATTACCATATTTGTTCCAACTATAATTACCTCAAATTACTAGTACTTTATGGTTCAAAAACAATATATCACTTACTTTAAACTACTATAGTATTTAATGTGGGAAAACTTTAATAAAAAACCTATTAATTAATTTGAAAATTAATACTATTTTATCGCTGGAGAAAAATATATTTTTTACTACATATAAAGATGTATTATAGCCTGTACAAATTAACTTGCTATTATTTCCTTATTAAAATGAATCTATTATGTAAATCATATAAACCTGTCCAATTTAGATCATTTCTAAAAATCTTCAGCAAAGCGAGCAAACGAGTATGTGCTCTACTGACTCTGTCAGATTAATAATGGCTGATCTCACGTATTATGACTGATAGAAAAATGCTCAGTCTATTTTATTGAATGGTGATCGGAAACATCGTTCCTCATTTGTCTGTCTCGATCATCATATTTGTGAATTAGTATATATTATTGTCTACACTATTTATTAACATTATATATAAAAATATACTGCTGATGACTGACCAAGTCCGAGAAGACTTTAATAACATTATCATCCGCCATGGCCATTTATGGTTTGCCCCTGCCAGATTGTGTGTCTTAGATCAGTGGTTTTCAACTGGTTTGGCCATGGAACCCACATTTTTACATGGTCATCAAGCTGCGACCCATTTTTTTAGGAACTATAATATAATTTTAGGAATTATAATTTATTTGTATTTATTTGTTAACATACACAAGTAGTGACAGATAAATCATAAGAAAATCACAAAGACTTAAAAAAACAATATTTTACTGCTGTCATTTAACAAAATGTATCAAATTATACAAATATTACATAATAAAAACGTCAAAGACTGTAAACAGTGGTTAGGGTAAGGAAAAGTTAAGTTACCATGAACTAAAATGAACTGTTCATAAAACATGAACACTGATCCGGTTGAACAGAACAAACCAGCAAATTCAAGTAAAATTATTAAAAGAATCACAACCATTTTAATAATTATCACCAGCTATTTGCTCTTCTGCTATTGTGTGGGCTTTCTGGGCCTTTGCTACACGGTGAGCACAGTAAGATGCGCAGAGTGCCTGTACTTGTTTTAAACATGAAGATGTTAGGCACTTTTGTGATGCTCTCAGCTCCTTTAGTCGTCTTTGAAAATAGTCCACAGGTTTATTCTTGCAACTGGTATGTTTGGTTTCTAAATGTCGTTTTAAATTAGAAGGTTTCATGCTCTCTTGTGTAAGCACCTCACTACATATGACACATTGAGGTTTTAAGCCTTTTTTTATTGTCAATTTATGTAAATCCACACTTAACATTTTCAGGGTCGTACTTGCGCTTCGACATATTTGTAGCTAAAATTAAATGAAATTTCACATTTCAAACGGTATGGTTGTCGCACGCGCATTTCAAAATAAAAGTCCGATATAAGCAAAAGAACTGAAAAATGTAACTTTTGTTGTTTTATTGATCACACACTCCGCGACTCACTGAAAATGTTCCCGAGACCCACTTTTCAGTCGCAACCCACCAGTTGAGAAACACTGTCCTAGATTGTGTGTCCTGAAACGTGTGTGGGTCTGCTGGTCTGCAGCTGGATATTAATGTTTTGAAAGTATACAGCACAATCTGCTGTTAAAACCAAAGTTTATAATGGATTCGAGAGAGAATAGAGTTTTTTTGGTGATAAAAGCTCGAATTAATCTACAAGTGGGCGTGGCCAACCGTCACCATCTTGTCAGCGCATCATTTCTCATACAGCACATAATATCCTTGTTACCAAAAATCGGCAAAGAGGTGGGACTTGGGTGGAGCTGGAGAATGGAGTCAGGTTTCATTTAGCTTAATTTCCATTTTCTTTAGGGGAAACACTCAATGTTATCTTAAATGCACAGATTTGTCAAGTTCAGCAGCTAGAATCTAGCTGCAAAGACATGACGGTGAGCAGCAGATAGCGTTCACTCAATTGACAACACTCTTAATTATGCAGAAATTTAAGACTTCATATAAATTAAACTGAGGAGCTTTGAAAAAATTTGCTTACCCCCGAGTTGTGATGAACTGTAATATTAGCTATATACACCAAAACCATTGTGTGGTTCCAGGCTGTAATCCTGTGTTCTGCTATAAATTTGGCCATTTTAACATGGGAGTCAATGGAGATTTACTCCCTTTTGGAGCCAGCCTCAAGTGGCCAGTCAATGAATTGCAGTTTCAGTATTTCCTTAACAAGGGAGATCAGGAGTTGGCAACTTGATTTTTACATAACGTTACATCCACACCTATAAGTTTCAGTTAATCATTGTACATCTTCTATAAAATCTTCCACTGTACCTTTAAAAGCTTAATTGTGAGAAAATCTCACAACCATACCAGGATACTGTGTTCGTGATTGACACATATTAAATGTTTGATTTGGCTTGTTGTACTAAAAAACATGACTCCAAATAAATCAAACATGATGGAGCTTGTTCCTGTTCATCTGTGGCTTTGATATTTTTGTTCCACTGCTGTCTTCCAGAAAACAGCTTGAACTGTCTCTCTCACATGGAGTTAAATGTGGAAAATGTTGATATGCTTCAGATGTGTAACAGTTTTATTCAACAGAATCAGGAGCGTTATGAGTAATGTCAGTATAAATATGTCTTTTGTTTTCTGTATTTTCTCACAAAACCGAAGACATTCATGTTTTGCTCTCTTTTAGGTCACAGAAAACATAATCTCCAAACACACCTTTGAAGGTAACATGAAACCACTGGAATTTGAGTGTTTTCCTTGTCAATTAAAGGAAAATCTTCCTGTTTTTATTGAACTGAAGAATTTTGTTTCGTTTTCAAGGAAATGTAGTGTATTCCCCTTAAAAACAATCTGTTTTATTGATGACCTTTGTTCTTTTCTGTGTTTTACAGAAAGAGTTTCTTTCCCACCAAGGACAAAATTACTCACCACTGGCAGCCCACGGCCGTCAGCTCATCTTACTCTCAGAGACAGTGGACTGCAGGGTGAGTGTGCCAGCATGTTTGGGTGTGTGTATTACAGGGGCCTTATGTCAGCAAAAAAAAAAAAAAAACAATCTGGAAACAATCTTAACAAACAGCTTCATTAGGAATTCAGTCGCATAGCAAATTTCTTGACTTCTTGCTGAACCGACATCTCAAGAAAACAACTAAAGAAAAAAAAAATATGATGAGTTCAACAAATGCAAATGTTTTGTGGTCACAAACAAACCCTCAGTAGATTTCCCCACAGTCTCAAACATGATTTAATCTATCCTTCAAGACATTCAAACATCTAGTCTAAAATTGTTTAGTGTAAAGATTTTCATTAAAACTTTAGAACATACTTTATTATAAGATGTACAGTGTATTATTAATATTTTATCAATGTTCTGAACACCAGAGATGAAGTTCTGCCGTTTCCTACCTGTTACTCCTATTTTGTTCAATATGTATCATCATCATCATGATCATTCAGAATATTAATATTCTCAGTATTTTCAGAATATTATAATGTTGTGTCATAGATAAGGTGAAATTCTGTCAATACTGAAGAAGCGTTATCATAAATGAGGTTAAATTCAGTTGACTCTGTCATAAATGGGGTAAACGCTGACGAGCTGTTGTCATAAATGAGGTAAAGATCTTCCAATGGTGAAGAACTACTGTTATAAATAAGGTACAATTCTATCATTGTTGAGAAAATCTCTCATAAACTAGGTAAAATCATGTCTATTAAGGCTTGGCAATTCATCGAAAAGTAATCGAAATCGACATTCAGAATCTATGATTGATCTTTTATTTTTCTCAATTGGATTGTGTGAAGTCACATGACCCCCCTCTATTTAGACTGATTTCTACTTCTGCGGCCACTCTGCAGGCACATATGATCTCTGGTCAAGTAGGACGATGGACCCATTCTTGAGCCTTCCTTTGCACTCTATTGATGACGATTGGATTGGAGCTTCATTTCCACTTTCTTTTGGGGAAATATTATAATGAATGCACAGATTTGCCAAGTTCAGCAGTTAGAATCTAGCTGTGATGAGGTGACTGCGATGAGCAGAAAGCACTCACTTAGTTGACAACACCCTTAATTATGCAGAGTTTATATAAATTAAATCGAAGAGCTTTTAAAAAATGTGCTCACCCTAGATTTGTGATGAACTGTAACATTAGCTATACACACCAAACCGTTTTTTGGTTTGGTTTTTCTGCTGTCAATTTGGCCATTTTAACATGGAAGTCAAATGAGATTTACTCCCTTTTGGAGCCAACCTCAAGTGGCCACTTAATGAATTGCAGTTTAAGTGTAAATCATTGTACATCTATAAAATCGTCTATAAAACCATACCAGGGTACGGTTCATGATTGACACAAATGTTTGATTTGGCTTGTTCTTAAAAAATGCCTCAATCAAGCAATAAGTAATCAAAGATAGTAGATAGTGTGCGTTTCCTTCAATTATTTTGAAATCAAGTAATGCACCCTTCATTCGAATATCTCTCACTTGTAATATGCGAGTATATGTACTGTAAAAAACTTGTAAGTGAACTCTGAGGGCAAAAAATAAATAAATAAAAGAATCCTTCATTAATTGTAATCGAGTTAAAATGTTTAATTATTCGAGATTTTGATTTTAGGCCAAATCGCCCAGCCCTTAAATCAGTGCTAAGAAAATGCCTCATAAATGAGGTAAAAGTCAAAGAAGCTTGGTCATAAATAAGGTACAGTTTGTGGATAGCTAGTATGCTTCGTGTCGAAAATGATGTAACTTCTCACTAGGACACAAAGCTTACTCACTATTTGTATTGTCATTAATCACCCAATTTCTGTTCACTTCAGAGTTTTGGGTCAATTACACAGAATGCATCATTGCACCTAAAAAACGTGAAATGCATTGTCTGGAATAGTTTTGAAAAAACAATTCTCCACCAATCAAATAAAACAGTTGTCATACCAACTTACTATCGTAAACAATCATATATATTTATATTAGATGTCGCCCTTGTTGTCTATTGGGAGGAATGTGTCAATAGAGTCGCTATTTTAGTACAGGGGAGCCCTCCTTTGAAATGAATGAGACCAAGGTGCAGTGGAGTACTGGCCATCTAGAGCCAGAGATATACACACATATATACATATATCTATGATTGGGAGTTTTCACTTTTCTACATCGATGGATAAGTGATCGCATGGGCATTGACGAGAAAGCGCATGTGTTTGTGTGCATGGAAATGTATTATCCTTCCTCCCTGTTAAATTTCATCTAATCTGTTTACTGAAACACACACCCTCTCCTGATTTTACTTCTCATATTAACGGAGGGAGTGATTCGGTTGTCAATGAATCTCCGTTATGAACGACCTGTTCACTTATGCCGAGTTCAGACTGCATGATTTTCAAACTAGTCGTGTCACAGATGTTTTCACACTGCATGACTATCTGGGCTTGCATTTCGTCGCTGCTTTGTTTACACTGCAAGATGTATCGGTGACAGGGACGTTCACATTGCATGACTTTACTATAGGAAGAATCGCCGACAACTTCGTCTAAACTACATCTCAGAGCCAAAAACACGTAGTATATATTCGGTTATTAACTACATAATGAGAAAGAAGCCTTTAATGGGGTAGAAAATGTACATATTTGCTCACCTGGGTTTAAAGGGAATTAGCCATTTCTCCTCAACGTTGATAATAAACTAATTTCTTTTTGTATGACACGTCAAACAGACACGGTTGCTCCTGAGTCCTGTCAAACCTCCACTAGTTTTTCCTTCATTTCGTGGGTCCAAATAAACCGAAAAAGAGCGCTTTTAACTTCTCCCCCAGCCTCCCGCTGACCTGCAGCAGGTATACACACACGCACACGCAAGTGAAAGCTGCTCTCTCATTGGCTGTGGGCGATCGCTGATGTTATTTTCAGTCAAAACTCAATTCACACGGCATGATTTGAATCGCCGACAGCTCCAGATATTTAGCATGTCAAATATCTCACTGGCATCGGCGATTCTCTCAGATCGCGTCTTTGAAAGTTCATACTGTGTGATTGTCACTCACGTGCACGAGCAGCGATTTGCCTGTGATTTCAGGCATTTGTCGGCGATTTCTCTAAATCTGGGCTAAAATCACGCAGTCTGAACTATGCATTTGCCGACAATAACACAAGTTTCTAGCACCGCAGTATCTTGTTGTCAAAATTCATTTACATTGTTTGCTGATTTTATTCAACAAACCTAGCATTAGCATAGTATTTAGTGTGAGCTATTGCTACTTTGATTTACAATCAGTGCAGATATATATATATAATCTTTGCCATGATGACAGAAAATAATATTTTACTAGATATTTTAAAAGACACTTCTTTATAGCTTAAAGTGACATTTAAATGCTTGACTAGGTTAATTAGGTAAACTAGACAGGTTGAGGTAATTAGGCTAGTTATTGTATAACAATGGTTTGTTCTGTAGACTATCGGGTAAATATATAACTTATGTCGGCGCCAGTGGTGTAGTGGTTAGTGCGTCGACACATGCACTCCGGTGCTCGCGGCGACCCAGATTCGATTCCGCCTCGCGGTCCTATGCCGATCCTTCCCCTCTCTCTGCTCCCCATGCTTTCCTGTCAACACTCTCTACTGTCCTATCAAAAATAAAGGTGAAAACCCCAAAAAAATAATTATAAAAAAAAAAAAATATATATATATATATATAACTTAGAGGGGCTAATAATTTTCTCCTTAAATGTTTTCTTAAAAATTAAAAACGTATTTATTTTAGCCAAAGTAAAACAAATAAGACTATTTCCAGAAGAAGAAAAAAATATTCTTAGACATACTGTGAAAATGTTCTTGCTCTGTTCAACATCATTAAGGAAATATTTAAAAAAGAAAAAAAAATTCAAAGGGGGGCTAATAATTCTGACTTCAATACACTGTTCTGCTTTTTCACAATTAAGAACCAATGACCATAAGAAAAACAAAATAGGTATAATATAACACAGTAAATGCAAAACCTAAACAAATAAGTTAATAAAATTAATTAATATATTAACAACAACAAAAAAACTAACTATAAAAGTAATAATAACAAACAAATCTTTCTTCCTCTTCTGATTCAAGATCAAAATTGTCAATATTATTCAACAAAGGTTTCCATGTTTTGTAAAAAGATTTTAAAGACTCCCTTAATGAAAATCAAATTTTTTCCAACTTTAAACACCCAAAAAATTATTTTATCCATCTGTCATATGAAGATGGAGAAAGTTGTTTCCAAATATCCAATAAACTATCCAATAATGTGGTAAAAGCCACAATGTTCTGTATTGTTGAAGGCAAATTTAGCTCAAAAGGAATTCCGGATAATGCTGTTTGAGGGTTTAAAGTGGCTGATTTGTTAAAGGTTTATTAAAAGTAATCGAATGCTATGCTTAAATTTTAACCATACTTATTTTCTTGGTACTGTCACTATTAGGTAAAATTACTTCGATTTTAATAGTTTACACACTGGCATAATAATACTGACTTGTTAAATTAAATTAACATGACTTTCAAAATGGGATGTTGATAACAGAGAGACAGTACACTTTTTGTTGCAGTCATATATGTTGTAATATTTCTTCCCAGTGTTGTCGGTTACAGAAAGACTAATAAAGCTTTTATATAAGAAGCCACTTTCTCCAAAATGATTGAATTCTGACATAACTTCATCGCACGCGCACACACTTAGTCTTGTCAACATTTTAGAAATAGTTTTTTTTTTAGTTGAGATGGTTGAAAATGTTGTTTATAATGAGGTGTATGAATATATAATATTTTAGCTCATATTTAACTCAGTATTTTAATTCATTCTGTCTAACGTTAGATATCCGTGCTGTTGATCTATTGGAATTTTCATTCCAAAATGGCCGCCGCAAGACAGTAGCGACATCTAGTAGCTGTTTTCCAAATAGCAACAGAGTGTCGCCTCTTGGTGATTCTATGCTCTTTGCTTAAAGGGAGTTTGCTATTGGTCCCGACTCACTCGTTATTTTTTTTAAAAAGCTCCAACAGTTGGAGAAGCACTCACAGCTGAGCATTTTTGGAAGAGTATTGTTTTCAGCAGCGCAAAACATTTAGGTGGACTTTCGTCCTTAATGAAGGATTTCAGGTTCAGAAGCAAGATTGAACAATGCTACTGAATACCGAACTGACCTAAGTGTGTTGTATCTTCCAGGTACAACATCCCTGACCCCTCAGATGGACCTTCACCAATCTTGTCGCCATCCCGTTCGTTCCTGGGGAAACCAGAGCTTTGGTTCCCACCTGCACAACATGACCGTGTCTAACGGCCGCCTACGCGTCCCTCGAGCCGGCCGCTACTACCTGTACGCTCAGGTCTACTTCCGCTATCTGACCCTCTCAGTTGACGATTACCACTCAGGCTCCGTCAGCCATCAGGTGGTGCAGTGCGTCTACAAGAAGACGGCCTACGCTCGCCCTATCCAGCTCCTGAAGGGTGTGGGGACCAAATGTTGGTCTCCGGACAGTGAGAACGCCCTGCACTCCATCTACCAGGGAGGCCTGTTTGAGCTGCGAGCAGGAGATGAGATCTTCATCTCAGTGTCGTCTCCCACAGCTGTGTATGCAGAGGACTCCTCCAGCTACTTCGGGGCCTTCCTGTTTGACCTCTGAGGGACACGTGTTTGGGGCTTGTGGTCTCATTCCAAGGGAAAGGAAGTCGTTCCTGTCGGAGGGCCCCACGTGGGAACCATGATGAGAGGAAAGCATGGATAGCCGGATGGCTTTAAACAGCCCTGGAATGGCTAAACATCTCTTATTTTTCAGAAAATCATGAAGCGTTTGTGGTCAGAGGCGACAGTTTGACCTTCATATGGTGAATGATAGACAGATTCAGAAGAGCGGACTATCTCTGAACTGGCATGTCGCAAGCTTTTGTTTCTAACAAAGAAGGAAGACCTGTAAATGGGGACAATGACGTTCTGTATTTAATCGCTTAAAGAACCACTAGTTCCTTAAAATAAAGACTCTGAACATCAACAAATGCACCTATCTATGGGCAAGCTGCTACTCAAAATAAATGTAAAAAGTTATACTTGAGTTGTTCATCATTTCCTCTCAGATTAAATTCTACAAACTCTGTTGTTGGGATTTCACTGTTGATTATGATGCCTAAAATGAGTCGTCAGTCTTAAAGGCGCCTTTTCACCTCATTTGACGTCCATTTATATGCATGTAAATGCACCAGACCAAAACGGAAGCTCTCGCAATACGTTTTGCGTGTCTCTGCATTCTAAATTTCAAGTTTGGTGAACTCTGACCTGCAATTTCACAAAACATAAAAGATCAAAATGTGACCCCTCTGAAGAGAAATTTGAAATAAGGAGCAAACACTCGTCACATCATTTTGTTTTTTTGCCTGGCTCATTTCACAGCTTCGTCATTCCAAATATAAGAAGCTAAAATTCTAATCAGAGCACATCTTTACAGCACAAATGTGTGTAAGTTTATAATAGATTTGCACAATTGCAGGTTTGTTGGCTGCCGGCAAACAATATTTACTTCCTGGTATATTCACACTAGATGTACAAGTGAAGTTGAGGATTTTGGCTTGAATTAATATGACAAACTGATCCCACGGTTGCTACTTGTATCATTGTGTTTATAATTCCTGAAGAAGCCTGCGGAGCTGAAATTTAGATGGTAAACGGTGTTTGGTTTCCAGTATGCACTGAAAGCAGTAGACCAATCACAACAGGCTGATTTGACCAATCAGAGGCTTTCAGAAAAGTCCTTAAATGCACTTTAAAAGACCACGTAAGAAAAGACATGAAGCCTCAATATACATTATGACATATTTAAAGGTTTTTGGACCTTGAATGGTTATACGCCTTTTGTAGGAGCCCTTAAAAACAAAATGAACAACCTTTAATATAACAGAGGCACATAAGTGTACATATTGTGCACTTAGTATGTACGGTTGCATGCCCGTAGGGGGATTCCACGAATGAACGAACCACCCCCCCACGGCCAAAAAGTCCAGATTTTTTTTTTTATTATTTTATGTAATTTAACATTATATTATCTATATTTTTATATAATTAATATATTTATATTTATTATATTGTAATAAATTTTAAATAACTCTGGGCAGTAATTTGAATCCCATAGAGCAGCAGTTCTCAAACATTTTTCACCAAGTACCACCTCAGAAAAAAATTGTCTCTCCTAGTACCACCGTAATAACCGGTTTTGAAATACAGTAGTGTAGTAGGGCTAATAAAGCAGCTACAGCTCTGCACAGTTCAAAAACCAGGCAGATTAATTATTATTATTATTATGAATATTTATTATTGTCAGCCACTTTAAACATTATTAATAGTTTGAACATTAACACTGTAGTGTGTTTACAAGTAAAAAAAAATAAAATAAAACGTCAACGTTTAAATTAAAATGTGCTTTTAAAAGTACATTAAAAATGGCACTTAAAAAGTAAAAAGAAATCTGCTGTACTTAAATGTAAAATATTCTCATAAAGTAGCCTATTGATCAAAAACCTGCAAATGTTCCTTGGACCTCATAAATATAGGCTATATGTCATCATATTGATATATAAACTTTTTAAAATAAATGTTGAAATATGTTGCACGTATAAATGACTTAATTGTGTATCTTTGAAATCTAAACATTAACTTGTATTTTAAATATATGAATTAGATTTATACGTTTAAATTAGAAATGAGATCTGCTTACTGCACGTTAGAGTAGGCTTTGTGTGTCATAAAGCAGATGATTATAATATTCCTGTCAACATTGGGATATAAAAATATTCTCACGCACCAACAACCGTTACAAATATTGAGAAGAGATTAGCTTCAAATGACAGAATACATAACAAACATTAGAAAATTGAAAATAAAATAAAAGGTTTAGCATATTAAAATCAATTTACTGATCACATTGGTGTCATCATACGTGCTAAAGCAGGGCTGCTCAACCCTGTTCTTGGAGATCAACATTCCTGCAAAGCTCAGCTCCCACCCTGATCAAACACACCTGAACCAATTAATTAGGACCAGAACAGCACTTAATAATTACAGGCAGGTGTGTTTGAAATGGGTAGCAACTGAAATCTGCAGAAAGGTCGATCTCCAGGAACAGGGTTGAGCACCCCTGTGCTAAAGGGTTAAAAATGTGTTTATTTTTTTTACATTAATTATTCAGTGATTCGTCCACATACAACTAGAAGGAAGCCTGCGTACCACTAGTGGTACACGAACCAGAGTTTGAGAACCACTGCCATAGAGCCTCAAAGCCACAATAATGTCATGCGAGTCATGTGACATAACCCACTAACTGAGTGGTAACATTTGAATCAACAATATTTGATGCAACGTCCATAGAGAGTAACGCTGTGCGTCAAAAAGGGCAAGAAAGGCAGAAAAGACAGGCATTGGTGTCATTATTGCAAAATATTGAACATATGTTCAAAAAGACTGCCAAACGTTACTTCCTAACAGATGAAAATCTGTCCCTATCTATGAGGTTCTAGGGTAACTGGCCGCATTAGCCAGGACGTCCTGTATATTTATTGACTTGTCCAGTACATGACCTCCCTTTCCCTGTTTGCTATTATTTTTTTTAAAATAACTGTCCGACGAAGACTTCAATGGCAAGCAGAGTCCTCAGCCGTCAGATGTCACTTCACAGGAAAAGGGGCTAATCCTGTCACGTCTGTGTTTTTGAGGCTGTTTGCTCAATTCATTCATTTTATTTGAAGAATTCATTATTATCATTTTAGTATTATTATGTTTAAATAATTTTTTTAAATGGCCAAATTGTGACTGAATTGTGAGTTGAACGTGCTGGCCAGTTTGTTTTTTGTCTAATAAATGATAGTAGGCAACAGTTTTATTACTTTAAAACTTTAACAGATTGCTGTTTTTCCTAATGATATATGATGTAATAATATATGATGTCTTGTTTTAACATTTTTTTTACTGCAAATTTTTAGGAAATATTTTTAGTACATCAAAATGTGTGGTTATGATGACATCTGACTAGCTAATCCAGCAAAAAAAAAAAAAGTACTGCTTAAAATGTCACTAAAATGCAGTATTTAAATCTCATAGTTAAATGGAAACTGAGGAGTGTAACTGCAAAAAGGTCCACTCATTGAGAAAAATAGAAACACCCCTTTCACCAGGCTGAGTTGTGTTATACAATGCAGGTTGGATTAAAACAAACTTGTGGTAATGCTGCTAAACAAAAAAAAAAAGTACATGACATCAGAAGGAGCAACTATAAATGTCAGAATGTTGTAGGATGCCAGGTTATTCTCATCATGATCACGAAGTCATTAAATTCAGAAAACGCACTTCCTTGCAGCTGATTTTTATTTGTGTGTTTGATGGAAGAAATCCCAGTTTTGTTTTGACTCCTTTAAACATTTAAAGGCACTAAATATGTCATTTTCACCACTAGTGGACATGCATTCACAATAAACAGAGGTGTAGTTTGATGATGCACTGACTGTGGAATCGTGGGAGTTTTTATTACATCGTACAGGACTCCCGCAGAAATCATGTTCACAGATGAGCAAAAATGTTCAAATTTTATTATCATGGTTTGACTGCTTAATATCATGGTTGGATTCGAATATATATAATATTCAATTTCCCGCTAACATTCGAGCATGTTTTAAAGGTTCATGAAACCTCAAGTACTTTTTTTTGAGATCTTAACAGATTTGTCATTGTTGAGCATCAGTTAAGACAATGTTAGCAAATGTTACCTTAAATTGTGGGAAAAATTTTTTATAATTTTAAGATTTTGTCAGCTAACTTTAGCTTTTGGGTTTAAAATTATTTTTGGGGCAGGATCAAAATCGGCAACGTAGCGCAAAACTGCAATTGCAAAGATGACACGTCTGTTTCTGATTAATATTCATAGCGGAGTTTTCTTATCCTATGAGAAGAGCTGGCTTCTTAATTATTCATGACTGTACGTGCTTTCTGAAGGCAAGACAGACCTGCCAGTGTCAAGCTGTGAGATCCTACGTTGATGATAGGGTGAGACCTGTTCCCATGATCCACGGGGTTTGTTGCATGTTTTTCCCCACGATGCTGTCAGGGCCGATTCAGCAAAGCTGTTTGTGTGCAGCAAGCATTTTTGTTGGGAGAGCAGTACGAGAATTGGAGAATGACGGATGTTGTCTTTTATTAGGAGTTCGTTCACATTTCAACATATCGCCGTGCTGCTGTTTTTTGCCTAAATCCTCTAGATTACCAACAGGGCTAATGGTTTACAAAGACAGGGCAGGAGACCTGCTGCACAGAGTCTGCATTCAGACCCAGGGATTAAGGGAAAAGTCCTCATTTATAGTGTTTATATGAACACGCTTATCTTTATAATGATATAAATTTTGGTTATCTGTATATGAAATAACCAATAACAAATGTAGCAGGGCATTAAATTACTGTTTATGTCTTTGCATTTTAATTTGTAAACTATAAAATCATGCGTCTCCTCACGGTTTGTGTCTCATTTTGGGAGCCGACTGACAACAGTTGTTCACTCCTCTCCTTCTCCCCTGCTTTGCTGGCCACGCCCACTCCTGCATCTGATCGCGGAGCTCCACGCCCATTATGATGCATCTTTTGAAAAAATTCTAAGGTAGACCTGAACCGAAAGTGAGGGGTTTCATGGCCCTTCAATTTGCCATTGTGTACACATGCTCAACAGAAATGACTGTGACTGGCCATGAAGGTTATCAGTTCACCAAACTCACCACTGTTTACTGAATGTAAACACACAGGGAGCGATAGAGCATTTTAAAGCTGTGAAGATCAGTCGATTCATCAGCGGACTGCTCGTACGGCAGTTTAAAAACAGACCAGCTGATCTTTGCGGCTTTAAAACGCTAGTATCTTGACAACACTAGTACAATGTGGCATAAAAACAGCAACGGTTTTATTATGCCACAGTCGACTGCTTCCGGTTCTTCTGCTCCTAATCAATTGGAGAAGTATCAGCACTGTTTTATCATACGAAGTACATTTTAGGGTTCTGTTATTAATAAAACACATAACATAATAAAATAAAAGGTGTTTGCTGTTTTCTAGTAAAAACTAACTAGAAATCGAGGTTGTCTGATGTAATTAGGATGGGGACACAGGACACAGTTGGGGCCTTATCATACACCTGGCGCATTAAGGCGCAAGATGTGTTTGCCCCAACGTGTTGCTTTCTTCAGACCAGCGCAACCTTAGGGCATATTCAAATTATGCACAGATTTAGAAATGCCCTTACTGCTTTTGCGCCCTGCGCTTTAGACTTTGCGCGTAGATCATTAAAATAGAGCCCTTGATGTCACTAGTTAAAATGGCATATTTCTCTGGATTTGAACATTCTTCGAAACCCTTTGCATAATGCAAGTACACAAGGAAGCAAATATATAACACTGTCATTGTGTTTTTTGGATACTGTAATGAAAAAACCTTATATATTGTGCCTTTAATAATAAAAATAACATCTCGTGTACACAAGCCCAATGCACAAAATTGTTTTGAATGTTTGGTAAGATTTGTCAAAAAAATATGCATACGAAAAGCTTTCTCTTAGTTAATATTAAAATGATAGTGAAAATTATAAGTAAATCAGCACAAAATCAACCTTCTTTTTGACCAAAATAACCAAGATAATTTGGAAATGTGTGTGAACAAGCCCTCATACATTTTAAATCACCCAGTGACATTGTTTGTTTAAATAACTTTTTTCAGGAGAGTATAAACACCCCATAGAGCTCTGTGATGCTCCTGGACCAAAAGTCTCGAGTTAATTAAAAGAAATTGGTTTTGATTTGTTGGGAAGCACTAAGTCACCCATATGAGTCAACCTTGTGTCATTCACTAATCTCTGAAGAAAAAGGCTAGCACATAAACTGGAGACAACATTGCATGGGGTAGGATTAAGAGTAAGACTTCATTTGACTCATACTCTTAAAACAAACGGCTAACTTAATTTCCTCCAGTCTTAAATCCCTAAGACACAATCATATCCTGATAACATTAAAGTCTCAGTTCTGATCCAGTGAAATTAATTTGAAGGCTAAAGTTCACAATCCACAATGAGGAAAACACAGAAGAGGATGTTACTTTATATTTTATGTAGTGTTTATGAATAAATTACAATGATAACGTGACATTCATATTTAACACTAATGGATAATGCTGACATTGAAAAAAACACACACATACACACACAATTTAAACCATGAGTACAAATGATTGCTGACAAACAGTTACATATTTTTCAACAATTCTCAGTACATAACGTTATAAGTTGTTCTTAATAAAGTGGCCCTTTATTTTTGATTAGAAATGGAAATACTGTGAGAACTAGCTGAAAACCAACCGTGCCAATGAGCCATCAGAGGAGTTTCAAGCACTCTCCGAAACGATCTTAGCGTTCATTTAGGCGAATTCAATAAATGTAGTGTTAACTTATTCAAAGAGGCTGATGCAGGCTTTGAACATTTGGGCTGGTATGCATATAATGAAATTACACATGACTACATACGGCATGCTCGGGTTACATTGGGACATGCAAAGTGATAGGGATATAAATGGAAGAGGCAAAGCAAACAAGCAGCATTTGTTCATGGAGAAAACCTGCGTACCATTCAGTCAAGCTTCAGAAAATGTCAATGAAAGACGAACTAGTGAGTTTGATTACAGCTTATTCAGAAATCTGTACTAAAAGTATAACCTAATGCCTTTTCCGATAAACACTGTGCAAAAATAATGCCAACCTAATTTGCTTAGAAATATTTCTACGCAGTATGTGATTTATAACAGTGGTTTTACAAACATACGTACGCTACATTGAAAAAAGATTGGGGCCGGTACTTTTTTCAATTTTATAAACAAGTATGCATTAAATTGATTAAAAGTTAGAGATTTTACTAAAGATTTCTGTAACACTTTAGATCACAATTCACGGTATTAACAAACTATTAACGAACACTACTATCTTAATAAACTACTAATTAACCATTTATTAATAGTTAGTAAGGTAGTTGTTGGGTTTAGGTTTTAAGTAGGATTAGGGACGTAGAATAAAATCCTACTTTATAGATACTAATAAACAAGTAACATCTTAAAAATAGACAGGTAATAAGCCAGTGGTTAATAGCATGAATTGTGACCTAAACTTAAGTATACAGAGACTCAGAAGGGACGTATGGTGAGGTGAAAATATGGGTGGACACAAAAAAAAAAAAAGAGTGAGAGGAAAACTTTTTTTTTTTTTTTTTTTTTTTTAAGTTTTTGCGTTTCCTTGCAAAGATGTTTTACCACAAACACTTTCTGTTCAATTCATACATGTCAACCCTCTCGTTTTTGCTGGGATTCTCCCGAATTTTACTATTCTGTCCTGCTATCATCTAATCATTAAGTATTTTTCCATATTTCGCATATATTTTTTATCTTGAACGTATGTTAAAGTTAATATAAAATGTCTGTGTTCACTTTCTTTTAATTAAACTTGTGCGTCGATCATCGCTCTTCATATGCAACCCCTGGATCAGTGAATGCATGTATAAGTGCTGACTGACGGACACGCTCTGTATGATAAACTAATCCCAGATCAGCTTCTGTACACACCATTTAAAGTGATTCTTCTGTTCTCACACAAGTGAAGAACAGCAAATGAATCTCCCGTTTTGTTTTGTTTGATAACAGAGGTGTCACTGTAAGAATGCACAGATCTATAATGAAAGCATTCCATTATCTTTAGTAAATGTTTGTGCTCAAATAAGAGAAAATAAGGTGTTTAAAATAAAACAAGCAGGACTGACATGTTTTCATATTATTAGGTGTATTTGTCCGTTTAAACACACACCGGAATCCCAAAGTGACCTGCACTTTAGCTCTTCTTTAAATGATGTGTACAGAAGCTGATCCGGGATCAGTTTTTTATACAGAGCTTGTCCGTCAGTCAGCACTTATACATGCATTTGCTGATTCATAGGTTGCACATGAAGGGCAACGATCAACACAGCTTTAATGGAAGGAAAGTGATGCAGACATTTTTATATTAACTTCAGTGTGCTATCAAGATTAAAAACTATATCAGAAAAATGGGAAAATAATTAATGATAGGATGATAGATGGATAGAATGGCAAAATATGGGAGAATCCCGGCAAAAACTAAAGGGTTGACATGTATGAAGTGAACAGGAAGTGTTTGTGGAAAAACTGTTTTGCAAGGGAACCCAAAAACTTCAATATTTTTTCCTATGCCTCTGTTTTTTTTTCTCCCACCCAGTTTTTTTTCCCTCTACAATTCTTTTTAAGTGTTACCAAAATTTCATATAAATGCAGTTATTTTAAACAAAAAAAATCTGTCTAAGGCTGTCGAAGAATGTGGAAAAACAAATATTAAAAAGCCTTTATTCACATGGCACAGAACTGCCTTCATCAGGGTCACATCAGGTTTCGAGTGTCTTGGACTGATTTTTTGCTGATGAATCTCTTATCCAAAGAGTTCCGACACATCATTTAAGCTCCCCGTGAGCACTTTTTGTTTGACCTATGTAGGTGGCTATTTTAAACTTTAGAATCATTAAAATAAGTAGAATGATTTCTGGAGGATCATGAGACTCAAAACTGGAGATATAATGTTGAATCTTCAGCCTTGAATCACAGGAAGATATAACATGTCACAATATAGGAAGAGTTCAGATGCAAAAACCTCTGAATGCCATCTGAAATGTCCTCTAATAACAGCATTTTTATCAGACTCCTGCGAGTAGGTTTATTACGTTTCTCTTTTATGTCAAAGAACAACAACTTTTCATGGTCTTCAAAATGAAATAAATTAACATCAACAAAAGAGGCTGAGAATAATGCTCATTTTAGACAGGAATTTGAGGCGGCACTTAGAGGTTTTTGCATCTGAACTCTACATATTATGATTGGAAACCGAATAATATTAAATGTTTTGCCATATTTTTTATCTGTTTACATATGTCTTGGTTAACATTAGAGACTAGTTTCATTTTTAAAAAAGGTACCAACACTCAGAACTTTTCATTTGTAGTGAAAAACGAGGTTGTAAATTTGAAAAAGTGCATGTGACGTGAAAACATTTACAGAAAGTTTACAGCCTCATCTCTTGGCTGAAACTACACAGTTCAGATTAGCACTGATTATAAAGCGTGGAAATGTAGTGAAGCTCAACAAAATAAGGAAACTGTAAATCATCAGACTCGTAAAAATGTTAAGACTCGACCAAAACACAGAAACTTTTAGAGCTTTTAGATGCTGGAATACTTGTAAGCGCTCATTTAAACTGTCAAAAAGAAGAAGAAATACCTAGAAATGCACATGTAAAAACTTATAATCAACATCCGTGGCGGAGTGGAAAGCAGAAGGAGGACTCTTGGGAAATCCTCCACTAAAAATGTCTAAAGGATGTCCTTTATATTTCCATTTTAGGCATTTTAGGTTTGAGAGATGCGATCGAGGCGGGTGAATTTATGCTACAAAGTGTTATCATGTATATATTGTGATATGTTTTGATGCATTGATATGTTACCTGCAAACAGACTTGCTTGCACTCAAGTCATTCTTAGCAGTTTGCTGGAGTGCATAGAAGGTTCTCCATCCTGCGGTCGCAGCGCCTGCACCAATGAGACTCTACAAATAGATTTCACAGTGTGAATGGATGCTAATCCAGTACTGACAGTTCTGTAGTGCAAATCGTTTTGGCCAGACTGCTGTTTTCTGCTTTCAAACTGGCTGGCACTTCAGTTGAAGAGAATAGAGTCTGGGTCTCGGTTGGCCATCTGGGCCATGTGTTTCAGTATGTCCTTTTTGGTGATGATGCCCAGTAAACGCCTGCGTGGAAACAGAAATGCATTATTATATTAAGCTCACTGAAATCAGTCAGTATATTTACACAGACAACAATATTGTGAAATCAAGATTTAATCAAGTCAAATTTAAGGCTTTTTAAAGAACCTTTTAAGAATATTAAGAATGAAATTTTACACTTATACAGGGTTAAAGAATAAGGATTTTTTCGAATGGCCTGGTATTGTTTTTAGTTTTCTTTCCCTGATTAGGGAACTTAATTTGGGAATTGGCTGTAAAGATGTCTAATAGCTGTTGTAAATTGTATTACTTCACAATAAAACATTTAGATATAAAAAATAAAGTCGAGATGTATTGTTGGTGATTTGATGGATGTCAAGTAGCTTTACTTGGACAAAGCAAAATTAACACCTGTTTAAAATTATTTAAAACCCACAACACAACAGTTCACTCAATTTAAGACTTTTTAAGGCCTAAAATTTCTTTTTTGAACTTTAAGCCATATTAAGACCATGCGGACAAACTGTGGTATTAACATGATTAAGACGATATTCTTATTAACATTACTTAAATCTGATTTCTGATTAATATATTCCAGCTAAAGCCATACTCAAAAGTAAAAATATAAAATTAATATATGGAATATAGCTATTTTAGTCACATAATCAAAGTACAGTATTGAGTATGTCTACATGGACAACAATAATCTGATATTAGGTCATCATGTCAGTAACAGGTGATTTTGATTATCTAAATTTAGCTAAAGTCAAAGTAAACAAACCAAATTAAGATGTGGAATAATAACTTTTTTAGTCACATAATTGATGTGCAGTTTTTAGGTTTATATGGACAACGATAGTCTGATTTTAATGTGAATAACATGAAAATAGATGTTTTTGATTATCTTAATGCAGCTTAAGGCATAGTCGAAATAAACAATTTTATTTTTAGTCACATAAACAAAAATTTAGTACTTTGACAACACAATTCCATTATTAATGGGACTTGCATGTAAACAAACATTTTAAATTATCTTAATACACCTAAAGTGATAGTTGACACGAAATGTAACTGTTTTGATCGAAGTATGTATTACATTTATATGGACAACAATATTCCGGTATTTATGACTTATGTAGATTACATTTTTGATCATCTTAATTCAGCGAAATCCATAGTCAAAAGTAAACACTAATCAAATTAAGATAATGTGAAATATAGCTCTTTTAGTTACATAATTAATATGATTACATAGACAACAACATTCCAGTATTTAATATATGTATTCATTTACGATATGCATATGGCAGCAATCTTTTTGATAGCAAACTAAAAAGAATGACTTGAACAGGGTATCTGCAGATTCCTAGGAGTTAAATTGAAGACTTTTCAAGACCTTTTTAATGCCACAAAGAATTAAATTAAATACCCAATAGCACACAGCACATACAATTACCATCCTTAACACTCTTTATTGTATATTGTGGTGCTGCCATAACAAAATAGACTGGCTAAAATTGGCCAATTGGTGCATATCTGCTAATGTACGAGTTGATGCAGCAGTCATAAGCCATTATAGAGTGAAATCCCTGCAAACTCTGCTTGTGTACGTAAATTCCTAGTGAACGTTGCTTACGTAAATGAAATCCCAGTGAGCGTGTATTTTAATAAGCTACATCTATTTTGTTCTGGGTAAAAAATAGGTGAAGAGATTTTAAACAGATTTCAAAGTGGAAGCAAAATCTCTTTACGGGGTCAGTTCGATTGCATTTTTAAGACGAACTAAGGTCTTATTTTTATACTATGAAATTTAAGACATTTTAAAGATCCACGGACACTCAATAATAATTACTCATTAATTAGTATTTTTTGTCATGTCTGTGATGACACATGCTGTCACACGGGGACGTAATGATGTGCCATTAATTGATTCATGTATTACAACATGCACAAAGGAAACATGAAAGAAGTATTCTAAAAGCAACTCATGTAAACACCTGAATCATAATACTGTCTTATTCAGAATAAGGGAAATATATAGGTTACTTATGTCCATTGAATAACACTCAGACAAAGCTAAGCGAACAAAGTTTTTACCCGTTGTGAGTGACGAGACACTGGCGCAGGCCCAGCTTTCGGAAGATGTCCACCACGATGTCCATGGCAGTGTGGTCTGTAACGGTGAATGGGCTGAGATCCATGATGCCGCGGAGCTTCAATGGTGGAGGGCTGTTGGGTGGCTGTGGTGGTGTGTACTCCGTAAAGAAGATTCGGGAGGCGCTAACGACACCTTCCTGACGCTGGCGAGCATTATCTACCAGAAGAAAAGAGGATATTACTTAGACTAGAGTTTTGACAATAAATGATAAGTCAATTTATTTTGGATGATGATAATTCAATTATATGGATTTGGTTTTTGTGTTGTTAGCTTGGCTGGTTTAGGTCCATTATGGATAAAAGTATACATCATTAAAATCGCCAGTAGACGGTCCCAGATGTAAAGTGATTCAAATGATTCATTCAAAATGGCTGATTCATTTTGAAATAAGTAAGAAACTCTTCATATTTGAAAATGATACACTCTATATTAAGTGAAAAACAATTTGTGAACCATGGAGTGAGTCCAAAATCATAAAACAGTAATACTATAACTTACAAGTTAATACTATATGGTGTGTGCTTATTTAAATCAATAATAAAGATTTCTCCTTGAAACTATGGGTATTGGAGATTCATAAAATGCTATTTCAATGACTATCAGCATTTCGAGAGACAAACCAAAAACATACAGGCAATATAGAATTAATATTTGTGGACTATTATTTAAAATAGCATGTATCTGATGATCCACTGAGGTCTCAAGAAATGAAGTGATCAGTCAGCGAAATAATATTTACAAGAACATTATTACATTTAATACACAGCCTCAATAAACAATCCTGAAAGTGTTCATGACAGTCTGGAGCATAAGCTTATTGATTTAATGTCATGAGCTGATGCTGTTTGTTTACAATAGAGAAAAAGAGGATGCATGTGTTGTATTATCTATCAAAATAGTACTTATGCTCATATTGGATGCAGCAACATTCATTCATTCATTTTCCTTAGGCTTAGTCTCTATTTCTGAGGTCGCCAGGCGGAATGAACCGCCAACTTATCCAGCATATATTTACGATGCAAAGCGCAAGCTCTGTGATTGGTCAGCTTGGTAGTGCTGACAAATGTGGGCGGGACTGAAAGCCGTGCAAAGTCCTGTGAAGGGGGTCCAGATGGAAAGTTCTGTTTTGTGTTTACCTTATGATTAAATTTGTTGCACGCAAGTTTGAGCTACTTCTATATTAAGGTAGCGTTCAGAAAAAAACAAAACACCAGCAAAGACACTCGACACAGAGGAACATAAAATCCTCACCACCAGCTAGCGTTTCTGAAGTGTTATTGCAGAGCAACATAAACAGCGCATAGAAGTATTAATGCACGACAACGCACAAGGCATGCGCCGTGGGTCACGCCAATCAGTTGACGCAGAAGTATAAACCGGGCTTTAGGCAGCAGATGCCCTTCCAGCCCCAACCCAGTACTGGAAAACACCCATACACTCTCACATTCACATTCACATTCACACACACACACACACACACACACGCATGTTTGTTTTTGTGAAAAGTGGGGACATTACATAGGTTTCCATTCATTTTATGCAGCCCAAACCATATATTATATTGCCCTCACCCCACCCCACCCCTAAACCCAACCATCACAGGAGTCTGTGTGCAGCTTTACTCTCTGATTAAACTCATTCTGTAGGATTTATACGCATTTTGAGAAATGAGGACGTCACCAATGTCCTCATATTTCACCTCCTTTTTGTAATACCTGTGTCATACCCATGTCATTATACAGATTTGTGTCCTAATATGTCACAAAAACACGTACACACACACACACACACACACACACACACACACACACACACACACACACACTCGTACACTATGGTGAATTTAGTTTACCTAGTTCACTTATAGTGCACTGAAAGCATCGTGAAGATTAAATGAAGGATTGAATAACGTTAGAACGTCTAGTGCTTAAAATATGTAGCATCAATGGCAAACATTGTTACCTGCAAACTCCATCTCACCGGCTTTACAGTGAATGCATTAGTCATTTTCATAGTGGACTTTAAACACTGGAAGTTTTTTATCCACTCTTCGAAAAGTGTAAATGCTGGATTGACATTCATTACATGTTCACTAAGATGTGCCATTATTTGTAACTTTAGGTGGTTTCTAAAACTACATTTGCCAGTGTTGTTTTCATCATCTCAGATCCAGACCTTTACATTTCACACATAGCTCCCTGTCATCGGAACTGAGTGATTGATAGCTGATATTAACAAATCCATTTGCGTTCTGTTCTAGTGCAGTGGGCCTATAAAAAGAGCTTAAAGGCTGGGTAAGCAAAGCGTGCTTTGTTTGCTGCGGCAAGTTTTCATGTCAACTGTTTTAAACCATTCCTGAGAGCTGTGTATGGCGTTTTGAGGTGCAAAGATGCTTAATGCGTGAATGCCTCCTAATTCTGCGCATGCGGTGAACATTTTGCTGTGAAAACTGGTCACTCAACATAAATTTTATGCACTCGCACAAGTGCTTCCAAATATATTTTGAGGTCACATAACATTAGATAAAATTTCGGTCGCAATTTCGAGCCCTGATTAATAACTTGTCACAGATTCCCAGCTTTCTGATACATGCTGAGGCTGTGGATTAGAGATGATGATTTCTTGTAAAAACCAATAACCTATAGTTTAAAAAGGCTCATTATCAGGAACCATGGGTATTCATTTTGTTTTGTCTTTATGTTTTTTTTTTGTTTTTTTTTTACTCTGGTAACCATTTTATTTTATCATAAAAATAGTCTTTAATATTCCGCTGTAGAAAAAGGTTCCCCTACAACTTGAATAGTGTGAGTGCAAGTAAATTACCAGAAACATATTATTTCTAGGTGAACTATCCTTTTAACTCCCTGTATCTGAACAAGGCAGACATACTACAAGTATGAAAATATCAAAATTTTTAGAATCCACTTTAAGAAATAGTTCATCCAAAATTTACTCGATACCAAGTGGTTTAATAGCTTTATATGTTTTCACACAAAAGATATTTGACAGAAATGTTGTAAACCTGTAACCACTGACTTCCATTGTATTTGTTTTCCTACTATGAAAGTCAATGGTTTCCAACATTTTTCAAAATACCTTCTTTTGTGCAAACCAGAAAAAAATCCTCATCCATGTTTTTTGATAAGCGAAGGATGAGTAAAAAATGATACAACTTTGAGTTTGGGTGCAAACTATTCCTTTAAAGTAATTTCTTACCAATAGAGATGACCAAATCCCTGCGCTGCACAAAGCCCACAAGTCTTTGAGACTCATGCGAGACCACCACAGGAAAACCGCTGTATGACGTTTCAGCAATAAGTGACTCCACTTCCTCCACATTCATGCCATCCTGCGTGATTACAGACAGAGGTGGGTCGCTCCGGCGGGGTCGCATCACATCCATGGCTAGCGTTTTGTGGCTAAATTCCTCCTTCGACTCTAGGAAGGGGTAACCGTTGAGTCGAATGTGGGCCTCGTAGATGCCCTCTCGACCCAGAGCATCTGCCACCCATTTACTAGTCATGGTTGCAGCCATGAGAGGCACGATGTATTCCAGACCACCTGTTAGCTCAAACATGATGACCACCAGTGAGACGGTCATACGGGTCACACCGCCTTTAAAAGAAACACAAGATTGGATTAAAAAAATAATATATATATATATATATATATATATATATATATATATATATATATATATATATATATATATATCTGGAGGACAAGCCACCAATGGTCAGAAATCAGTTTAAATAAACCCTTACCTAAGCACGCAGTAGCACCCACCATTGCATAGAGGCCGGGGGTGATGCAGTCTGCTCCAGGTGAGCACCAGCCTCTGAAGATCACCCAGTCGTGGTGGTAATATGCCAACTGTTCCATGCCCACACCAAGCAGCCTGCCTGCGATTGCTCCCACTGCCATACTGGGGATGAAAAGACCAGAGGGCAACTGGGGGAGCACAGAGAACAAAACAGTACACAAACATTAAACTATCAACAATAAAAAAAACTCTCAAGACCTTAATGATGGTTGATGAAGGTGTGGGGGAAAATATAGGATGAATGAATGAGGAAAGAAGTAATAGAGGATATATGAATAAAATAGGAAAGGAAGAACTAAAATAAAAAGAAATGGATGCATGTGAAATAGATGGATGAACGAATTAATGTAAGGAACAAATGAAGGTAGGTCAGAAGGATGATGAAATGGAAGAATAGATTTAAAAGATACAAGAAAAGGATCTATAGAAGAATGACATGAAAGAACTAAGCAAATAGGGATAATCGATTAAAGGAGGAGAAAATAAATAGATTGAAAAGATGAAGAAAGGATTGATGGAAGAAAGGCTAGATGGATGGTAGAACAAAGTAAGGACTAATAAAAGAAAGGCTAGATCAGGGATAGGCATCAGGCCTGGTGTTCTGCAGAATTTAGATCCAATCCTAATCAAACACACTTGTCTATAACTGTCTAGTGATCTTGAAGATACTGTAGCATGTTTAGGTGATTGAGTAGTGTTGAAGCAAAACTCTGCAGGGACTCTGCCCTCCAGGACTGAGTTTGCCCATCCCTGGGCTAGATGGATGGAAAAACAAAGTAAAGACTGATAGAAGAAAGGCTAGGTGGATGACAAAATGAAGTAAGGAGAGATGGGAAAAAGGATGGATGAAACAAAGAAATGAAATGGGGTTGAAGAAAGATAGATGGAAAAATTAAAGGTAAAAAAAGGAAATGTGGGATGGATAATTGAATAAGTGTTGAAAATTGATAGATGGAAGGAAGAAACAAAGATGGGAATAATAGATTGATAGATGGATAAAAAAGTAAATGAAAATAGAACGAATGGATGAAAGAAAGAGACAAAGAAATGAATGAAAGGAAAGACAAAGAAAAAAAACTGATGATGGAATAAAGGATGGGTTAATGTATAGATGGGTAATGAATGAACAAAAGAAAAAGAGAAAGAAAAGAGAGAATTGAAGAAAGATGGAAAGAATGTATGGTCAATGAAAAGAGGACAACGATGGATGACAGAAAGAATGGAAAAAGTTATTGGACAGTTATGTGGAAACTGACAAATGAAACCACAGTAGACAGATAAATAAACGGAAGGGAGGAAGGAAGGAAAGACAGAAAAAATTAAAATAAAATTTTAAAATTAAAGGAAGAAATAATGCAAGGAAGACAGACTGATGGGTGAAATATAGGGTGAATGAATGAAAGACATGAATGAAATAGAAAAGAAAAAATAAAATGAAAAGAAATGGATGCACGTGAAATGGATGGATGAACAAATTAATGTAGGGATGGAATAAAGTTTAGATGGTAAAAAGGCTAGATGAAAGAAAGGAAGAAAGGCTAGATGAAAGAAAGGAAGAACGGCTAGATGAAAGAAAGGCTAGATAGAAGTAAGGACAGACAAATAATAAAAAATGACAGATGGATGGATGGATGGATGGATGGATGAATGGATGGATGAGAGAAATAAAATGGGGTTGAATAAAGGATATATGGAAAATTAAAAGGCAAGAAAGGGGAGGAAAGGATAGATGAATGATTGAATAAGTGATTAACAATGATAGATGAAAGAAAGAAAATACCAACGGATTGTGAAAAAAACGAGGGAAAATTAGATTGATAGAAGGATAAAGAATTAAATGACTAATGACAATGGAATTAGGGATGGATTGATGCATGAATAGAAGAATGAAATACATAAAAGAAAAGGAGGAAGAAAAGATGGAGAATAAAAGAAAGGTGAAAACATGGATACATATATAGATAAATAAAAGGAAACAATGACAAAGGATAGATTAATGAAGAAAGAAAGAAAGAAAGAAAGAAAGCATGGACGCAAAAATTAAAAGAAGGAACAAAGCAAGGAAGATGAACTGATGACGGAAAAGGGGGTTAAAACAATAAATGGAAAAAAGGTTGGATAAAATGGGTAAATAAAAGAAATAATGAATACATTACATAAGACAAAAACAGAAAGGAAAGAGGTTTAAGTGAACAAAAAAAGGAAGGCTGGATGGAAGGACAGAATATAGACAAATGGAAAAGAAGAAAAGATGGATTGAATAATAAAGGGCTGTCGGATGCCTGTACCTTCATGCCGAAGGTCACCACAGTGATGAGCATCTTGAAGATGAGTGCGAGCGAGAGCTGCCACATGGCGGTGTAGACATCAGGTCCCGCAGGTCTGTCCGGCAGAGCATCACTGCTGCTCTTGGTGACGCTCACATTGGAGTAGTTACAGAGCTGCGAGGAATCCAGCAAGCCACAGTCATTGAACAGCTCTGAGATCAGCTCACTGGTGCTCATGCGCGTGTAGCTGTTGGGAAACGCCAACACAGCCGTGACTGCTGTCACAACCAGCACCTCCAGTACAGGGTAATGGCCCAGACGAGTGGTCTTACGTCGCCGACACCACCAAATGTTGGCCCGGATGAAGAATGCACCCCAGATCCCCCCGAATATACCCAGCAGGATGAACGGTATGAGCTCCAGCAAATGCCAGGGGGAGTGAAACTCCACATAGAAGAGCACCAGCCTGCTGTTACCAAACGGGTTGATGGAGCGAAGGGTGAAGGCTGCCACCAGTGCAGCAAAGAAAGAGCGCCAGAGAGTCTTCAGGGGGAAGTAATAACTCACCTACAAGTAAAAAAGATAAAGACATTATGTACATTATCTATGTAAATAACTGTATTTTACAATAAAATCCCTTTTCACATTTCTGGGTATCTCTGTAGTGAAAGTCGTCATAGTTGGCTAAACTTAGAGAGCAGTGAATGGGAGAGTACAACAAATGAATTTTTTTACAATCTTTCTGGCTGAAATAATTAAACAAAAACTCGATGATGTTATTAAGACTTTCAGAAAGAGGAAAAAAAATGGATGATGACAGCCAGAATAATTACTCTCCTGCCCATAGATGCTGCATTTCAAATGCCTCAGACAAGCAGTAATTGTTTTTTTGTTAGATCTTGCAAAGATGAAATAATACATTGTTAAAAAAAATTCTAAACATTAAAAACGTTCAAGGAATTAAGATGCTGATGACGGTTAAACACGTCATAACGGGTAAAGGGTCCATAAGTGTTGACATTTAATACAATTGATGACATTTATAAAGGTGCTTTTCCTCTGAATGGAGCGATTCTGTACCACTCTCTTGTTGGGATTTCATACTTGGAAGTAACTGGTACTTTTTTAGTACCATCCTGGTTGAGGTTTCAAGCAAGCTGTTGATCACAGATTAGTCTGAGAGAAAAGTCACTACCGGCAATACTGGATTTGTGACACGAGACACCAAACCTGCTAAATTTAAATAGTCAGCAGCAGACACTGCTTTATTGTTGGTTCGCACGACTAAATCTTTTTTTTTTTTACCATCAGCCTCTGCTGAAACAAACTTGATGAAAATCCTTGGTGAAAATGTTATGGCTATGAAACTGCAGTCAATAAACTGTGAAAGAGACTGGAAAAGAGCCGATCAAGATTACAGCAAAGGTAAACACTTTTGATGACCTGTTAGAGACTGGTGATGACCAGTGTTATGATTAACGCTAAAATGCAATCTCAACCATTATGGAAATTTAAAATCTCACTTGAAATTGGAATTTTGATTTAGTTATAACATGAACATCCTCTTATTTAAGATGCAGCCTTGGACATGAGAGTTGAAAGTAATATGTTAAACCCAGGATCTGCTGTGATGCTTCTTTAATTTTATCAGTTGTTGACAGTAGGAATGAGGATTTCACTTCTCATGATCACTGAATGAACCGCTTGACGTTTCTGTACCATTTAAAGTGAAAAGTCAATAACCACAACTTGTAAAACTGCTTTTTATGCCTGAAACTGATCACAGGGAGAGGACAATATCAGCATCACAGACTAACCTAATCAGCATTGGCTGTTCATACCAGACTCAAACTTCCCAAACTGGTTTTGCCATGAAAAAGAGGATCTTCACTGATCAAAGGTAATACCATTTTACAAATAAAAACAAATTGAAAAAAATGGTAACACTTTATTTTGATGGTCTGTTTGTTGAATTTAAGCCACATTGCATCCACATGCCAACTAATTCTCATTAGATTATAAGTAGACTGTTAGGTTGGGGTTGGGGTTAGTGCAGTGCTTAATTTGTGAATTGCAAGCTCCCGAAACAAATCGGGTTAACGGATCCGGCATGTTAACCGAGGATGTAGAGGTGCCACACAGGGGGGAGGGGGGGGGGGTGTGGGGGGGTTGTTGCAGATGAAACTGATAAGCAGGGGGGCTGGCGGGGCATTGGAGGGGTGTCATGGAGGAAAATGAAGAGGGTTGGGAGTGGCAGAAGAAAGTGAAAGAGAACAACGAATGGGGGAGGAGGGTGGTTGAAAAGGGGGATCTGTAAAATGAGGTGCCAGATCAGATCTCAGAGGTGCCAGATCCGGCGTCTTCCAGCACAAATTAAGCCCTGGGTTAATGTAAGCCGATATGTACTTGCAAAGTTTCTTATAGTCAGTTAAATGTCTGATAAAGGAGCAGAATCTACAGATATTAAGCAGACAGTCTACTAATAGTCAAATGGACCATCGAAATGATGTGTTGCAGACATTTTTTCTTATAAATTTCTTTTTACCAAATTGTTTATACTTAATACATGCCGTTTACGATACAACAATGTATGCAAACTTGCTTATGAATCATACAATCATTAAAAACACAATTCTAACTGTGGACTTGGCCTATGCAAATATTGTCAACGCCGGGGGCGGCCAACTCACCCGGTGGCCAACTCAGACAGTGTCATCCAAACACAGTGCTGGATCTGAAAGGAACAACTTTTGCAAATACCTTCATGCCAAGAAGGGATACATGTGTTCTCTCTGAGACAGACAATAGTCATTGTTTAAGCTGCCATATCGTCGTGGATGTTGCTGTATAGATGGTCATGGTCAAAGTCCCTTTAAGGCAAGCCATTTCACACAAAAACAAGATCATGACACCATCCTTAATGGCCATTCTATCGTCCTCTGGATAATAATCTTAATTTTTGTTGACAGAACAGACTGTACCTTGCGTTTGTTTCAACCAAAAAACATTTGTTTTCAAATGTAGCGGGTTCATTATAAAGTACAGATTTCAAGCTTTATGTGGATTTATTTCGTATGTCTGCGAGGCAAGTATTCATGGAGATTTGTAGAGTTTTTGACCACAAAAATAAAAAAAGTAAAAGCACACGTCTAGTCCGAGCTTCTCCCCGAAGAAATGTCAGTCTATAGCAATCGATGACTGGCTCCTGTTATAGATGGCGGGGGCAGGGCTTCACCATATCAACTGTTACACTTTTTCCCATTCAAAACTAAACGGGAGACATGTCTTGTGTATTCTATAGTCTTTGTCATGTTTTAAGTTGTTTAGAAAGTTGTTATACCTCTGAAGGTCTGCATAGAGAAGCATGGAGGTCTGCAAGTTTGGGAAGTAGAAAAATAACAAGAACAACAACCACAAGCTAGTGCCTCTTATCTTCAACAACTTCTCTTCAGAAATGTGCTTCTGCTAGTGATGTCCAGTGGCCGAAGATGTTAACAAGTCATTCAAAGCATTTACTTTTCACTTTTGACTGCAGTTTTTGTTTCAAATTTTCTTTGTGTCACAATCATTGCATGTCTCTTAGTTTGATCACTGTTTTCTTCCATTAAAAAGGGTTTTTGTTAAATTGTCTTGATTATTTTGTGAGGGACTATTCTACAAGTATATCCAAAAGTAAAATTCCTTTGAAATTTGAATAATGAAGATACAATGAGTATAACAAATGTTCTTGAATATTGATCTCCACTGTATTGTTGTTATAGTGCATTCAATTAATTCTAGTCATTAAAATGGACGCTAGACAACATTGACAATATGTAAACATGTTAGAAGTGCTTGCCTCTTCCAGACTGAAGAGAACTCCACCAATCGGTGCGCCAAAAGCTACAGACACACCAACAGCTGCTGCGGCAGACAATACCTAATGAAAATCCAAAAAGAAGAAGAACAAAAGTGAAACATTAGATCATGCTTATCACAGAAAAAGTTGAGATCAACACAGGCCTCAAATATAAAAACATAACGCGAATCTTATGTTTGGTCTCCACTTTGTGATGTCAATAAAAACATTCTCACAATGGGTATGTTTAAAACGTTAAACCACGAAGGCAGGCATCCAGCATGTCCTTAGTGGTAAGCCTCAAAAATGTAACACAACAAATGCCCCTCAGAGCCGCTGTATTTTTAGAGAGAAACAAATGTGAGATAGAAGTCTGAGAGTTTCTACAACAATCAGAGGAAAAACACAAAAAAGGTAATGTTATGAAAAGCTCTTACAATTTAAAGTAAGTGTTTTCTATTTTAATATATTTTAGAAGGTAATTTACTTTTGGGATGCAAAGCTGAATTTTCAGACTTCAATATTACATGATCATGCTGATTAGCTCTTCAAGAAATGTTTTTTTTTTTTTACTAGAAATTTCTAGAAATCAATGCTGTTGTTTTTGTTTGAACAATTTTTTTTTGAGAATTTTTTGATTGATAAAATTTTTAAAAAAGCACAGCGTGTATCAGAAAGATTGAATTTTGAACTGTTGAATTCATCCTTATATATTTGAAGTATTTAAACAATGTCACTGACATTAAATGTAACAACAGTGTACAGTGTACATTCAGAGAATCCAAATGTTAAGAAATGCCTAAATTTTTTTATTTTATTTTTTTTAACAAAATCTTGATAACTATTAAAAAAGAAGCAGAAATTACTCGACTTGGCAGATGCCATAGAAGGATTTTAAAATGTTGTAAAATATTACGTTTGCTGTATTTCGATTTATACTGAATGTTAAAAGAATTTTAATGGCAGCTTTTCAAGGTTCAAGACATCCTCAAGTACTTTTTTTTTACATTTTAACAGATTTGTGTGTGTTGAGCATCATTTAAGACAACGTTAGCACCTGTCAGCTTAAATTGTGGGGAAAACTGGATAGTTTTAAGCTTTCGTCAGCTAATTAATCTTCCGGGTTTAAAATCATTTTTGAGGTGGGATTAAAATCTTTGACGTAGCCCGAATCTGCTAGTGGAGTGATGACACTTCGGTTTCTCATTATTATTCATAGCAGAGTTTTTTTTTTATATATTTTAAAAAGACCCTGCTTCTTAATTATTCATAAGAGCACTGCTTTCCGAAAGCAAGGCAGACCGGCCAAGCAGTGAGACCCAATGAATAGGTGAGACCGCATGACATGGGTCATACGTGTTTGTTTCCATGATCCACGAGGTTTGTTGCATGTTTTTCATTGTGATGCTGTCAGAGCTGATACAGCAAAGCTGTTGATTTGCAGCAAGCATTTTTGTCAGAAGAGCTGTAAGAGAATTGGAGAACGGTGGACTTTGTCTTTTATCAGTTGAGTTTGATACCATTCAAACCCTTTGCCTATATCCATGCCGCTGTGTTCGCCTATGTTTAAAATCCTCCAGATTACCGGCAGCGCTAATGGTTGAAATAGACTTGAAAAGAGACCTGCTGCACTACTATCCACTGTGTCCTCCTCATTTACAGTGTTCATATAAATATGATAATCTTTATGATGATATATCAAATTGTAGTTATCTGTATGCAAAATTGGCGAAGCAGTGGCGCAGTAGGTAGTGCTGTCGCCTCACAGGAAGAAGGTCGCTGGGTTGAGCCTCGGGTCAGTTGGCGTTTCTGTGTGGAGTTTGCATGTTCTCCCTGCATTCGTTTGGGTTTTCTCCGGTTTCCCCCACAGTCCAAAGACATGCGATACAGGTGAAAATGAGTGTGTGTGTAAATGTGTGTGTGGATGTTTCCCAGAGATGGGTTGCAGCTGGAAGGGCATCCCCTGCGTAAAACCTTGCTGGATAAGTTGGCAGTTCATTCCGCTGTGGCGACCCCGGATTAATAAAGGGACTAAGCTAACAAGAAAATGAATGAATGAATGAATGAATGTATGCGAAATTACGATAAATAAACTATAAAATTATGTTGTCTCCTCACGGTTTGTCTCATTTTGTGAGCCAACCGACAGTTGTTCATTCCCTTCCCCTTGCTTTGCTGGCCACGCCCACCCCTCCCTCTGCTCACATAGCTCCACGCCCATAACTAAGCATTTTTTTTTTTAATTCTGAAGTAGACTTCAACCGAAAGAGGGGGGTTTCATCACAATCAAACTTTTGTTTTGGATGCGATTAATCGCTATTGATTTTTGTCCAGCACATATGTGTTCTTATTATGAGTAACTCCTCCTACCTCTCGTCTCTTTGCCTCGTTCCTGCGGTATTTGGTGAAGAGATGGCATAAGATGTTAGCACAGCAGCAGGCCACATGAACCAGAGGTCCTTCTTTGCCCAGACTGAGTCCAGATGACACAGCCAGCACAAGGGTGATGGTTTTAATCATGAGAGTCCATTTACCCAGGTATCCCCTGATGATAAACCCACTCAGGATGGTCTTGATCTAGAGAGTCAAGCAATACATTCTAACTGTGGCCTAGGATTCATTATACAGCAATCAAAATGCAAGATCAAATATTATAGAGACACTAAGGGTGGGTTACACCAACAAGGATTAAGCTTTAATCTAGTAATAATTCTTTTGCACTGAATGTTAAAACAGATTGTTTATAAATGAGCTGGCTTCAATTTGAACCATTACTTTGATGCTGGATTTAATTAGAAAATTAAACCTGCATATAATCTTGCTGCTCCATCATTTTAAATTCAGATTTATTTTTCACAAGTCTTGAGGAGGTTTAAGGGTTGTCAAAATGAATGTAATGTGTAAGTGAAGAAATAGAAATATTGTGGAGAAGTTAAATTGGTCACATTTTATTTTAAGGTTCAGTATAATTTCTGCTAATAACAAACCATTGACCAAGACCTTTCGCTCTATAAAGTACTAATATGCTGCTTAATAATACTTTGCAAGGTAGTAATTGGGTAGGGGATTAGTTTTGTTGGGAAAAAGGAATTACAAAGGATTATTTAAAAAAAAAATTCTCTTTTTCTTTTCATTAAACAATTGTATTTGTATTGCTTAAAGGTGATATATTAACTGAACTTCTTCTTGAGAGTGATATGTTTTGCACACTAATGAAGCATTTTTCAGAAGTAGATGAAGCTGCTAGGAATGCAAAAGCCTGAGTGTCTAAAATGAACTTGAGCCCTGCAGCGAAACTTTGTGTGAGCACAAAATTTGCAGTTGAGAAGTCTTTTGCTTTTGATGTTGTGCAAAGAATTCATAGAAAAAGAGGACGTATGTATGGGTGCGGCCAATGGAGAACTGGAGAATGGTTGACAAGTGAATAATTTCACTAAACTCCACCTGTTAATATCAGCTGCCTATTTAAGTTGAAGTCAGAAAATGAAAACCGCACGCACCTCCTGAATGTAACTTGTGCATTTCATTAAGGATACCAAAATTCTGTGAATCAGATTATTCATTTATATCCAATAAATTGCTAATATGTTAAACATTGAAGAAAACTCTTCCTGATTATTTTTATTGAACACGCATGAAATTAACTAATTATTCCAAAAGTACATAACATGTATAATAGAATTAGGGAAGAAAATAAGAAATACTTTATAAAATAAGGTCATACTTTATTAGTACTAATAAGCAGCCAATACATTTAAAATAAGCAGGTAATTAGAGTATTACAGTTAATAATGAGAATTAATAAAGCTAAAGTGCTACTGTTAAATTAGTCAAACAGTTCTGACTACAGAATTAGCAACGTGCCAGTTTACGTAGTTACTAAAACTAGCATGCAGCTGGAAATACTTTCATAGCGTTCTAACATTTACAGATGGTGAATACAACTGTGAAATGCAAGTTCTACACTCCACATCTCCAACGCATTAAACAGTGCATGGAGTATGTCTGTCAGCAGCACATGTATCTGTCAGAGCCGCAGAAGTTTAATTCAAGCGAAATGTTCAACTACATATTTTAAAGCCCTTAAAATAAAACACTAGACATGTTCAGGACAAATTACATTATGCACTGTTCCCGCAGCAGCCATTTTTCAGATGTGCTCAAATGGAATTACAGCTGTTCGATTTAAAGCATATTGCCTTGCACAAATATAAATCAATATATCTTTCAAACTCGATATACTATAGCTTGTGTAACCCACCACAAAATGTCTTCAGCTTACCTCAGGTATTCCAGAGCCACATGCATATGGAGCAAAGGCCCTGACTAAAGACACAGCCAGGAAAGAGAAAAGCAGGGCCCAGGACACATACATTAGGTAATTCATAATGTAGGCAAAAGGGCCGCTATTGGTGCCCACAATGAGCTCTGCCCAACTTTTCCATTTGGGGCATTTGTCCCTTTCCTGGAAGGTGGTCTCATTGGAGTTCCAGCAGCAGTGCTCATGGTTAAACCAAAAGCCATTCAGACACACTCCCTCCTTCAGATCCGTCATCCAGTGGGCAGAGATGTCGATCCCACCCGCCAGAGCACCTGGAATCCAATAAAAACAGCACATGCTATGAAAGTGTCTGGCGATACAAAGGAATTCTTGGTTTTGTGATTACTTCTTTTGATTGAGATGAACTGACCTGACATCAGTCCGACGAGCAGCATGAGGAGCCAGCCGGAGAAGGCATCACTGATTCTCTTCAGCAGAGCCCAGGTTGACTCTTTACTCTTGATGGCGATCTAAAATTTACAGAGAAAATTGAAAAGCATTGAAGACAAGCTCAAGTGTGTTTTCTTGATTGGGATTTACACCACACCTGATTATTTGCAAAGCTATATTGACCCTTTTCACAAGACTGCTATCTCGTGTTTAATGGTCATCACCATCTTCAATCGTTAGAGGTTTGGAATATTTACATTTAAAGGGGTAGTCTACTACGATACCATATTTGAAACTTTAGCTGATGTGTAATGTAGCTGTGTGAACATATAAAACATCTCCAAATGTAATATGCTTAAAGTTCAATGCAAAAGAAGACATTGGCTTTAACAGAGTTAGCTAAGCGAAGCCTACAGAGAATGACATTTGAGCAATACAAAAAATAGATCTGGGTTAGAGAGATCACAAGGGCTTCTGGTTACGTGCAATTACCATGCGCACACACCATGCACAGCGAAGGGGCACGGCCACAGACGCTGTAATCTTACAGCAGAGAAAGCTAAAATGCCTCCGAACGCTGCTACTTCCAAAGAGCTTCTTCTGTTTCTGTATTTGGGCTTCCAAAGTACACGTTACAAAGACAGAAGTGCTTACAGTTTAACTTTAATTATGTTCTAAAGAATTATTAAAAATTATAGCTAGCATTTGACAAAGGACAGCTTCCAGAATCTCTCGCAGTTCAATGCTGGATTTGTCTAAAGACTCCTCAAAGGAGCAGCAGCTCCAACCATAGTAGAAAAAGCTGTGGATTGTGAGCCATAACTTGTAAGTATTTTTATTTGTTTATTTTATTACATGCATAGTGTCTAGCGTTAATGGTATGTTGTAGCGTGGATGTAAACAAGGAGAAATGTTGTTTGGCACCGCTAACAATTTAGCTACAAATTCATATTTATACGTCAAACCGATGTTAACAGCCCCAATCTTAAGCAGCGCTGCAGTGTCTCTCTATGTGGTCGCTTTCAGTGTCTCTCTATGCATCGGCTTTCTCTGCATTCTACATCTCAAAAAACAAACTTGCAAAAGACTTGCGAACGTTTCATTTTACTTATGCTTATTCCGAATATATGTGAAGACACTTGTCAGAGTTTATTTTAGGGAGCAGGCATGAGGTTCAGCTGTGTCATTCATTTTCTGTCTAATTCAGGCTCAAATTGATACGGCTATCAATGTGTGTATGCAAATGAGATGGGTGGGTGTTTTTCAGCACTGGGGGTTCACGGCTTTGTTTACTCTTAGTGTTGATTTGGCTGAAAGGGCATCCGCTAGTAAAACATATACAAGAATTGTTGGTTCATTCTGCTGTGGTGACCCCTGATATATCTAAGGACTAAAGTCAAAGGAAAGAGAGTAAGAAAATGTATTTGTTAAGTGAACACATTTCTTTGAACTTGAAATAAATTAAATAATGAAATTAAGTTTTTTTTTTTCAATCACAGTGCATTTTAACAAAACATCTAAACTTTTTCGTGATTGGAATTGTACAATATTCCACAATAAATTTGTAAAAAAAAAAAATAATAATAATAATAAATAAAAAATAAATTGTCACCTCTCGGTGGCGATCCCTGTCTTTAGATTTCTCGCGGACCCAATCAATAGTGTTAAAGTCCTCATATGTGCCAACTCCAGGCACTGGCTCATCAAGCAGATCCATCAGTTTAGGAATGCCATTGGGCCCCTCTCCAGCTCCATAAGAAACACCTGCACAGATAAAACAGACAAAGATATATCGCATGAAGGTCAAACGTACTCCTAAATAACCAGCTGTGTCAGTTAAAGACCTCAGGTGAAATACTAAATGATCACAGAAGGGCTTTATTCCAGTGAGAGGATCACCATGAAAACCATTGGGGCCCAAAGAGCTGGATTTACACTTTAAGTTTTTACTGAAATAGAAACTAACAATGTCAGATGCCCTTCTCCCTCTGATTTTTGGCTGGGTCACCCAGTCCAGAAAGAGTTTTGGTAGTTCCGAACTTCATTCATTTACAGATGCTGGAGGCCACTGGGCTCATTGTGAATTTTAGTGGTGCAAAAATACACACTGAAAAAAGCTAGCACTGAAAAGTTTGGGGTGTGTGTTTTTTTTAAAGAAAACTAGGGGTGCTTTCACACTTGCCTGGTCTGAATTAAAAGAGAAAAACAAATGCATGGCTTGCCTATCTTTGTACTTTGGATTTGGAAAATTGGTTTCATTTACAAAGTGGCAACACAAAAACTCACATACACCTATTTGGCACAAACATAATGCTTTATTGCATTTGTTTGAGATGATCTTTGTACCAGATCAAAAGGAATTGCTTAATGTTTGTTTCTGTTGTTTTTCTACCAATAAAAATAAATTATAATTATTATTATTGATAATTATTATTATTACTATTATAGTAACCATGCCTATGATCTGTTTGTTGGGTACACAAATAAAGAATTGTTATTATTATCGTTATTGTTACTACTATTATTATTATTATTATTATTATTATTATTACTATAACTACTACTGTACTACTACAACTATTATTATTATTATTATGATTATTATTACTACTGTACTACTACAACTATTATTATTATTATTATTATGATTTTTACTATTATTATAGTAACAATGCCATTAATCTGTTTGTTGGGTAAAAAAAGAAAGAATTATTATTATTATTATTACTACTACTGTATTACTACTATTATTACTATTATTATTATTTAAACATTTTGTTTTCTTTTGTGTTTCATTTCGTTTTGCACCAACAAACAGATCAAAAGCATTGTTACTATAATAATACATATACAACTAAATTATAGGCCTGCATGATTTGAATTGTTTTTTAACCGAAATAGCAATTTGAATAGGTGCGATTTTTAAATTGCAAAAGCTGCGATTATTTTGATGCTCGATCAAATATAGTAACAAGCATATCGTTTTTGAAAGTTCTGACAGCTTGTAAGCAGATTATCCTGAACAACACATACTAAATGTAAATGTTCTATACATCTATAAGAATTTATATGCAATTCATTTATTTAAAATATGGATGTCCCAATCAGGTTTTTTTGCCCTCGAGTCATTTGATTTGACTATCTACCGATACCGAAACCAGATCCAATACTTCTATAATACGAAACCAGATCCAATACTTCAATAATAAATGAAAAAAAAAATAAATAAATAAAGAAGAGGGAAGAAACAGATCCAGGATGTTCCTTATTTTTAATTTTATTCGTCTTTGATTGGGTCGCCTGGGTAAACTCGCTGTATTTGTTTATTTTTGAGGTGCCATACTAGGTTTATTGTGTTAAATGTAACCTTTTCCTTTCCACCTCTTGCAATCCCAAATATCTTAAAGTTTGCTATGGCAATGTTGTCGTCATCAACTTTAAAAAACCTCTAGATTAGCATACATACTCATACCTCTAGCATACTCGAACCTCTAGCATACATACTCATACTTGTTCTACTTTGCTGGCATTTAACCAATCGTGTCTCTGCAACAAAGTGATATCATGCCGCACGAGTTGCTGTTTCTGTGTAAAGTCAAGAAAGATCTGGACATCCCTAATTTTAAATTCCGCAGTTATTTTCTAAATTTCAAAATGTCATGACAACGACTTTATTGGAAAAAAATTGCAACAATTTTTAAGAGGTTTTAAACAAACAGTAGCATGGTGTAGCATCGTGTACTTTGTGATTATGCCTGGTCTTCCTATGGTAATATTAAAACCACCACATTAAACATAAGCTCTTTTATGACATGGTGTCAAATCTCATTTTAAAATCACAATTTTGATCAGATAAATATTGCAATTTTTTTTTAATGCAAATCATGCAGTGCTACCAAATTAAATACAATTATATAATAAACATTGCATGTTACACTGCTATCGTGAATATATTCTCCCAGACGAAAAGGGGTAAAGGTTGTCACTTCACATTCCTGTTCCAGCGTTCACAGTTCTTCACATGACTTTAATCTGACTTTACTAGTACAGAGAACAGGAAATAAACTCACACGACAGATACACAGCAATAAAACTAGCCTTGGTTAATAATTATCAACTGTCCAGAAAACAAGCTTAAATTTCTATTAATTACATACAAAACAAGTTTTGTTTATAAGAGAAAAAAGAAATTTAGCAAAAAAAAATTGTTTTTAAGAAGAAAATGAGTCATTTTCTCAGTGTGGAAGTACCTAACTACAAAACAGTCTGATATCAAATGCTGAGGAAGTTCAAGGGAAACAGATGCATGTGAAAACCTGACACCAGTCAAAATATGAAACTGGTTACAATAGAAATAACTGGAGGGGACACTTTGATCCCATTGATAAAAGGATTTCTGTGAGGGAGATGGCAAATAGCTAAGTGGTGACTTCAGCCAATTCTCACCGCTATTCTGTCACAGACACACAAACGCCAGAGACCTATACGTTACACGTTTGCCCTCAAACCTATATCAAATGATGAGAGATTGGTACAAAAAACGATGGGAATCTTGTGAATGACAATAAAAATGAGAAACAACAATGAAGGAGGATAAAACTGGGTGTTCACTTATATTTTCATCACCACCACTGGGGCCATTTCTGAGGCCCTTTGTCTTGTGTCTATTTAAATCCAACACAGGTACAGGTTATTGTTGTCAAAAATATCAATATTTAAATATGTGTCAATACTGAAAGACTTTAAATGATATAGATACTGGCAGTTCGACAAGAAAGCAGCTGTGTGTATGGTTGAAATAGCTTCAGTCTTTAGGCTTTTCAACCAGTATTACACAGAAGTACTGGGATAATAACAGTTTATTGTTTGAATATAGGGCGGCACTGTGGGTAAGTGGTTAGCAAGGTTGCCTCACAACAAAAAGGTTGCTGGTTTGAGTCCTGTGAGGGAAACCAGAGCACCTGGAGGAAACCCACACAAACACAGTAAGAACATAGAAACTCCAGACAGAAATGCTGACTGGCCATCCCAGGACTCGAACCAGCGACCTTCCATAGAGATGTTATAGAAGTTAATCGAATAAACTAAACTGGCTTAAGTGTGTGAAAGCTTTCCAGAACTGAGAGTTGTACTTTTGGTGCTGGGTTGTGGCACCAAGTGCATTTGATGGGTAAAAACACAGCCAGACAATTAGCCAGATAATTGCCGTTTCATTACACTGTGGCAACCCATAACAAAGCAGAGAATCAGCCAAAATAACATGAGTGAGTTAGAATATAAATACTGATATTTATGATAAATAATGTAGCAATCATTGTTACGCCAACAGATGGTAACAAGCTACCATTAAAAATGTTTTGGTTACTTAATTTGTTCAAGTGATTCCTCAAAAATGCTGATTCATTCATGAGTAGCCATATTTCCATGAACCTATTTTTATGCACATTTTGCAATCTAACAAAAAATTCTTAATGGGAACATCAAAATGCGCATATTTTAAAAAGTAAATGTACAAAAAAAAATGTATGCACTAGGGCTGCATGCTTATTCAAAAAAAAGATCGCCAAACCCAACACACTGCCTTAATTCAGCTTTTCTACGATTCAGCCAATTATATTTCCAGGGCCACCGTAAAGGTGGTCGCACATATCTTCATATTGTTTTACATACGTTGCTCAGCAACATGAACACCTCCAAATGGTGTTAAAATTGTCATTTACTGTATTTATAAGAATTAATTCTCCCCCAATTTTTTTTTCATTTTTGTCTTAATGTAATGATGTATTTGTGGCCGTAAAATCACACGAGCAGACGTTTGTTTACTACCGAGAGGACGCACGTGTGCCTGCCAATGATGTCTACTTTAGTGAACAGAACCTGCATATGCTGTGAATAAAAGGTAACAAAGTTGTAAATAACGTTCAGTTTGTTGCAGAGAGCGATTGTTTGGGAGTTGCTCGGGAAGTATGATTTGCATGTTTGTTTGTTTTTTTCTCAAAGTGACGGCGGCCATGACATGAGTGCACTCTGCAGTAAAAGTGAAACTAAAAGATTGTACATCATTTTTATGATCATAACGCATTTTAGAGTTATGGATTACGACAAACATTTTTTTTTCTTTCATAGAAAATACAAAGTGTTGCGCATAAAAGTAAATGTTTACTGGGTCAGTATAACTTCTCTAGCCTATATAATGTTAAATATAATGCAAGAGGAAAACTGATACTGACAAATGTTTCGTTTTACCAGTGGAAAAAAAACAGGTCTAATAATGTTGTCAATGGCAAATGACAAGCATCTCTATCTATGTATGTCTCAATAATTCAATTTCAGAATTATAAATAGTTGTATTCTGAAGTCATCACTTTACTGTGAATTGGCAAACAAGACATATTTAAAGTCTGTTCAATTCCACCATTCAAATTCTATACAAAATGTAGCATTTTTAACCAACAGTAGACCTACGCATAAGCCTAATATTATTGTTGTTTTACCATATGTTTGAGAATTAACAATAATAATAGCGGACTCATATTATGCTTTATTTTACATCTACAGAATCGTGAGAAAATTGTGATCTTGATTTTAAGCAAAAAAAATAAATAAATCGTGAATCTCATTTTAGTCGGAAGCATGCAGCCTTATTATGCACACAACTTAGTAGGATAAACTTTTTATCCTACAAAAAAAATTTGCAAAAACCACAATGGAAACAAATTTACCAAATAAATGTCAGCAAGTGCATCAAAAAGGCATGTAGTTTTGTTTTAAGGTGCACATAGCCAATTTATAAAGCAAAATGGAAAACTGCTTTTCTGTTGGAACTGGAGGGCAATGGGGTGGCATTGCAGGACAAACAAGCCGAACAACCAGATTGATCATCCGAAAGGTTGTTTTGGTCATTCTAAACTGCCATAAAACATAGATATGACTGCATTCACTGCGTTTCATCTTCATCTTCTTAAGTATCTTCTGAAGTAATTTATTAGAAAAAAGACCCACAGTGGCTTCTCCTAGCACATCAAATTCCATTTTTCATTTTATTTAAAAGTGATGATTGTCTTCTCTTTGTCAGTAGAAAGTAGTTTCCTCTAATGCTAAAACTAAAAAGAATTTCAAAATCTATTACAAAGCTTTATGGAATAATCGATTAGGCATCTTTTTAATTATTATCTTGATTATTTTTCAGCTAAGTCTGTCAAAAGTTGTGCCATAATATGTGCACTGTGGCTCAGTAGTTAGCACTATCGTCTCACAGCAAGAAGGTCGCTGGTTCGAGCCATGGCTGGACCAGTTGGCGTTTCTGTGTGTAGTTTTCATGTTCTCGCCGTGTTGGTGTGGGGTGTTCCGGTTTCCCCCCCTTAAGTGCAAAGACATGTGCTATAGGTGAATTGGGTAAGCTAAATTGTCCGTAGTGTATGTTTTTGAATGAGTGTGTATGGATGTTTCCCAGTACTGGGTTGCAGCTGGAAGGGCATCCGCTGCGTAAAACATATGCTGGATAAGTTGGTGGTTCATTCCGCTGTGGCGACCCCTGATGAATAAAGAGACTAAGCCGAAGGAAAATGAATGAATTCATGAATGAATGGCCTGATTGAAACAGTTGTAAAAACCCTCAACCCTGGTCCATGTTTGAGCTTTTAAAGGAATGCTTCAAAATAGCAGATATTTGAACATGTATTTACTATTTACTAAACCTCAAATGTCAAAAACCTGTGACTTCCGTGGCAGCAAAAGTAAATACTAGTAAGTAAGTCAACAATTACATGTTTCAATCTATCTTCTTTTGTGAAAAACTATTAATAGACCAAACCGACTTTGTCTAATACAGATATGTTGGTGATGAAGTAAAAGCATGCATACAATCTCAATACCATTTCTACATAGTTTAAATTTGTCTTGTCTATGAAAGAGATAAAACTGGAAATGACAACAGAATTGATTTGTTCATTCAGCTTTAGGCTGTTATCCAAAAGAAACCCCCAGATCCTTGACAAAGAATGAGCAATCAATTGTACTCAGATTTTTTGTTTTTTGGTAGGTCAAAACCGAAAATTACCATCTTGTCATCATTCAGATGCAGAAAATCATTGGTTAACCAATGTTTTCAATTCTTGGTAACAGGCTATTATTTCATTTATAGCAAACTAATTATCATAACAAGACAATTTGTGTTAAATTCAGTCAGAAGTTTAACTTCTAAGTAAGTATATTTCTCTGTGGTATTGGGTAAAAATGTTTTAACAGGGTTCTCACTCTAGGCCAAGTGTCAAATTCCCTGACTTTCTCAGAATAAAAGGCTGAATTTCCATGACCTATAATGAAAATAAAAATAAGCAGCTGTTGTGTTGAGCAGTCCCTCTGTGCAAAATCAAGAAAATAGTGCAACATTTTAAAGGAGCTTGCCATTTTTTTTAATTCCTGCATGCTTCCCATTCCTACCATGACATCTACATTGTTTTATACTAAATACCAGTATATTCGCATATAGAAAGTGCTCATGCAGTGTGCGTTACCTTGAGTAGTCGTAGGCATAGCACAGCAAACCTTGACTGAACTGGACTGCTTTAAACACTATTTTCAAGTGACAATCATAACTCCAATCAACCCAAGTCCATTTGAACAAGACTATATTCATTGTGTCGACTGCTTTTCAACATGACTTTTTTGCTGCTATTGTTAAAGAGATTTGAATAGTTTTGTTCATTTTGATAATTTAAAGTAGCTCATTTATCAAATATGATGTAGCAGGCTTCATATGGTAATGAGGTAAACACTTTTTTTTGTTTATTTTGAGAGCTTAAGTGTCAGTAAGTCATTTTTTTTTTTTTTTTTACTTTTTCTATTGTCTTTGGCTTGATGGAGCACCAGCCTTGAAGATTTTCCTAGATGTGCGCACACTGATGTTTTCTTCCTTATATATAAACTGCAATGACCAATGATTCTGGAAGTCAAAAAAGTAAAGTAATGAAGGACTATGATGTGTAAACTTATATTATCCAGCAAAACAACACAAGAAATGCTGAAAATATTGCCTAATATTGTCAATTTAGGCCACAAAAATTGAAAAACTTCCTTGCAAAGTCCAGGATGGACTAATTGAGCAATGAACAGATAAATTAACTTAAACATACAGTATTTTATCATATACAGCAGCATTTGATTGTCGTTTAAGAAGTGGTAAATGAATAAAACGGCCATGAAAAATAGCCTAACCATAACAATAGGCAAAACATGTGAAACAACATGATAAAACACAGTATAGACCATTTCAATGTGGCCCATAAACAATTCCAGCTTCTTACCAAACTGTTTCATAACTATGACAAGTGGCAATTCAATCGTATCTTAATGTTAAAATGGCTGCCATAACATTATTTAATCCATTTGTGGACCTTTTTGGATTCTTGGAAGCTATGGAAATTCAAAATGTAATACAGGAAATACATTAGGACCAATAGTATTGCTTACATCCATCAAAATGGTCCATGGAAAAAATAAACTGATAAATGGGAAGAAATAACAAACAAAAAGCCTTATATTCCAAAACTTATGATATACAAAAATATACTAAATTCCATGACTTTCAATGTCAGAAATAGATCTTTGGATATGCCATGATACTGCAGAAACTCATATGAATTATCATCTAGAAGTCAAAAGCTTCAGTACTGCGACAGCACTAGCACAGGTAGCTCTGGCTCTCACCTGAGCCGTAGTCGCGGTCCAGAGGAGGCACATCGTCTGTGCTGGAGAAGTCGAGCGTGGCTCCTGCGATCTCCACCAGGTCCTCATCGCTGGTTCCGCTCTGCAGGCTGTTGAAGCTCTCGCCGCAGTAGCCCGTGTTGTCCATCTTTCCTCCAGACCGCGGAGGACATGGAAATGTCCTTTGACCTGAGATTAAAAGACAGCATTTAAGTTAAAGCTTGACAGAGCCCGCCCAGCTATTAATGTTTACCAGGCACCTCTAAAGTGAACAATAAACTTGGTGTGATTTCCATCATGACTGTGAATGATTTTTAAACATACTCTGGTTTACAAGCCATTAAACGGAGATGAACTCTATATAATTGTTATAGTATGTATTAAATAAAAATAAGAATGTAAAATGGTTAAAATTAACTCTCTCGAGCTTCCTAATGACGATACGAGTTGGTTTACGCTGGTTTCGTTTTTTGTAAAACTAATGGATTGAAAGGAGCAATTCCATGCAAATGTCAACCTTGCCATGAAAAAACGTTTTTACCAAAATACAGAAACCGTTAAGTTTTTTGTGTAAGCAAGTATTTTACAGTACTTTAAAAATATTTAAAAAACTGTATCTGTCAGTGTTTTCAAACAATTATATTTGATTTACCAGTCACATAAGTGGGAATTTCACATCTGTCACATCCATAACGACATTTTTTCCTCATAAACGCAAAAATAGGAAATAAAATAAAATCAATCAAGTTTGTTCTACAGAGAGCCAACTCTTATTCATAAGAATTGCCATTATTTATTTTAGATTGTGCAGTTTAATTCTACAAAGTATGTTGTATACTACAACTCGCATACTTTTTTGGTCACATCCATAACGCATTTTTATTTTCCTCATTTGAAGTATAAAACATGTTTACTCATGTAACTTTCATTCATGTTTAGGTATTTTTCAGATCCTATAACTCTCTGGTCAGTTGTTTGATTGAATATAATGTTAACATAAACTTTGTATGTAAATTTATGTTTTGAGTTTTTACTGCAAATATCTAATCCACAAAGCTGGAATTGTACCTTAACATTGTTTTTATTTTACAAAATTTAATCTACCTTTTAGGTGTTGTTAAGCAGACATGGGCCAGTATAAGATTGTGATGGTATGATAACATTGGGTAAAAATATCACGATTTCTTGGTATCGTGATTACTGCTCTAAAATAAGATTTTTAAAAAAGTCTGGGTAAAAAACAACAACTTTTCTTTCGTTGAACACAATATATTTTATTTCAAGAAACATTGAAAATACTTTGGAACAGTAGCTTTTGATGTGGAGGGTAATTTTCTGCTGGAGATACTGTTGCCCTAATCTAAATAAAACTAAATAAAATAGTTACAAAATAAACACGTAAAAAATTGTACATATACCATAGAAATGGTATATTTTAAAAATATGGTGGTTTTAAAACTTTGACTTTTCCAAACCGCAGTAAACTTTGAACCTGATTATCGCCATTGAGGTAAAGTTGATTTAATATTTGCACATTCGTTCAGTAATAACTTGTGACATGGTCCCTCCCTATATTGTTTACCATGGTACTTTGAATATTCTGCCTCAAATCCCATGTAAGTATGACTTCAAAACAACATAAGCATTATTTATTTGACTGTAATCAATGTTTTCCTTTTATAGCCACTGGCTGCTAATATAAATTCTTTATTTGTAATTTGCAAATAATAATTTTATGAAATTATATTATTAAGGATAAAGTTTGGACGTGCGAATATAAAACCAACTTTACCTCTAGGCTCTATGTTATCGCCCCATACTTACCAGAGTTTGTAGGTCTAGTTACTAGAAAAAAGTGAACGTTATTTGCAATGCGTTGACCTTCACTAATGTTAATTACTTTAAGGAGTAGGCAGGAGGGTACACAGGATAAATAATCAAACAAATAAATACACAAAAGATGGGAAATGTGACTAAATGTCCAGAGATAACTGGTTTATAATGATGTTCACAAATGTTAACAGAAACCTAGACATTTTACATACTTAATGCTTCTAAGAAGTTCCGCCTTTCTGAAGTTTCTAATATACCTCATATTTACATACAAGCGTATAAAATTTAGCTAGTGTTGATATAAAACCTGTCATTTTTAAGTCTGTGACCGTTGTGTGTGTGTTTTTATTGAATCATCATTATTTGCTTTTATAGGTAAAGACTGCATTAGCACAAACACACACACAAACAAACAAACAAACATTTAAATTGGAAGCCAATTTATTTACAAATATACAAATATTACAAGAAATGTTAATCCAATTTTACACACTTCTTATCTTAAAAATCGTTATGGCACTATACTTGTACTTTTAATTAATAAATAATTATCTTTCTTCTCTTCATATTGACTTTTATGTACACTAAATCCAGCTGAGACAAGCAGCAAAGGTAATGACATCAGCAAACTTCAGCAAATGTAGGTTACTTTAGCTTAGCCAATTAGCTTGCACTAGAAATAAGCAACAGCCAGCAAAAATGGCGTATAAAATGTCACACAAACACTTCTCATAGACCCAAATTCAAACCATCAGCGATGAAGAGCTCTGACAAATTCACATCAATAGTCATGGGACTGGTTAGCAGGACAGATAGCCTGATTGTTTGCTAACCAGCTGTAATTTCATAACCTTCAATACTGCGGATTAATGGCATTAAACTAAAGTCTTACATGGCATATTTATAACGTTAACATGACAAACACTGACTCTGCCAACAGTAAAGTGAAAGAAGTAAACATTTACCTTGTTTGCGATCCTGTGTAACTCAAAAGCCGATGCCAATGACGCGCAATCGCTGTAAGACATGCATAGCCGATTGCCGAGACATGGACTTCAGCAGTCGATTAACGATGTCTATGTGACTGTCACTACTGTCCAAAAAACATTGCATAGAAGTGTAGATACATAACCTACTATTGAGCCCATAATAATATGAATTAAATATCATTCAAAGTATTGAAATGGTATTAATAAAATTCCAAAATGCAATTAATATGTAAATTTATTATTAAAACATTAGACTATCATTAAAAAAAATAAAAGGTAGCCTAACAGCAATCGTTCTAAAGCAGGTTCATTTCCAAGCACGTTTATTTTCTCTTAAGAAGGTCAAAAACAACTTTAAATTAAGCTCATTGCATGAATTTAATTTAATAATAATAAAAATGTAAATACACTTCATGATTGAATTGTAATTAGCATGCAAAATACTTTTCATATTTACTTTTATTACTTTGAGGAATTGTCATAATAAATACTTAAAAATATGCAGGAGTATGCTGAACTTTTCTGCATGTTAATAACTGAAACAAGTTGCAAAGATTAAAAATGTAAGTGTAGCCGTATCACCAATATGAAAATGAACAATTGTTGTAGACTGCGAATTCTTTGTAGTTAAACCACAAATTATGCATTGTTTTATTACATCAAATAATCAACAGTTTAACCATGATATTTGTATCAAAAATGTGTTCATGCAAATGATAATTAACATATCGTCATCTTCTACTCTGAAAGTTTAACTTTTTCTTTACTGACAATTTCTAAATAAATATAAATATGTAATATAGACTACCGGTCAAAAGTTTGGGGTCAGTAGGATTATTAAATGTTTTATAAGCTCCTCCTGCTCACCAAAGCTGTATTTATTTAATCAAAGATACATGCATTTATCATCAAAGATACATACATTTTTTTTCAACATGTAATGTTTATTTTATTCCTTATTTGTTTTAGATGTTTTTTATCACGTAATTTTGTTAAATGTAGGTTACTTGATAAATCTAATGTCCTAATGTATATTCTTATAAAATTAAATAAATTAAAATAAATAAATACCACAAAAACTTATTTGTAGATTGGTTTATTTAATTCTTACTGTATCATACAGTCTGTATGGGACAGTTGTTTTTGAAATTGGCTGATCAAGTACACAGAAACAATTCATCAGCAAAAACAATACATAAACAAAAAAACAAAAAAAGCATTATTTTTTGTTCAGTTTAACACTGTGCAATCTCAAGAATGCTTAAATATTGTTTTTCTTTACAGCTTTTCAGAATACTCCATTTTCACACACATATATTTATTTGACACACTTAATTTTCATTTAAGTTAAAATGGTGGCTTTTTAACCTCTGCCATATAGTTATGCCTCATGTCAGATAATTTTTTTCGGCTTCTTTGGTTTTATGGCTGTTTTCCTCCATCTACTGGCTGAATTGTGTGACTACTGATGAATAAGTGATTATAGCCAAACTAAAAAAAACAAGTCTTAAAATACTGTGAAAATTGTTCTTGCTCTGTATAACAGCACATGGGAAATGTTAAAAGAATTTATTTACAGGAGCTAAAGGTCTAATAATATTGTCTTTAACTGGCCTATATTGCATGCATGTGTCTTTATTGTTTCATTATAAATAACTAACTTAAGTTAGTTGTGTTAATGTTAAAGTTATGTTATGTTAAACTTATTTTAAACTTTATATTAATAAAAATGCACACTGATATCAACATGGTTATTAACAATAACAATTTATTGAGCAGCTTCAGCACATTAACTCATTTACTTCATTTTTTACTAATTTCTTAATTAATTAATGTATGCATTCATTCATTTATGAAACAAAATGGCTATTTATTGCTCCACACTTTTAAGTTTACTACATGAATTTTTGTGCGCAAAGTGCGGTGCGTGATTTAATTTTTTCTTAAAATGTGTATTATGAACCTCACGTTGTCCTGAACCCGATGGACTTTGTGTTGTCACGACTCACCGTTTAGACTTTAACAGGTGTCTTAAAACGCCATCGCCAATGAACATGAAACCATAAGTGTACATTACAAATTTTTTAAAACAAATATTTTGAGAACTTTCCATTTTGTACCGACATACACAGATTAAGTGACAGGATCACACTGTTCTGTCATCTGGAGCACATGCTGAACTTTTACCGCTCTTTTTCAGGTCATTGCTAGCTTTGACCCACATAGTCCGAATTTATGAATAGACATTTAAACAAAAGTTGTACAGATTTACATTTTTTTATGTGAATAATGTTTAAGAGGGGTTCAATGTTTGTCCTATCCCTCACAAAAAAATAAGCCAACTTAAAGTTCAGTTTGTTTAAGTATACACTTGAGTAAAGTAGGCTAGCATTTTCTATTTATGTGTGCTACTTAAGCTACTAAATTACTTGTTAGTGTACTATTTTAACAATCCAACGAATTGACCAATATTTTGAAAGAATACTTTTAAATATACTGTTAGAAACTGGCAGTAACAATTGTTTTTCATTAATGGAACAGATATCACACATTTAAAATATATTTTTCGTTTAAAAAAAGTAATGTGCATATATTTACACTTATTTACACACATATCTTGTTGTTTTTATAGGCTACTGCAACTATTGGTTATCTTGAGTTTACTTTTGAACTGACCATCACACTATTTATGTATTGTTTTGCACTTAAGCTACCATGCTTTGTTTTTAAAAAGTATATAGTATTTGCATATTTGAAAAGTCCCCCATTAGGTCATTTTAAATGGTGTGATGAAAATAAAAATATTAATTGTAAGACTAAATAAAATACAGTTGTTACATTATTATGCGGGCACAATGTTATACATGTAATATATATTGATTATATTCATGTTGAAATGGTGATGCAATGGAATGCAATATTTTTAGCATGAGGCCATATGTTATCTGAGTGAACTCGATGACCTATTGATTTAGAAAGATACTGGTTTAAAAAGTTCTGTCATTTATTCTGCATTTTTATATGTTCCAGCTTAAATCCAAATATGAGATTTTGTGTTATCTTTCTAAACAACATATTCTAATCAACACAATGTTTTTGAAATTGAAATACATATGCAATGTGGAGTAGATTAATAAATGTAAAGGTGAGGTATAATATGGGTTTACTACAGTACATTATACCATTAAAATATCATTACTAAAATAAAACCATTACTTTTTTTGGATGCTTTTATCATTAAAACAATAATCATGACATGAAATACTTATTAGACACATTTTTAAAAACATTTTAACAATAAAAATATATAAAACTATATATAATTTCTGAAGTTTTATTAACAAATTATGTATTAACAAATATTAATCCGGTAAAAAATGTACAATATTTTATTTGCTAACGTTAAATATTAGTTCTTAACGCTTTTAATTAAAATATTTTAGCTATTTTAAAGTATTTGTTTATTTATTAAACCAATGCTGCAAATGATTACACATATTTCTAAACAACACAAATTTGTTAAATCGTTAAAACATTAAAAACATGCATGCAGTGTGAAGATTTTTTATACTTTTAAAGCATTTATTAATGCACAAGTTCCTAGACACTTTAATTTATAGTTATTAATTGTCATTTTAAAAGCATTGTGTAAATCTCACCAAGCGTAGCCAAGAGTATAATTTTACTTCCATTAATTCCAGTAACTAGTATAAATGTTAACGTTGGCTTATGTAAATGCTCAAACATTGACCAAATCACGTGATTTTATCTTGGCCTTGACCTTGAGCACAGTAAGAGAGCAGAAGAGATGGACGTAACGCTTATAAATACACAGGGACATTGCAGAGTTCCGCTGATCTCCAGGACACACTGATAGACTACACTTTTGTAGGAATTATCAGCATCAAAATGCATCTGCAGCACTTTAACCCGGCAAAAGCTGGATTTTGCATACTAATCTTGCAAGTTCTGATATATCAGGTGAGTTTTAAACTGACTTTCTTTTTTATTTTGAGAAATGATACCAAAAGTGGAAATGTTTTTATTATTAAGAAATTTATATAAAATTTACATAATTAAAATGACTTTAAAGAAGAATATTTCAATAAAATTGGTCAAATTAGGCTGCAAAGTACTTTGATAAAGTGAAAGTTTCTAAAATGATTTTTGCAGGTGTTTTATGTGTGTCATGTTCTTAAAAGTGTATGTAACATTTTGCAGTTTCAGCTTAACATGTTACCATAATTAGTTGTACAACATGTTTAATTTTAGATTAGGCTAATTTCAACATATTTTAAAATGTAAGGTTTTAACACTAAAATATGTGCATTGTGAGGTGATATGATGAATAATTTCATTTTTATTAACAAATATTACTTACATTGGTTAAACAAAGTGAGGTTATTTTTGCTGAAACTCAGGCATTTATTATTTATATAACATTGACTTCAACATTAACTAATACAGCATTGAATGTTCTGATACATTAGTAGATATTTAAAGAAACCTAGCTAATGATGGACAGTTTTGTTAATTAATAATCAAAATACCATGATATATTGATCTTTTTTGCTTCATTTAAGCTAAATTATCATGATAACATAATAAATGAGACCTTATTGTACAACATTACAGAATTAATTAAAAAATATATAATTATTTCATAAAAATGTTTAAAGTCATAAATAAAGTAAATAAAGTAAAATTTGAAATGTTAACTTAAAACATTTATTTGTAAAATATTTTTTAAAATATTAGTAATTTAAATTTATATATGTTTTAAATTAATAATTTATAACATGTTTTTAAAACAATTATATTATGCTAATCACTGTAAAAAAAAAAAGCTGGGTTCCACAAAATCAATTTATGTTGTCACAACCCAAAGTAATTAACTTAACTTATTAGTTTTTACAAACTTTAATAAATTGAGCATAAAACAATTAAGTTTCCCCCTCAAAATAATTTTTTCCCCAATAATTGTGTTGTATCAGCTCATTATAGTTCAAACAAACAGCAAACATCTTTTTTTTTTTTTGAGTGCTTTCTGACTAAGAAACATACAATTGAAATCAGAATTATTAGCCACCTTTAATTTTATTTTTAAAATATTTCCCAAATGATGTTTAACTGAGCAAGGAAATTTTCACAGTTTGTCTGATAATGTTTTTTCTTCTAGAGAAAGTCTTATTTGTTTTATTTCGGCTAGAATCAAGCATTTTTTTATATTTAAAAAAAAAAAACATTTTAAGGTCAAAATTATTAGCCCCTTTAAGCTACGTATTTTTTCATATAGTCTACAGAATAAACCATCGTTATAACTTGCCTAATTACCCTAACCTGCCTAGTTAACCTAATTAATTTCAGTTAAGCATTTAAATGGCACATTATTTCTGTATAGAAGAGTCTTGAAAAATATCTAAAATAAAATAAATCAGATAAGATAAGATAAGATAAGATAAAATAAATCACTTATTAAAGATGAGTTATTAAAACTATTACACAGCAAAATATGAGGACCCAAAACAACTCTATGGGTGTTAATTTCAACACTTTGAAAGTGTCTCATGGGGTCCACTCAAAACTGAGTTAAATCAACACTTTCAAAAGGGTTGGCACATTGACACCGAAGTAAGGGTTAATTTTAACTCTGGGCAGAGTTAAAAAATGTAACTATATTTAACACCGCCTGGTAGTAATTTTTTTACTACAATATGTTGTTATTTTATTCAACTCTCTTGAGTGTAAATATGGTAAAAAGGTCAAATAGACTGTAAATTACAAAAGAAAAAACATTTTATTTGAAAACATTCACCGCTTCAACAATTCATTCAGTTTTTAAAATGCAACAATGTCAAATATGCTTTAAATTTTTTATTAGTACAGACAGTATCAACAAAATAGTTTCAGTCCTTTAGTCCAAACTTGATGTTTCATCAGTGCAATTTGAAAGTTCAATATAGTGTCACTCATAGTTTTCTTCTAAACGCATAGTTTTCTTCTGAAATGACATTTTAAACAACTTGGCTTGCAAATCTTTTACTTCTGGTGTTTCCTTGGTCCTCCATATCAAACACAGCAGTTTATGAAGGTATAATTGCTGTAAACTTGTGTGAAAACAAACTTTAGCTAGGAAATCTCATCAAGCATGTCCTGTGAATGAACTGCTTCCCAGCCACAGGATGACCGTTTTATCCATGATGATGTAGTAGCTGCTGATCGCTCGTCTGGTGGTTGCTGATGCATGGATATAGGGTGATGCTCATCTAAGAACTCTTCAAGACTCCAGCATGACTAAGAAAAATGTTTGAAAACAAATTGCAATCAAATTCTATGATATATTTAAAAGAACATTTAAAGTAAATAAAACATTCAAGAAATCTAAACTCACCTTTTGAAAATCTTCATGATGATCCACAACTTGACTCTCCCAGCTGGTTGAGGTGACAGGATATGGAAAAGTAGAAAAAACACATATATCACTGTTGGATCTCCAAAAACAATTAGGTTAACCACTATGACTAGAACTGGAAAAACAGGCAGCTGTCTGTCCAGAATCTTGAATTTAACACAACACTTGGAGCAAAATTTAGAGGAGCTTAAAATCTTTTATATCATTTAGTGATGCTGACTTCCCCAAAATATTGGCCACAGTGTAAAAAATATTCATAAACTTAAAGTTTTATGTAAGTGTGTGCCTGCGTGTGTGTGCGTGCACGTTTCTTTACCAGATTCAACTTGTTAGGCCCTTTCAGGTCCAGTATTGACGCCACCTTTCCTGGAGTCTAGCAGATGTTTCAGGTCCAAATATAATCTAAAATATTAGGATAAGCAGAAGAGAAAAAGTGCAAAGCAAAGAGCAAAACATTATTTAAGTAATAGTTCACCCTCAATACAAAACTTATCACCTTCGTGTCATTTGTTATTCTTGAATGCTCTAATACCCTCTCAGCTTATTGTGAAACAAATACAGAACTTTATCAAACATACCTTCATTATTATCACCACATATGACCAAGAAGGTGTGCTTGGTCATTTCACCAACACTGGAAATACACCATCCGTCACCGTCACAGGGTCTTGTGTTATTGTATAGAGAACTGTGTCTGTTAAAAAACAACAAAACATTAGTATCTAACACATATGCATAACCTTCAGATAAAAAAGAGAGATGAACATCACAAAGTATGCCTCACACTTTTCAGATATCTTTTGATTCAGATGTTGATTATTGATAATAAATCTACAAATCAAACCTGTATCATCTTTAGGCTGCTCAAATATAAATCAGTTGATTAATTTTACAGACAGGTGGCTGTTTACAACGCACTAAATTGTCTTTAATAAAACGGAAATGTTGTGTACATGCTAGGTTTAGTCTATAAGCACAATATCATGCGGGAGAAAAAGTTTGACTAAGATGTTCCTGACTACAGAAATAGCCTAACTTACTAACGTCAGACATCCCGAGTTGGGAAAAGTCACTTTCGGGGGATACAGAGTTGATTTGCGGGAAGTAGCGGGAGAGATGGGTACCTAAAGAGCAATGGGGTGAGTTGCGCGCGACGTACCTAAAGAGCGGTGGGGGTGACTTGCGCGCGACGTACCTGAAGAGCTGGGAGGGATGCGGTGGAGAGGGGTGTGCAAAGTGTTTAATGACCGGGCGGGAGGCGCGCGATTTCCGGGAGATTATCATTTGCGGGCATCTACTTGGGCATCTGGGAGTTTCTGTGCATTTGCGGGATAACGTTAACGTTAGTCCCGCAACTTCCGGGAGACTTCTGTAACGTTAAATGTCAGAGAAAGTGCTAACGCGGTCATTTAAAGACATTAATGTTAACATTCCGACTTTATTGGTTGTCAACACTTAATATAATTCAAGCGTACGTTATCACACGAGTCTATGGACTAATGGTATATGGACGGCCACGAATCAACCAGTTTAAAAGGGCCGCGGTGTTTAAAATAACCAAATTAACGTACACAAATAACAAACAATCATATGTTTTAGTCAGGAAGCCTTTTACAAGTAAGCATGTGTTGATTTACTCACCAGATATGTTTTAGAAACTCTCCAGAGCTTATGGAAACCGTCCTGTGTTGCCGTTAGCATCCGGGCAGAGTAAGTTAGGCTGTTTGGCGGCTCTGGGGATTCCCTCGCTAGTTTGCTTCAAATTAAAGGAGAAGTGTCCATTTTATTTTATAGATGGGAAACAATGCACAAAATGGCATTAAGCGTGACAGAAATGCGTTGAACATGTACATTTGATGTTTTTATGCACTATGTATGCGTGAGCATATATAAAAACATTCTTGAAAAGAAGTGAATAGTAATGCAGTTAAGCTAGATACACAAACGACCATGAATGAACCGCAGAAGTTTAAAATTGTCACTCCATTCTAAAGTCATTAACTTAACAATATGTCTACAACTGTATTTTCTTAAAGAAAGTCAGTAAAATACCAACATTTAGGTAGTTTGACTCACCAGTTGCTGTTCTAAACCTCAGATGGAAAATGGCGTCTGGAAAATTCTTCAGTGACTGGGGCTGCATGAATTCCCGGATGTTGGAAATAACACCACCAAGTGTTGAAAAGATAACTCCTTGATTTCTCTATGAATAAAATCAATTCTAACTCTTATTATATTCATTTGTCAAAATCTAACTCTTTAACGTCAACACTTTACTCTGAAATGCTTCAACACCGAGAATTTAACTCTGATGAATTTGCTGTGTATGTTTAGAAATGTGCTGAAAGCATTAAACAGAAATCTCTATGAAACAGAAATTGAGAAAAAAAAGAACAGGGGGTCTAATAATTCTGACTTCAACTGTATATTTTAGGTATCTTCTGTACCAGTCGTGACACCTGAGGTTCAATCCGACCTTCAGTCATCAAAAATCCTGAACCGCAAGGTACGGATGTCTCCTCTGTGGCGAATCATGGGCTACAAACCATACGGAGCTCACTGTCATGATAATATTGAGTGCAATACGGGATTTTGCAGGTAAATCACTGCTAACAACCATCTCATGTCATTTAACATCCTAAAAACACCTAAAGTAAACTGATTTATTTTCTATCCTCAGGAACGGTCAATGTTCGTTTAATGAGGCTGTTCATTCCTAGCGGAGCGGAGGCCTGGAAATACTCATTTATGAGTCAACTTAACTATTTTTGTACTATTTTATGTTCATATCATTGGCTATGTTGCAAGCACTTTAATTTTTTAACTGTCAAAGGTCTGACTTGAAAAGTTACATGGGTTTCCATATATTTGTTGTATGTTCATTTGATAATATGATAATGTGATGTTAAATCTGAAAGTCTCAAAGAGATAGTTCACCCAAAAATGAAAACTGCCTGAACATTTTACTTAGTCAACAGTTTCTAATTTCTTCATTTTTTTCTTCTGTTGAACACGAAACAAGATATTCTGAAGAATGTTCAGAAGGAAACAGCAGCAATTGACATCCATAGTAGGAACAAAAAAAAAACTATGAAAGTTGATGGCTGTTTATTGCAGCATTGCTCTTTTATGTTCAACAGAATAAAAAAAACTTAAAGACTCAAAACATGATGACAGAATTTTCATTTCTGGTTTCTATCGCTTTAAGGTTTGCATTTGGCAAGACACTGCAGGCTAATATGTTAGCCTAATTTAAGTACTAATATTTATCCGTCCATCAGTTTATTGAATACACTGAGAAATGTAAACATTTTTTGCAGATGATTTTGAAGATGTGCTTTATGCAAATGAGGGATTATTTATTTAAATATGCACTAATTTGCATAGATTTCTTGCACAAAAATCGGTAACACTTTACAATAAGGTTTATTAGTTAATGCATTTACTAACATGAGCTAATCATGAACAACACATGTACAGCATTTATTAATCATAATTGAACATTTACTAATGCATTATTAACATCCAAGTCCAAGTTAACATTAGTTAATGCACCATGAGTTAACATGAACATGAACTACTGTATTTTCATTAACTAACGTTAACTAGCATGAACAAATACAGTAGTAAATGTATTGTTCATTGTTTTTTCATGTTAGTAAATGCATTAAGTAGCATTAACTAATGAACCCTATTGTAAAGTGTGACTCAAAAATCTGAACATTAGATGAGGTCAGCTTCAAAAATTACATTTATTTTATTTATTTACACTAGAGTTAAAGTTTTTTGAGATTTTGAGATTTTTATCACTCCATAATTCAGAAAATACTGCAAGCAACCAGAACAAAAGAATTGAATTGAAATTAATACCTGACATAACCCCTTCTGAAAACAGATTATTTGTAAAGTTTAGTGTGCTGTAATTTAGATTTATGGAAAAAAAAAAAAAAACATTTGTTTTCCTAAAATAGAGCAGGAATGCCCAAACCTTTTCTTATGAAGAGCCAAACTTGATTGAGGCTAGTGGGCTGAAGGTAAATATATTTGCAATAGTAATTTCCTAATTTATTTATGATTAACAATGACTATAAAACATTGCTTTATATTAAATAATAAAGTTTTTTTTACATTTTATAATAAACTTACTACAGTAAAAACAAAACACTCTAATTTATAACAGAATTACCCTAGTTTAATTATTATTGATTTGCGCACCGATGTCTTCTGCATAGTCCTCTATCCGTCGAGGGAAATTATTTACATTTAAAAACTCTGATTTTAACATTTAATTGAAACATTTTGTTTCAGTTTGCTCTAAATAAAATAAATAAAATAAAGGCATTCACCTGAACCCTCTCTTTCATACTCATTCTCCTCTCAGATGGCATGGTGGGCCAAAACAAAGGTTACAATGGGCCAACTTTGGTCTGTGGGCCCTAGATTTGGACATATCTGAACTAGATTAAAAGGAAAAAAAGTCTCAAAAGTGTGCTTTGCCTGCAGTGTCTCTCCTTAAAGCTTTAATCTGGTGTACTAAATTGTGTAATGCACTATTAAAAATTGTTTATTATCTTTTATAATAACTCGCTGAGCCTAAACTTTCAATTTGAACATCTATGTTGAAACTAATAGGGATATTTGATATAAAGTACTGTATTTGATAAGGTATGAGGGACACAGAATCGGTCTATATGAGAACGTGGCCGGCCGCACGCATCCTCTGTGTTCTCAGAAAGCCATTAAAGGCCCTCGGTGTCCTCATGCTTGTGAGAGGTGTATTTGCACAAGAATGTACTGTAACAGACCCGATGTCATTGTACTGTGACCTCCACATGTACTCAGATGTTCTGACACAAAAGAGCAAAGTCTTGGTCTGTCAAATAAAACGCTAAAAATACCTGCTTCTGTGATGGTGAGTTCATTTTTTCATTTTGTGCTGTTTTTGGGGAATGCGTGTGTGCTTGTAAGTGAACATGGATAAGCTTTTTTTTTTTGTTATTTTTTTTTGTTATAATAACCATATTAATTTTAAACATTTTTGACATTTAAATTTACTTTTGGTGTAATAACATCTGGTCATTTTAGACCGAAAAATATTTGGTTTTGAATTATTTTATTGTTTTCCTTTATTGGAATGGGCGATGATAGTAGGTCATTTTTGTCTCATTAGTTAATGTCAAAATTAAACACTCAAAAAATCATGGTCATAAAAAAATTGAACAAAAATTAAAGCTGTATCAGAAAAAACTAATAAATGTATCTAAATATAATTTTTTACCAACTAATTGCTAAATGTTTGTATAGTTTGATTTGAATTGTTACTAATAATTCAATATTCATTCATTCATTCTTCTTCGGCTTAGTCTCTTATTTATGAGAAGTCGCCACAGCGACTGAACCGCCAACTATTCCGACCTATGTTTTACGCAGCAGTGCCCTTCCAGCTGCAACCCATTACAGGGAAACACCCATACACTCTCACATTCACACACACAAACACACATGGTCAATTTAGTTAATCTAATTCACCTATACCGCATGTCTTTGGACTGTGGGGGAAACCGGAGCACCCAGAGGAAACCCACGTGATCACGGGGAGAACATACAAACTCCACAGAGAAATGCCAACTGACCCAGCCGGGACTCGAACTGCAGCAACCTTCTTGCTGTGAGGTGACAGTGCTAACCACTGAGCCACCATAATTATTCCTTATTAAGATATTTTTTTGAAATTATCTAATGCTTTCCATGTGTTCATATTCTAAAGATTGGTTGTTCTTAATGCAAACCTGCAAACGTCTAATGAAAAATAAAAAAATAAATCTAAAGGCAGACCTCTAAATATATACTTTAAATATAAATCTAGAAAATGTATTTAAAAAAATTTTAACTTAATAAAACTAAGAAATTATGTCCAAGAAAATTCTCCTTATAAAATTATACAGGACATTTAGCTGAATCAGTAGATAATATACGCTCTAAAAACTGCCTGGTTATTTTAACCAAATTTTGGATGTAATATAGACTAATCCAACTGCCAATTAAAATAATAGAACCAAATTTAACTCAATTGTTGGGTTAGTACATATTTTACCCAATTTAGGTTTAAATAAGCCAGCATTTCCTAGAGTGAAATAATATATAATATAATATAAAATTCCTTACAGTTGATTTAAAATAATTCATTCATTCATTCATTCATTCATTTTCTTTTCGGCATAGTACCTTTAGTAATCAGCGGATGCCACAGGGGAATGAACTGCCGACTTCATTCATTCATTTTCTTTTCGGCTTAGTCCTTTTATTAATCTTGGGTCGCCACAGCAGAATGAACCGCGGACTTATCCAGCATATGTTTTACGCAGCGGATGCCCTTCCAGCTGCAACCCATCACTGGGAAACAACCATACACTTCCATTCACACACATAAACTACGGACAATTTTAGCTTACCCAATTCACCTGTACCGCATGTCTTTGAACTGATGCTTCTCACAGACTGATTACACGGACTATTTAAATAACACAGAAACACTGTTGCTGAGTTTGCTGATTTGTTTGTAAACATTACAACACAGATTCCTTAATTTGTTTTCCTGTGTATTTTGACCTTCGCCTTGTTTGTTTGTGTATGTTGCCTCCTGCCTGCCTGTTGACCTTCTTCCTGTTTAATTGACCACAACACTGGATCGCCCTTATCTGCTCCTCAGTTGATCGTTGCTTGCTTGACCACTCTCTGTCTGAATAAAGACTGAATATGTATCCGCACCCGTTCTCAGTGTCCACTTCACTGTTACACCAAACATAATTAGAAATAGAAAGATTTAAATTCAAGCAACAAATTGCAAATAATTTCAACACTTTTTTCTATTTTTTGCTTCTCTTGATTTTCCTCTTTTTTTTTTTTTAATTTGCATTTACTATTTTTCTAAAACATGTAAAGTTGGGTGTACTAGTTTTTGGAGTGTTATTGTAAGTTATTTTATTAGATAAGCTCCAGATTTGGCTTTAGGCCTGATTATTCTAATGTATTTCCACATATATAATATTGTATAGCTTCCTATTAAAAATATGAATTTAAAAAAGAGATTTGTGAGGGGTGTACTCGTATGTGCTGAGCATTGTATCTCACTCAAAAAATAAAATTTACTTGGTTCCAATCTTTTATCAGTTTTTTTTTTTGTTTTGTTTTTTTGGTGTTGAGCACAAAAGCTGAAAACCTAAATTATTGATTTCTAAAGAAAAACAAATACTGTAGAAGTTGGTGTTACATGTTTCCGGCTTTCTTCAAAATGTCTTCTTTTGTGTTCAACAGAAAAAAATGTAATAAAGGATGAGTAAATTATGAACTATTTTTATGTCTCTTCAATATAATGTACAGTGGGTTGTATTCAAGCCTGTAACCTTCAGAAAAGTCTAGAACTTGTTTTATTTTATTTTTAATTTATTGTTAGTATATTTTGAAATACAGCTTTTTTGACCTGATGTTAATGGAAAGGGACAAAAAATCATTAAAGATTATTGAAATTTTAAATTTTTTTTTTTCTTTGAATCTTATGGAAGCAGGGAAACTGATTAACGCACAGTTATAGTAGGTTAAAGTCGTTATAGTAGTTTCAGGCAGGTTTCAACCTCATTACAGTTTCATATCACTACGCTGAATGATTTCAGTTATTTCAGTCTGTCATCAATAATTCTTTAGCAACTGATCAATTGCAAGTATGGATGTAAACAGCTATAATCCCGAGCGCACCTCAACACCAGTTACACCATCTAATAATGTAACAGATACAGCTGTACAACTCGTCCTCAAGGCTTTGACATTTGCCCACTTCACATGTACTTGACACTTGATACTTGATCCGCCAGCAGTAAAGACACACCGCTGGTGGTGAGACTCTGGAGCTAAACTGCGCTCAGAAGCACAATGAGAAGTCGCAGTAATTCTGGAGTCAAACTCGACAATTATGCCAGAACTTTACAACAGACGATCCTCTGTCAGCAGGTGAGCAGAAACATCCCACTTTCCACTATACTGTATGACGCTTGTGTTGTGTTGCTCTTTTACACACACACTAGCCTTTACTGAAACTGCAGAGTAACATCTCTGATGCAAAGGTATGCTTTAAATATGCTTTAAAGTAAATAAATACATAAAAGAAAATATGATTTAAGATAAATAAGATATTTTTTCCCCTCTGGCTGTAAAGCTTAAATTTGCTTTAATGTGTTTTGTCTAATAAAGTTGGTTTTTAAATAAATGATAATAGTAAATAGTAATGAATTAAATTAAATGTTTGTGCATTATTCGTATTTAAATATATTTGTTACAATAGTTATCTTTAATAATAAGTAATAATTCTAATATATAGTTATTAGTTATCCTAAATGTTGCAAACAGCGGCAATACAGATCTTTTATTTAACATATTAAAGTCATTTGTTGTGAATACTAGGCTATATTGTTTTTGAGTCATACTATACTATAGTACAATACTATGTATTACAGTGTGTTGCATATATTATATATTGTTTAAAAATCTATGTTAATCAATGCTTCATAATACTGTTAAGAATACACACAGCAAAATCCTCTGAGTAAAATGTAGGCCTACTCAGTTTAGATAGCATTTAGGCCCTCTCTAAATTGAGTTGATGATACTCAATTTAATGAGACATTGAAAGGATGATGTTTGAGTACTGATGATGAACACTTGCTGTTAATAAGCAGAAATACGGAAGAGAAACACAAAGCTACAACTGACTTAAGTCACAGACTTAGATGAAGTCAGCTGAAATATAATACATTGAATCTCTCAAAATCTCAGCAGAGAACCATTAAGCAACTCCACAAACAACAGCTTTACCAACCTGCTTGCCCTTTAAAGAGGGACCAAGTATTCTCTGAACTGAGTAAATTCTACTCAAGAGGATTTTGCTGTGCAGTCACAACAGTGATCTGATAAACAGTACAGGGTATAAATGGATATATTATGTTGATTTTAGTAAAAGCTAAAGTACACTACAGTATTTAGTATAATAAAAACTCTAGAATACTTTTTTACTAAAGTAAACTGTGGTGTTTTATTGTAGTGTAAAATACTCTATAGTTAGAAAATCTACATTATTTGGGTATTTGTATTATATGTTTATATTATGTTGTAGAATTACCACTACAGATCAGAGCACTTTACTATAGTAAACACTGTAGAATTGATTATACATTTATATAGTATTTTTTAATGTGGAACTGAACATGGTTAAAGTGTATTGTTGACAGAACTTTTTTAGTTAAATGTTTCTCCATATGAGGGTGTCAAAGTAACGCAGTGGTTAGCACAATCGCCTCACAGCAAGAAGGTCGCTAGTTTGAGCCCCAGCTGGGTCGGTTGGCATTAATGTGTGGAATTTGCATGTTCTACTCATGTTCGCTCCACAGTCCAAAGACATGCGCTATAGGTGAATTGAATAAGCTAAATAGTTTTTAGTGTATGTGTGTGAATGCAAGAGTGTATGGGTGTTTCCCAGTGTTGGGTTGTGGCTGGAAGGGCATCTGCTGCGTTAAACATATGCTGGATAAGTTGGTGGTTCATTCCGCATTGGTGACCCCAGAATAATAAAGGGACTAAGCCAAAAAGAAAAAAATGAATGAATAGATAAAATAATGTTTTTTTTAAAGCAAAAAAAAATGTATTTTAACAATTTGTCTAATAAAGTTAGTTCTTAGATGAGTGCTAATAATAATAATAAGTTAAATTAAACTTTTGTGCAATTTCTTTTATTTAAATATGTTTGTAACTAGTTATAAATCTGAAATTTTGCACACAATGAAGCTGCAGTTGTGTACATATAAAGTTGGCAATAGGCCCTTTATTGATTTTCAATCATACTATAATTGTATATTACATGCTGTATATATTGTTTAAAAATGTTTGTTAATAAATCCTACATAAAATTATGGTAACAACGATGACCTGGTAAACAGTATACAGGATATATATGAATATTAATTTAGTGTAAAACTAAAGTATTATATTAAAAACTGTAGTATTCTTTAGGTTTTGACTAAAGTAAAATGTGGAGTCTCATTTCCCATTTCCTTTAAGAGTCAGTTGCGTCACACCATGGTGCATTAGCTATTCAAATGGCAAACTTTGTAAGTGGAAAAACTGAACACTTCACTAGCGAGAAAACAGTTAAACAGACCATCTGCAGCCCGAGGATAAAGAACAAGCCTCCTCCATTGGGCCACTTTACTTTCTCTTCACTTTTACTCTTTACTCTTTTAATTTCGTGGATAAGGAAAGGCTGTTGTATGCACTCCACTGAAGACACTCATTAGCTTACATATTTAACTTTGTTTGTTATGCCCAAAGATTTGATTCAAAACTATTTCTAAATTCAGTTCTAGTTTCCAGCAAATGAATAAACGAACAACAATAGTGAAGTGTGGTCAAAAAACTGAGTTATATCCAAACACACGTCCTATTCTTATGCTCCATATAGTGATGTATGCGTCTCCAAAACCCAACATGTGGACAAATCTAAACTTGTTTTTTTATTAAATTTAAAAATGCCTATAATAAATAATACTGCTAATAATAATAACATTATACAAATGCAAATTGTTATGAATAAACTGAAAAAAGCCCCCCGGCATGAAGAAGGCATGATTTTTATATTTATGTAGAAAATAATAATTTTTGTAACATTTTAATCCTGAAGACCTGTGCCTTAACAGACCTCCTTTTTAGACCGAAACACCCATGAGTCTACAAAGTAGCGCAAATAGATTTGCTATTTAAACAATGTGGTGCAAAATGTGAAAATTAGGGTTGCGCTGCTCTGAAAATAGCAACAAATCGCGGCAAAGACGTCTTGCGGCTGATTGCGCCGGGGGAATGATAGAGCCCAAAAACTAGCAAAAAAAGCAGTAAAAGCATATTTTGCAGTGTACGTTTAGAATTGTATTGTGCACTTTAAACTGTAACATATTGCTTATAAGCATGATAGATCTTCAAGACATTGACATATATGGTTTCTCATGACATTTGTTCAGGATCCGGTGACAGGTTTACTCCCGGGAGATGAGAAGTTACCTCACGCCTGGGTTCGAGACAACGTGTACTGCATCTTGTCAGTGTGGGCTCTGAGTTTGGCCTACAGGAAGAACGCAGACAGAGATGAAGACAAAGCCAAAGCCTATGAACTGGAGCAGGTCGGTCTGTGCATACATAGTGAGCTGAGAGACACAAACAAAAACACCGTGATTTTGTCGCAGGGCATCGGAGATCATGTCTGACAGCGTCCCAGACATTGAATATTTTCTGCTCATTAGTATTTGTGTCTGGGAGAGCATGTAAAATGCCAGAGGGCACATCATTTGGCTCATGTTTCTTTCATAGTCGTAGCAGATGGAGAGGATAAGGTCACGGTCAAGGCTCATTTCTCTCTTTCCCTCTCTCCTGTTCTCTCCTCGTCCTGTAGAGCGTGGTCAAGCTCATGCGAGGATTACTGCAGTGCATGATCAGACAGGTATGAATAAACAACCCTTCTTGTTCAATTACACAGCAATGGAAAGAAATAGGAGACCACTTGACAATTATGTTTCTCTGATTTTCTGGATTTATTAAGTGTATGTTTGAGTAAAATGTTAAGAGTCTGAACACATTTATTCCAAATTTCAAATAAATATATTGATATTAAGAAGCAAATTACCCACAAAATGATAATCATTCACGGTTGTGTCTCCGAAAACTATTGTTAGATAACTAAGGTCGCAAGTTCTGTCGCTATAAGGAGAGTTTGTTGATTTGTCATTCTATTGAACATTCGCAAACTGCATCGCAAACTTGTACGCTTGCAACTACACATCTAGAGCTGTAGTTAGAAGCAGAATTTCTGGTTGTGTTGTATTCCCCATAATCCCGCTTATGCCCTATTCCTTTTGAATGTTCCAACTATTAAAAACATTAAAGTCGTCTCTTTTAGGTGTAATTTGCTTTCAAAGTATTTTTACATTTCAGTTTTAGCGATCTTCATATTGATGATTGCGTTCCCTTTGTAGTGCAAGTTGAAAACGTTTATGCCATTTTGAACGCAGCCCTGGTTCATGAAGAAAGCTGTAGGTGGCTGTAGCAGAATGTTTTACATCTACAAAGCTTGTGAAAACAAATATATAGCATACGTTATGGGTTTTGATTTATAGGTTATTTATTGAGAAATGTATCTATTGTGTATAAGACATGGGCCTGCTGGTTAGAACATTTCTGCAGTAGTTTGAATGTGTCTGTAACCCCACACCAGCAGAGGGAGCCCTCGCCTAGGGTTGGGTATCGTAACTGGTATGCACCGGAACGAATCAGCATATGAATTTCGATGCCTAATTCCAGTGCCACTTTTGCTGCGACAAGAACTTAAAGCAGGTCGCACACCAGAAGCGCCATGCGCCATGCATTTTAGAATTCTAAACATAGGTTTTTATCAGGGAACACACACCGGCGCCACAAGTCGGCGGCTGTCTGCGGCGCCCAGCCAAGGCTCAGGACACTGTTCATATTTCTGACGCGCCACAGAGCGCCATCTGAACAGTTTAATTTCAAATAACATGCGAATGTAACCCACCTGGTGTGATACTTTCAACTGTCCTGTTCGCGCCTTAAGAAGCATCAAGGGGTGCATCAAAGGCACACATAGGTACGCATTCAGTCACACATCTCCAAATATTTAATTCTAAACAGCTTTGAGGAATATGGACAGAGTCAGCGATGTCAGGTGTTTGTTCTTGTTGCTTATTGAAGGCAAATTGCAGCCTGATCTTACGAGAAAACGTAAGTATTTATGTTTTGCCAGTTTAGTGGCTAATTCGTACGAATTCGTACGAGTTCAGTCGTATGAAATGGTACAATTTTAAAAAGGAGGCGTGGCACCTGACCCCACCCCTAACCCCAACCATCATTGGGGGATAGGCAAATCGTACTAAATTGAAAAAAGTGAAAAAGTTACGAATTGCCGTGAGATTGTGTTGCAAATTGCGCAGTACGGCACATGCGTTGAACGACTCCCTTTATCAACACGCATGATCACATTCATCTAATTTGCTTAAACTAAGCATTCTAAAGTATGGCTATATTTCACAAGCAAGGATTCTGAAACATCAACCCACAGTAGATGCTTTACAAAAGTTGTGTGTAAGGGGGAAAGCACGTTAAACTTATGAAATGTGACGGCTCATGGAATCTTTGACAGCTTGTGACATCATCTGGCACTTTCAGAGAGTACATTTTCATGGACCTCAATACTCAGATTTTAATATGATTAAGACAATACTCTGATCAAGAGTCTTCCACGTAAACAGGGATTTTTGATTATCTTAAAGCACTACAGACACTATGTTTCCATCCAAAAATGCAAATGAACTTTATGTGCAAAACTGAATTATCGCATAAAAGACGTGTAAATAAAGCAGCGTTTCCATCCAAAATGCGCATAAAAATTGGTGGATGGAAACATAGCTACAAAACTGTGGAGGAAACATTTATAGGCAGGTGACGCAATGACGTTAATGGATCTATGTGCTATAACATGTAACTGGGAATCATGAATGTTACATTCAAAAAGCAATTCATGTAAACACCTGAATCATGTCATTGTCTTATTCAGATTAAGGCAAATCATTAGATCACTGATGTCCATATAAAAGTAGTCACAAGCCCCAAATCCAGAAAAAAGGTGATTCCTGATTTTGAAGACAGCTTTTAGACAGGTTAGTAGTAAGCTAATGTAATTTTAATAGCATAATGCAAATCTTGCATTCATGCTAACAAACAACTGATCAAAAGAAATATATTAATATAATTTTAATATATAAAATATGAATTGATGTTTGATGATGATTGTTCAATTATAATAATTTAAAATTTGTATTTTTGTCAAATAATTTTGTGGCTAAAAAGTATCGGTTCAGGCCGGTCCCACCGTTTTTTAAAAGTATCGATTTAGCACCGGTAACAAAATAACCTCAAACGATACCCAACCCTACTCTCGCCCAACTACTAACTCAGCTCTGCTCCCTCTGCGCTCACTTCCGGTTTGTGCTGTATAGCAAGTGAGAGCTCAGGCCATGTTACTTTGCGAAGTATTGCCAGTTTATCTGCCTTACCAAGCGTTGTTACAAGTGACTCTCATGACTGCTAACCTGTGTATGACCCTGCCTGTTTTGATCAAATACGTTCTTTGTCTCAGCCCTTTTGATTTGCTTTGGACTGTTTGTTGTTGCCTTGATCTTTTGCCTGCTTTATCACCACATCTTCAGTATTCTCCTTTGTGTATGTTGAATGGTTAGGACTGCTTACATGTTGCAGACTCTTTGCCTGTTCACACCTTGATGTCTCTGCATAAGCCCCTTAATAAACTTCCGCATATGGATTCCAACACTGTCTCAGCCTCCTCGTTACAGTGTCAATTTGTAAAAGTAAACTTTAAAAAAAAAATATATATATTCTACTTATTATTATTATTATTATTATTATTATTATTATTATTATTAATAATAATAATAAATATGCTGATTATTTTTATTATTATTAAGTAGGATTTTTTTATTTTTTAATAAATGGCCTACTGTAATTTAGACTTACAAACATTAATGATTTATATGATTTATATATGAGAGAATACGTGTGTAACAGAGAGTCTGATAACGAGGGATCCATTTGCAGAATGCTTATTAAACACAGTTAATAAACTAAAAAACAACAAGTGCTGGTAGATAAACTCACATGAACAACAGGCTTAAAGGATTGAGAGGCATGCAGCAAACATACATAGGTCAGTATAACAGGCATGGATCAGGGGCTGGCAGTGAGATACAAGAACGGAGAGAGGAGCAAAGGGTCTGGGTCATACCTGTCAACATTGGGATGTGAAAATAAGGGATTTGCCCACCATAATAAGGGATTCCCTATGAACCCTCACCTGATTACTGATCACCCGCACCTGCAATCACCCATGCACTATTTATACTCACCTCATACTATCACTCACCTGCTGGAATCGAAGTCAGATGGTTCTCAGATGGGATTTTTCCCCCTAAATAAGTAGTTACTCCACTTTGTTTAGAGCATCATTATGAACATTTTACGTTATAACTAACGTGGTTCAAACAAAATTTCTGCGTCAGAGAAACTACGGTTTCTGGAAATACTCATCACTACATTGTTCTTTTCCCAACAATGCATCGTACTGTGATAGTTCAGCCATCAGTGAATAACAATGTTTTCAGTAAAAAAAAGAATAATTTCTTAACCATTTTAAAGTTTTAATATTGATATTTGTCACATAACCAGCTATGTGATCCTGTAAGGTCACTGGCATACTACACATGTCATTCAGGAACTACATATACCTGCATGCCTTTGCACAAACCAGTCACCATTAACCATTAATCACACACAGCTGAATATCGTCATCATCAATTGTTTGGACTATTTATACACATTGCACACACCAGTCAAGGCGGAGTCTTTGTTTGTCAGTACTTGTATGGTTTCAGTGAGTGTCGTCCTGTTTATAGTTTTTCTAGTTATGTTTTGATGATTGTTTTGTAACTTTTTGTACTTTGATCATCCCTTTGTTTTTGCATTTTTTGATGCCCTTCATGATACCCGAGTTCTTGTTTTTTGGCCTCATTTGTTTTTGCCTGTACGAATAATCTTTTTCATGAAATTGCATTTTCATCCAAATTGCATTTGGATCCAACCTCTTGTCTTCACTCCCTTGACACCCGGTGACAGATATTGTGCTGTCAAAAAATGGACATAAACATGTGTGAAAAGTTCTTCTTTATCATCTTTACAATATTTTTTTCTTAGTTTTTGCAAAACAAAGTCAGCACTTTTATTTTAAATTTGGAAGAAATCTAGCTTTTGTCCTAACCATCTGCGCCAGCAACATACAAATTTCTATTTCAGAAACTGCAAACGGATGAAAGACATGACGACAGGTGTCGATTCCAAATGCAGTGTTATTATGACAATGGTCAGACAGGCAGGTTTTGAAAACCAAACAACAACAGGGTTAATCCAAGAGTTTAAACAGTCAAAATGTCAATGCAGGCTGCAAAGAATCAAAACACGATAAACTATACCAGGGCATAAACAAGGAAAAGGCTTAGAATTGTAGAAACAAGACTCCCACTAGCAATGGGGGAGTGTATGAGTGATGTTTAAATAGTGTGAGTAATCTGTGTAAATGAATAAAACAACACCATAAATTTTATCATGTCAGATACAAATTATGTGTTTATAGTTAAATCTATAGTTGCTATCCTTGTGCGCATGTTGGCTTGCTGTTCTCACTGGGAGATTCTATGTTTAACCAACTTCTCGGGGAGCAACAATCTCACTTAAACAGAGGGCAATTTGACTGCTTGACTACACAAAACAACCATCTCTTTTTTAATGAGTGACAGGACATCAGGAGGAATTATTTCCTCGCTCTCAAGTGCTATAAATGATAAGTGGTCACTGAATTTTTTTTCAGAAAGATTATTTAGTGTCTGAGTTTGAAATGCCTTGTTTGTTTTTTGTTGTGATTGATGTTTTGTTGTTTATTTGAACTATACATGTGGGTAAAATAAAAAGAATTTACACTTGATTTAATTTATTTCAAAAGAATGCTTATTCAGTACAGCCAAAATTCTGTAGAACCCCCTCAGAGTGACACCAAATCAAGGAGAGGTTTTGCTATATGACATTGTTATTACATAGTAATTATAATTACATTGTAATAACATTGTCAATACATTATAGTTAATATGTATTAATGTAATACATTACAAAAACTATGTTATAACAATGTAATACAATATAAAAATGTAATAAGAATGTAGTTACAATGCAACTGTATTGTCCATAATGTAAAAACTATATAATTGCAATGTTATTACAATGTTAGTATAATGTAATGACAATGTGGTTACATTGTTATTACAATGTTTTTACATTGTTAATACATAGTAATTATAATGTAATGACTGTTGTTATAATGTAATCATAATGTAATCACAATGTAATTACAATAATACTATGTAATCACATTGGCATTACAATTACTATGTATAAACAATGTAAGTACAATGTTATTAAAATGTACTTACATTGTCATTGCATTATAATTACTACGTAATACAATGTAATGCAATTTAGTTACTATGTAATAACAATGTAATTACAATACTACAATGTAAATACATTATAATTACATTGTAATACTATTGTCAATACATTATATTTACTATGTAATAACTATGTAAAACAACATAACTAGTATGTAATAACAATGTCGTTGTAATATTACAATGTAATTACATTGTCATTATATTGCAATATGTAATAACAATGTAGTTACAATGTTATTACAATTATTCATTATTACAATGTATTTACAATGTCAATGTCATTTATAATACATTGTTATTACATACTAATTATAATGTAATGGCAATAGCCCCTTTCACACATACAGACCTTTCCGGAAAATTGCCGGCAATTTTCCGGAAAGGTTGTATGTGTGAACAGGTCCTTTTTGAAAATACCAGTAAATTCGTTCTGGCTATTTTCCGGAAAGAGAAGTTGTAACATTACCGGCAATTTGCCGGAATGCTGCGCTGTGTGAATGCAGAAGGAAGATTACCGTAATAAGCGCGTGGACGTCTAGAACGTGCTGACGTGAGACGTCTGCTTTAGCCAATCACAACAGTCAGACGCATTTACGTCCGCGCGGTTTGTGAGAATAAAAACCTTTGAATATTTTTCCAGACACATTTAGCTGCTAGAAGTTAGTCAGATCACGTTTATATGTTCTTCTTTATGCCAACTGTGTAAATAATCATCGATGAGATGCTTATGATAAGCCGTTGTTTGTTTACCTTCAAGCTTTGCGTGTGCCTGTGAAACAGCCTGTGAGCGCCTGCACACGCACATATTATGAACATCTCGACATGAGAAAGTGATCCTGTGAAAGTTGCTCACAATATTGATCATCCACAGAGTTTGTAATTTAGTCAAATGTTTACAAATACAAGCGCAGCCGTATAAAAGCTCATTTGTGGTGAATGATGTCAGAATTTACCGTTATTTTGGAATGGATGTGTGAATGCTCTTTTCCGGAAAATTTCCGTAACGTCCTCGCCTGTGTGAACAGCGCTTTTTTGAATATACCGGTAAAGTCGTTCCGGAAATTTTCCAGATATTTACCGGTATCACTGTGTGAAAGGGGCTATTGTTTATACTATGTAATGACAATGTAACCACACTGTAATATTGTTATTACATTGTTACAACACAGTAATTATATAGTAATAACAATGACATTGCATTGTCATAACATTGTAAATACATTGTTGTTACATTATAAATACTGTGTAATAACAATGTAATTACAATATTGTAGTGTAGTTACATTGTCATTACATTACAATTACATTGTACTAACATTGTCATTACATTATAATTACTATGTAATATTGTAATTACAACGTAAATACATTGTTTTTCAATGTAAATACATTATCATTAAATTATAAATACTATGTATTAACAATGCAATACAATATAATTACTAAGTAATAACAACAACGTATTTTTATTACATTATTTTATAGTTACTTTGTAATAACAATACATTAACAATATTACAATGCAAATACATTGTCATTAGATTATAATTACCTTGTAATGGCAGTGTATCTACATTATAACTACTTTGTAGTAACATTATTGTTACATAGTACATATAATGTAATTTTTATTTGTCACTAAATTATAATTAATATGTATTAACAATGTAATGCAACATAATTACTATGTAACAACAAAGTAATTACAATATCATAATGGAACTACATTGTCATTACATTATAATTACTATGTATTAACATTGTAACTACTATGTACTACCAATGTAGTTACAATGCTATTACATAGTAAATATAATGTAATGACTATATGATTACATCCAAAATAAAAGTTTATAATTACATTTGTACTATGTGTATGTAAAACAACTATTACACTCACTATAACCCAAACATGTAAATATGAAAGGTAAATCCAGAGAATATGGGAACAGTCAGGCGGTCTCATATAATAACTGTATGCAAATTGTGACCAGTCACGTTCAGGTTGGTTGGTTAATCTAAAGTACATAGTGTGTAAATAAAGCCTTGCTGTGAATATGATTTCAGCTTGATAAGGTGGAGAAGTTCAAGTACAGCAAAAGCACTAAAGACTGCCTTCATGCCAAGTACCATACCGGCACATGTGCCACTGTAGTCGGTGATCAGGAATGGGGTCATCTACAGGTGGACGCTACATCCATCTTTCTGCTCTTCCTGGGCCAAATGACAGCATCAGGTCAGAATACGTCAAATCTAAAGAAGTCACATACTACCTTTGTTATGTTTATCTTTTGCTTTAGCGTGTTAATGGTTATGTGCATATGTAGGCCTGACATCTACAAAGCTCACACAAAAGAAAAATCTGGAGCATTGATGCTCACTGTGTTCTTTTAACAGAAGTTCTGAAGTGCCAAACATGGAGCAATTGAACCAACTTACAGAATATTACAACACACAAGAGAAAGAAACTTAATTAATTTATTTTATATTTAACTATAACTAAACATTTACAACTGAATAATGGTTGAAATGTTGCTGGTATATGAAACAATCAACATATCAAATCATAATCAAAATAATCTAATTATTTATCTATAAATGCACTTCAAAAAATGATACAATTACTTGGTGAAAATATCAGTTCTGGCGTTGTTCATAAAATCCACATGAGTTTCATATAAGTTCAATAAGTTTTGACATTAAAAAGTTTTTGAAGTTTGTTAAGACTAATATGATAGGCTTAAAAACACCTGTACATGAATGACTGCCCTTCAAAGAACCTGTCTGTCAAGCTCCTGAAGTTTGCAGGTGACACGATATTTATCGGATGGTCACAAGTCTGCTTACAGACAGGAGTTTAAGGAGCTGGCTGTCTGGTGCAGTCACAACGACCTGGAGCTGAACACACTCAAAACAGTGGAGATGATAGTGGACTTCAGGAGAACCCACTTGCTTTCTCCCCAATGATCATCATGGACAGCATTGTGGCAGCAGAGGAATCATTCAGCTTCCAGGGCACCACCGTCTCTCAGGACCTGAAGTTGGACATTCACATTGACTCCATTGTCAAAAAAAGCTCAATAGAGGCTTTACTTACTTCTTTCATTGGCTGAGGAAGTTCAACCTTGCAAAGGAGCTGCTGAAACAATTCTACACTTTCATCATTGAATCAGTCCCCTGCATGTCAATAACTGTTTAGCTCAGCTACCAAATCTTACCTCTGAAGACTACCTCGAATAGTTCGTACTGCTGAACGAATCACTGGTACAACCCTCCCTAATCTCCAAGAAATGTATTTATCCAGAGCAAGCAGAAGAGCTGCCAAAATCCCCCTGGACCCCTCACACCCAGCACATTGCCTCTTTGATCTCTTACCTTCTAGTAGAGGTTACAGAGCACTGCGCACCAGAACATCCTGACACAGAAACAGTTTCTTCTCTCAGGCAATTCATCACATAAACCAGTCCCAGCACCATTATGTAATAACCGAGGGGGCATTTGAATCTCATTGGGGGGCACTAGACCTGATGATTGATTTTGGTCTCACTTGTTAATTTTTTGTATATTTGTATTTACTACTTCTATTTTTAAAATATATTTATTATCTGTTTTTTTTTTTTGTCCTGTCTCTGTAATTCTGTTGCACAAATGTCTTGTATGTGTGCACACACCTGGCAAAAAAAAGAAAGAAAAGGTCTTTCTGATTTTGATTCTGAAAAAAAAGTGATGTTGCAAACTGCAGTACACTTGTTTGTCACCGGTGGTGCTAATAACAACAATTCCTGAATTCTACATGAGTCCAATTAAACCAATTAATTTTTGTGTCCCATAAAATCATAGATTTTCACCACTTTTTATTTGCAGGGCTGAATATCGTCTATACTCGTGATGAAGTCGATGTTGTCCAGAATCTGATTTTTTACATCGAATCTGCATACAAAGTAGCGGTAAGCACCATTAAGCTGTTCTGATATGTATGGATTTTACATACTTTCCATGGATATTAAGGCTGGAAATGACCCTCAGGATTTTGGAATGTGGGAACGAGGAGACAAGACCAACAAAGGGATCCCTGAGATAAATGCCAGCTCTATCGGGATGGCAAAGGTAAAATGATTTCACATGTCTAACAAGTGTCAAATAATGATCTCTTCATGATACAATAACATGACCTCTCGCTGCATGTTTATTTAGGCAGCTTTGGAGGCCTTGGACGGACTGAACCTGTTTGGTGCCAAAGGAGGCCCAGAGTCCGTTGTTCACGCTTTAGCTGACGACATTCAGCACTGCAATGTAATAAACTTACCTTACGGGGATCACATAAATGTTTCCTGAAAGTAACAAATTGCTTCTTCTCTGTTCAAATGTTTTTACATTAGTCTATTCTCAACTCCATGCTGCCGAGGGCATCAACATCTAAAGAGGTGGACGCTGGAGTTCTCTCCATCATCTCTTATCCAGCGTTCGCAGTTGAAGACATTGATGTTGTTAATATCACCAAAGAAGAAATCATTTCAAAGCTTCAGGTGAATGCTGATCAGATATAGTTATCAGTTAGAGTTATCGTCTTTGATTTTGCTTTAGTTTTGTTTTATGCACCGACTATTGAGATCTGTGTGTGGCATTTAAACATTTTGGGGGATTTTGGTCGCATAGAATTTCTACAGCAGGGATTCCCAAACTTTTGAGCCTGTGACCCCCAAAATAATAATTCCAGTGACTTGTGACCCCCACTATCCTCCGAGGTGGTTATAAACATACAAGCATTGCACACAATAGTGCACACACATGAATAGGCCTACATAAAAACAAGCATATTGACAATACAAAAAAGTGTAACAGTCAAAGCAATCATATTGTTATTTTTTGTCATGTATTCATTTGTTTAATTTAATATTAACCCCATGTAATGAGACTGGTGGTGGGCACAATGTTTACTGCACAAGGCTATTCTTGGCATAATTTTGGAGACCGTCACTTAAAGATCATCCTCTATCTTCAGTTTTTTTTGAAAGTTTTTTTTTTATGTACATCAGTGACGTAAAGGTGTTAAAGTTTACAATGGTGCTGTTAAATCAATCTGCCACAACTGATGCTATTAATATTAAATATTACAATTAATATTATTCACATAATTTACCCATTCATTATGATTTAAGGTATGTAACTAGTAAATACTATTTTTATTTCTCTAGGTTATGGATAAGATATGGTCAATCTAATAATTTAATCATTCATTCATTCATTTTCTTTTTGACTTACCTGTAGTCCCTTTATTAATCTGGGGTCGCCACAGCGGAATAAACCACCAACTTATCCAGCATATGTTTTTACGCAAAGAATGCAACCCATCTCTGGGAAACACCAATACACACTCATTTACACTTATACACTATGGACAATTTAGCTTAACCAATTTACTTGTACCACATGTCTGTGGACTTTGGTGGAAACCAGAGCACCCGGAGGAAACCCACGCGAACGTAGGGAGAACATGCAAACTCCCCACAGAAACAACAACTGACCCAGCCGAGGCTTGAACCAGTGATTTATTTAAATTAAATAAACTTTAATTTATTAAAGATATGCATTTCCCACAGGACTTTGTTCATAGATTAAGAGGTGTTTACATGACATGAAGGAACTGGAAAACATATATGGCTGTTTGGCTTTGCATTTACACTACATGTCAGTAGGATTTAAAACAGTAGCATTGAAAATTCAAAAATATTTAAACGCTTTTTTGTAGGTTTCAGAAAATGTGTAAAGAACAAAAATGTGATCGGTTCATAGGCAGGAATAGGTTTGACAACTGGGTGATTGAGTGTGTAAATTAATTAAATGATTGATTAAGTTTAGGAAATTTACTTAAGATAATTCATTTATTTATTTTCTTTTCGGCTTAGTCCCTTTATTAATCTGGGGTCACCATAGCAGAATGAACTGCCAACTTATCCAGCCTATGTTTCCCCACATGCATCCCCTTCCAGCTGCAAACCATCACTCAGGAACATCCACACACCCACATTCACACACATGCACTACGGACAATTTTAGCCTACCCAATTCACCTGTACCACATGTCTTTGGACTTGTGGAGGAAACCAGAGCAAACCCACGCAAACGCAGGAAGAACATGCAAACTTCATACAGAAATGCCAATTGACCCAGCCGAGGCTCGAACCAAAGGCCTTCTTGCATTTAAGTTACAGCACTATCTACTGCTCCACCTCATCGCCCTACTTAAAATAAAATAAACATAAATAAATAAAATAGGCATTAAATAAATAAATAAATAATATTGTATTTGTATAAATAATTTAATTGTACTTCGTGTATTTTCAAAAATTTGTAAACTATTAATAATATAATATAATATAATATAATATAATATAATATAATATAATATAATATAATATAATATAATATAATATAATTGTTAATATTATAAAATTATGTAAAAGTAACCTTTTATATTAGTCTTTGTTACACCTAACATGCATACTAATAACAGTAACTTTTGTACAATTTTGTCAAATTTTTGTGCATTTTTTCCCTAGATGCCTCATTTTACAGTGTTTATTTACCCCTGTACTGTCACATAGGGCAGATACGGATGCTGTCGCTTTCTTCGAGATGGACACAAAACTCCCAGGGAGGTAAGACCACACTTATAGTACTTATAAGACAAACTACATCATTTATTTTTATATAGCCATCTTTTGTAGAAGCCATTACATCTCATTATCTCTCAATCCCTGTTTTGAAAAAGGATCCCAATCGACTGCACTACGAGTCATCAGAGCTGAAGCTCTTCGAAAACATAGAGTGCGAATGGCCGCTGTTCTGGACATACCTCATCCTGGATGGCATTTTTATCAAGAGTCCAGAACAGGTACACACACTTCACCATACACAATAAATGACAGACTTTTTTTCAGAAAACAATGCTCGGCTTGTTCCTACTTTATTTAGGTCCAGGAGTACAGAGAGGCTTTGGACGGCATTCTCATCAGGGGAAAGAATGGATTACGATTGGTCCCTGAACTATATAGTGTTCCTCTGGATAAGGTACGCCACATTTAACACCAAAGCATTGGATTTTGTGCTGTTATAAAACACCCAAAGTCAGATTCCTGGTTCATCGATTCTCTCTGAGGTTTACCAAAGGAAAATGGACTTTCACCCTGTATGTGTGTCATTTCATCTAGGTTGATGAGGAGTATGTAAATCCTCACACCGTGGAGAGAGCGCCAGTGGGCAAGTGTCCACTGAAATGGGGCCAGTCTCTGTACATATTGGGTAACCTGCTGGCAGAGGTACAGTAAATTTCACAAAATAAAATCGCTCTATATGGTAATGTCGTACTGTAGCGTTTCTCAATCACTTCTCTGAAACCTTTTGAAAAGTTTATCTCCCTTATGAAACACAGCTGTTTCAACATTCAGTTCATTTCAGTTCAGTGTATTAAATAATATTAAGCAGCACTAATGTTTCAACATTTATAATAATAAGTATAATGATACGTGTGTCTTTGGCAGGAAATGAGCATATTAGAATGATTTTTGAAGGACCATGTGATGACATGCTGGTGACCCTTCAAAGTGTGGCACATTGAAATTGCAAATGGAATTGAAACATCATTTTCAAAAATCTCCATATCACATAAAAAATGTTAACTCTTGCATGAGGTTTGTTTGTTTTTTTGGACTATTTGAAAAAGTTATATTTTAAAAAACTTCAATATAAATGTACACTGTTAACAATTTCCTGTAGATCACCAGTAACTTACTGTAAATCAATTACAGCAATAATGCTGTATTTACATTTACAGCACAATTTCTCTTGCTATATATAAATGTACTCAAAAGAAATGACTATGTATTTGACTATGTATTTGTGAAAATAAAAGCTTTCTTGGGAGTGATGCAGCAGGCAGAAGAGAAGCTCTAATGCAGGGGTTCCCAAACTTTTCAGCCTGCGACCCCCAATATGACGATGCCAGTGCCTCGCGACCCCCAATATCCTGGTTATGAATACAGAAACCTTGCATCACACACATACACCAATACACCCAGGGATATTCTTCGTTTAATGTCAGTGCGGTAAATGGGCCAGAAACATTAACCTGGTGTTATAAAATCAATCTGCTGCATCTGACGCTATTGCTGTGTCTTTAATATAATGTAATTACCACTGGGGTCGCAATCCAATAGAACTAGTAACTATAAGCTACTATAGTAACTATTTAGTAATTATAAACAACTATATTTTTTCTCTTCTGTAGGTTATGGATAAAATATGGTCATTCCTATATGATTTAATAATAATAAATAGATTTTTTTAAATCACCAGGCGACCCCCCTTCATTGTCCCGCGACCCCTCGAGAGGTCCCGACCCCCACTTTGAGAACCCCTGCTCTAATGCATTTCACAGCCCAAAAGGGTTGATCTGTTAATAAAGAAAAATCTGAATCCATAATTTCTGTATAATTTTGTACTATAACCTCCTTGAAACAACTAATATGTGACTGCTCCTATGTAAAACGGATTTTGTTGTGATTATTGTTTGTATAGCATGCCTCCATCTCCATTGATTACACTGTAAAACCCAACAGTCAACTTTATCAAATAAAATGAGTGTAGTTTACTCAAATTTGACTGAAAGTTAATTCTACTCATTTGAAAAGAGTTTTGAACTCAGTGTTGAAGGTAATGAATTAATTAAATACCTCATTACTTAAAGGGAGTAAGTTCACAGGACTCATATACATTTACATGTACATTTACATCGTTTTTTTAACTCAAACGATTTGTTGCAATCGGTTTCCTCAAATGGTTTGAGTTGTCTTAATTAATTTGGTATTACAGTTCTCAGTTGGTTTGAGTTCTCTTCATTTATTGGATTTTACTGTGCTCAAACTGCTTCATTTGCTCAAAGGGATTAAGTTCAAAGAGATTGAACTTCAAACAGTTTGAGCTACCTTAACTTTTTGGGTTTTACAGTGTAGGTATACGCAGGGTGCAAATTACAGTGGGTATGGGGGGTCTGACCCCCCTAACTAATGCTTGATCTCCCCTGAAGAACAAGTATGGGGTGGTCTGAATTTTAATAGTTAAGAAATAATGTGCTCTGATCAGTATCTTAAATAATATCACTAATTTAAATACTAGATAATATAAATGCACTTCTCACCACCCCTATAATAGTTCATACCATTGTGCATTACATGTTTGCATCAAAATATAATTTGGTCGTTTGAATCCAGCAAATCTAGAGCACCAACAGACAAAGTAAAGGGGGTCACGCACCAGAAGCGCCACTCAGCGACGCACAGCATCGCACCACACAGCGCCATGCATTTCAGAGTTCTAAACATGGTTTCGATCAGGGTACACAGACCAGCGCCGTAAGTCGGCAGCTGTCCGCGGCGCTGAGTGGCGCATCAGGTGTGCGACACCCTTAAGCGTCAACAAAACATGTTTCTTGTATAGTGGGCATTTGTACTGGTGTCCATAAAACTAGATGCATAGTTTGTATTTTATTATACGCTTGCTCGCACGTCGAAAGTTGAACAATGAAATAAAAAATATTTTTCATAGTCATCCATTAATAGGTCTATTTAATATTACAAATGTCATTGAGAACCACTCAATATCTTTCAAAACAAAAACAAAAGTTTGATTAATAAAGTAGATTGAATTAAATAAATAGTAATTGAATTAAATAGATAACTTTGGTTCACTGAAGCATATTACCGAACTTAAATGAAAAACTTGACTCCCCCCTCAATTTGCACCCTGTGCATAGGTCAGGGGCGTTGCTATACATAAAGCTCTACAGGGGCACAGTACCCCCTATAAATAAATAAATAAATAGACAAACAAACAAACAACCTATATATATATATATATATATATATATATATATATATATATATATATATATATATATATATATATATATATATATATATATACTTATATAACAATCGATTGCTTCAAATGGTTTGAGTTACCTTAACTTTTTGGGTTTTACAGTGTAAATGTCAAATAACAAGATGTTTTTTTGCCTTTACAGGGTTTTTTAGCACCTGGAGAAATCGATCCTCTCAACAGGCGCCTCTCCACTATCCCTAAACCTGATGTGGTGGTTCAAGGTAACATCTGCAGTGTTTGACAACAGCTTAATGTGGGTTAATTAATTTAGAAACTTGGGTTTGTTGTGGAATCTATTATATAATCATTCCCTCTCACAGTATTTACACTGGCCGTCTTCCATTCTTGTGCTTTCAGTGTCAATCCTGGCAGAAAACGATGAGATTAAACATCTCCTGCAGGGCCATGGCATTGACTCTGAAACCCTGGAGGACATTCACCCAATCCGAGTTCAGCCCTCTAGAGTCCTCAGCCACATCTATGCCAGACTAGGTGAGCTCAGAGTAGAGGAGATCAGTCAGACTAAAGTAAAAACAATATCATCTTTATGTCTTTTCACACCTCTATGGAAAAAAGAGGTTTATTTTACCTCTTTAACACCTCAATACAGTGAAATGAGTGACCAAATGAGAGTCATTTATGAGAGATTATAATATTTCCTTAAAGGTCATATTATTTATTGAGTAATTTTTACTTGGAGATATTTGAAGATCACAACACTTTTTTTCAAGTACATTTTACCCTTTGTTTGTTTGTAAGTTTTACTCAAACAGTGCAATACTGAATTAAGCCAAGCTTTTACAGTGTATGCTTTACCTAAAAACATCATAATAGTTCTTGCAAAACAGAGAATTTTGACATCATTTACTGACCCTTCATGTCACAAAACTTGAGCTTCTGTCTTTTATTAAACACAAAAGATATTCTGAAGAAAGCTAAAACCAGTAACCATTGACTTTCATAGAATTAGTTTTTCCTACTGGGTAAGTTCAACAGAAAAAAGAAAATTAAAAATGTTTAAAACCACTTGAAGGAGAATAAATAGTAGCGATGACCAGATCTGATCACATGATCAGAAATCAGTCCTGATCATGCGGTTTCAGACTCGATCGGAATTGGACGTTGCCTCCCAACCAGGACTCGAAAATATATGTATCTATATCATTACATTTTAACACATCTATTTTTATGTGGTGGCACAAAGTTAGACCTCTTTCGTGACTTCACACAGAAAAACAGCAACGCATGTGGCATGACATTACTTTGTTGCAGAGACGCTATTGGTTAAATGGGAGCAAAGTAGAACACGGAAGTTGCTTAAAGTGGAATGTGCGAGTATGTTTGCGGTCTGGAGGTATTATAAAGTTGATGACGACAACTTTGCCATGGCAAACTGTGAGATAGGTAAACTTGGCATTGCAAGAGGTGGAAAGGAAAAGGCTATATTTAACACAACAAACCTGATAAGACACCTCAAAAACAAATGTAGAACCTTGATTTGAAATGCCGTCTCGCCACTTTTTCTCAGAGAAAGCTCTGCCAGCTCTTTATAAGAAGATTTCTGACAAACTATTTGTCCTGTTATAAGATGTACCCCATGTTTCGTTCACCACAGACAAATGGAGTTCGCCCGTAGCTTCTATGTCTCTACTAAGCATTTATGTATTATAGAAGTATCGGATTGCGTTTTGGTATTGGTAAATACTCAAAATCAAATGACTTAGACACTGACTCGAGTGCAAAAAACTTGATCGGGACATCACAATTAAATAATGTGTAAATTTTCATTTTTGGGTGAACTATCTTTTAAATAAACAGCACAGTACTGTTACAAATCATAACGTAAAACCATAGACTGTAAAAGTATCCGTGACGTCACCTATTGGTTTCTGAAGAACGCAAATAAAGCAACTAGTAGGCATGGCCAACTGTTGCCATTTTGTTCGCACGTCATTGCACTCACCGGGGACACCAAATAAGGGCAAAGAGCCGGAGTGTGAGTGGAGCTACTGACACCTGCTGGCATTTTCTTGGACAGGCTTTTCTTTGGGAGAAACACTTAATACTTCCTTACCTGCGACTTGTTTGTGTTCTGACCACATGTGCTTAGCTGTATTCTATATCAATAAAGTGTTTAGACTTTTAAAAACACTGTTGTAACACATTGAGCCACTTAGCATTGTTCTTATGATGTTTTTCTAGTGGAGGAAAACGCAAATTACTTCCAAACACTTCAAATATAGTCTGTGTTAGTAAATGCAAGGCTATTGATGAAATCCAGGCATAAAACTGTATGACAGTGTTTCAGATTACTGTTCTAGAGTCTACAGCTAATTAATCTGTCAGATTTTGGAGTGCATTACAGTTCTGAAGAACATGATCTTAAATAAAACAAATACATTTATTGATACGGTATATAAGTATGCAATTTCACTCACCTGGGAATTGGAGGCAACTTAAATGGTTAGTGAGCACAATTAAGTGCACACAGCATGCTATATTATCTGATAACTATAGGAAATAATTCCAAAAGGCAATTGACTGTGTAAAGCCACATAAAACAACACAAAAATACGATATGAGTTCAGCAGCTAATCAGCCGGAATCAGCTGAGGTGACGAGACAGCGAGCAGCAAGACTTAGCTGTCTCTCAAGTGGCCACGCCCTTAATTATGCAGACTTAATAAAACTTAATAAAAATGAAACGGATGAGTGATAAAAAAATTCACCCCCTCACAGTTGTCATGAATAGTAATATCAGCTATATGAACCAAAACCAGCTATTGTTCCAGGCTGTAAACAAGTTTTTATCAGTTGTAAAATTGGCCAGTTTACTATTGCAGTCAGAAAATATCTAAATTCACTGGAGCCAGCCCTCAAAGGCGAGTCGATGAATTGCAGTTTTAGTTAATTCAACAGTCCAGGTTTTTTTTTTTGTATGAAAGTGTCATTTTGCATATAAAATTATGTTATACAACAGAAAAATATTCAGACTCATAGCAAGTTACTACACGTAACAACAAAAAACAGCGATAAAAAGCATTTACAAACTGAACAAATTGTTGTCAATTTGTTTTTTTTTCAGGGCGAAACCAAAGGCTGGGACTGACTGGACGACCGTATAGGCGAATTGGTGTGTTGGGAACGTCTAAATTCTACATTATTCGCGACACCATCTTTACCTTCACACCTCAAGTATGTAAACATGAAAATTTGAATTTCTTGATAATTATTTTAATAACCCTGAACCACAAAACCAATTATAAATGTAAATTATTTGATATTGACATTTATACATCACCTGAAAGCTAAACAAGCTTTCCATTAATGTTAAAAAACAACAACATTTGATTCAGCTACTGGAATCTGAGGCTTCAAAAATAATCTAAATACTGAGAAAATCACATTTAAAAGTGTCTAAATGAAATGCTTAGTAATGCATCCTACTAGTCAAAATTTTTGTTTTGATATATTTATAATTGGGAATATATAAGATATATGCATGAAATGTGATCTTTAATTTAATATTTTTAATAATAAAGAAAAAAATCAATAATTCTGACCCGCACAATGTATTTTTGACATAATATTTAAGGTTTTGTGGTCCAGAGGCACATATTACATGCTGTATTTATTAATAGCATGGCAAATTAATATAAGTCTGCCTATAAAAAAAAAGATGGGAGAAGAATTTACAAACACACTATATAGATGTAGCAGCTTATTTCCATAATAAGCAACACAGTCTACATAGATTGGCTCTAGTTAATAATAATGTGGCAAGCTATTCTGTATTCACTTCATCCTGTGGCATTTCAGACAATTTCAGAAATTGCATGGAAAAAACTCTTATACCACACACTCTCAGTTTTTTGTGTCCCTTCACACAGCAGTTCAAGAACAAAATAGGTTAAAGGGAGAGTTCACCCAATGATGAAAATGTACCCATCATTTATTCAATCTCAAGTGGTTTCAAATCCATTCGACTTTCTTTCTTCTGTTAAATGTAGTTTTCATTTTACCTTGAAACAGTAGATAAACGTGTCATGAAAGTCTCAGCACGATGTCTTCACTCCTCTAGTTTGTTTAGGTGGGAGTGTCGAGTGGCAAAAGAGAGAAGGGTTTGCATGAAAAGGGGAGTTTCAGTACATGCACACACTGATTTTTTACAGAGGCAAAACAAATACAGACACAGGGGAGACAGTGACTATGTTTACATGGACATCAGTAATCCGTAAACTGCTGAAAGAGTGTCGTTTTAAAAGAATTTGATAATACAACACACTGAATGGAAGAAAAAAACTTCAGCATTTCTCGGTAGATGCAAAGACTCGGTAGGTGCAGAGACAAGTGTCAAACAGCCATGTGTGTAAAGACTATACTGTCACAAAATGCGGCGAAAAACATACGTGGCGAAAATCCTACATGATTGTAATAGTTTGATTGAGCTGTTTACATAATTTTATTCAGAGAGCAGCATTTACAATGGATCTTTCAGTCCATAATATTGCATTGATATTACTGTAAACATAAATAATTTTAGATAAATAATGTCTTAAAAAAACTATAAGAGTACTGCTGACTATACTAACTAGCTGTGCTATCTGAATAAACATAAACAAAGAACACTGATCACACACTTACCAAATCTGCATACGTGCCAACACACCCGTTTTTCCCAGGATTTCTGACCCAGATTTAGTGTTTTGTCATATTTCCCCCAGTACTGGACACAGACACATCCTAATAATCAAAACTAACAGGAGCCGCATCATTTTTTAAAAGAAGACGAGTGAAAAATCCGGATTTCATCATTTCAAGATGTGAAAAGCTCCTGGATAAAAAAATGTTCCTTACAAATATATTTTTTGTCACATGTTAGCAGACCACTGTAATCCACACATGTGGGTCCACATGCCAACTGTGCTCTCATCCCGGGAAATGGAAACAAAACCTTGGTTGCAGCACATTTATAAATGTAACACTGACAACCCATGTCTCAGAATAATTCTTCTTTTTCCACTTGTTTTAATTACGGTTGGCAACACAACTTGGTGTCTCTCTGCCGTCTGAACACTGTAACAGATAAAAACTTCGAAGCTATAATATACATAATGATCTCAATGCTGTGATGTTGCTTCAAAATTTTGTTTCAAATCGCACGAATTTGCTCAAAATAATGCAAAAACAACCAATTTAATTTTTTTTTCATGAAATATATGTGTCCTGATAGTGTTTATAGCAATGTGGGACACATACAAGTGAAGTCAGAATTATTAGCCACCTTTTAATTTTATTTTATTTTTATATTTCCCAAATTACTTTTTAATAGAGCAAGGACATTTTTACAGTATGTCTGATAATGTTTTTTCTTCTGGAGAAAGTCTTATTTGTTTTATTTTAGCTAGAATAAAAGCAGTTATTAATTTTTTAAAAAACATTTTTGGGACAAAATTATTAGCCCCATTAAGCTAATTTTTTTTTTGATAATCTACAGAACAAACCATCGTTATACAATAACTTGCCAAATTACCCTAACCTGCCTAGTTCACCTTATTAACCTAGTTAAGCCTTTAAATGTCACTTTAAGCTGTATAGAAGTGTCTTGAAAAATATCAAGTAAAATATTATTTACTGTCATCATGTCAAAGATAAAATAAATCCGTTATTAGAAATAAGTTTTTAAACCTATTATGCTTAGAAATGAGCTGAAACAATCTTCCCTCCATTAAACAAAAATTGGTGAAAAAAATAAACAGGGGCATTAATAATTCAGGGGGGCTAATAATTCTGTCTTCAACTGTATATGACTGTCAATATGTCACAAAATGTGTTTTGGTGTTTTGTGACCTTTAAAGTATGGTTTAGTGTTTTCACAACAAATGTAAGCTAAAGCACATATTTCCAAAAATCTTCTGTTGAATTTAGCAGTTAATCACAATTGTTGTGAAGATGAGTTCAAGTGCATAAAGCAATAACCACTTAAATGGTGCGGGATATGTCAGATACGTGAGATCATTTGATTGGTTAGAAGCTTTGATGAGAAACTAAAGTATGAGGTGATGTCGAAAAAAATCTTTGATCCATTTAGGTGGAAGTAGCGAACTGCAAGCTTTGGATGTTTATATCTTTTTAAACAAATTTTGTCACTGTTTTGGAGCACACTAGCTTACATATTTTACTTAAGATTAAACATACTGATACTAACATCTAAAATACTTTATTTTAATTTCACTGGGACTTTAAGTACATTTTTATATCAAAAATGGTTTGACAATCTCAGCTTATCTACTGGTTTTGATCCTGATTCAATGTCCAGTTTGTTGACCATCAAGAGTTTTATCTGGCCCTGGACAATCACATGATCGTGGAGATGCTGCGTGTCGACCTCTCCTACCTGTGCTCTCACTGGAGGATGACAGGACGACCCACTGTCACCTTCCCCATTTCACACGGCATGCTCAGTGAGTGACCTCAACACACCGGACATATGCAGGAAACAGCTGTTCATTCTGAGAGACTCATTTGGTTTTTGTCCTTTGCAGGCGATGATTACAAACAAGTTAATCCTACGGTTTTGGCAACCCTCAAAAAATTACAAGATGGTTATTTTGGAGGAGCAAGGTAATGTATTTAAACAGATCAGAACAAATCTGATCATTATCACTCACCCGAAGCAGCCTGAAGACCAATCCTTTTTTACAATTCAAGGGTTAAGACTGGAAAACTGACTGATTTTCTTGACACCTCCTGTTGTGCTCATCTTACTTTTATGGACTGTGGTGAGTGAGCCACCAGAAGCACGTCTGATGCTCATTTTTAGAGACTAATACCACAGCCGCTAGTTCATCCAAAATTGAGAACAATTACTTTCTTTCTTCTGTGAGCACAAAAGGTTTTCTAATTTATTTCTTTTTTTGAAAAATTGCCACTCGCCGCTTTTTGTCTTCATGATGAAAGCCAGCTGAGTCCACGATTATTTAAAAATATCCTTTTGTGTTCCAAGAAAGAAAGAAAAGTACAGGTTTTTGGAAAGAAATCATGGGGAACAAATGAGGGTTTTTATTGTTGGGTGAACTACCCTTGTGAACATGACGTGTGCTTGCTTATTTGTATTGATTTTGCCCCTCAAACCATAAAAGCATTTGTTTAAAAAAAAGCTATACTGGCAGATAATGTAATATTACAAAAAAATTAATTGTTAAAAATATTTTTAAAAACATACACTTGCAAAAGTTTATGTATTAACTTTCATTTTTACCTTAATTTAAAGTGCATTTTAAGTCCAAAACAATTTTTGTCACGCTTTAAAGAAGATTATTTACACTGAGGTCTTACAGGCCATTCACACAGAATGCATGTCGTCACCTTGGAATTGAAAGTTCTATCTGCGTTCGTGATTTTGAGTTTTTGAGCTTCAAAGTTTTTGCATTCCATATAGCAAACAATATGTGTGTAACAGTTTTTTTTATACATTAACATGACAGAGACCCTAAATGTAGTCTAAATGTAAATTATCAGAGTTCTTTTACATTTGCAAATTAGAGTAAAAGAAAACACGGTAAATACAGACCACTCTAAATCAGAAAAGTCTTTTTTTCATTTGGAATTAAAAGGTTCTATCTTGCAGATCATTCATTGAAGCATTACTTAACAAGAAACACAATCAAAAATATATAACTTAGTGTTTTAACAATATGATGATGCTTGAGAAAGTACATATTTTTGCTTTCTTTAATATTTATTTGATGTTTTAGGATGATTTTTTTTGTTTTGTTCAAATTAGGCATACAAGACTGTGCTAATTAGTTTGTCCAGCGCAGCTGTTAATTTTATGTAAGTAATATGGTCATATTTATTAAATTGCATGCTTTATTTGAACTATTGAATTATATTTATTAAATTATATGCCCCCGTATACCTGGCAAATTGTTGTTTAATAAACACTGTTTTACTGACTATGTATACACAAATAAAACTATTTCACATTTAATATATTACACTTTCTATTAATTGTTTCTTTTTCAACAATGTAAAATTTAACATTTTATCTCAATGTCAAAAACGCTTCTAAATCATTACAGTAACACACATCTCATTTTTGTGTGGTGCGGCATTATTTCGCTCACTCTGATTTTGTGTGATTTTTGTCTTTCTGGTCTTTACCGCTGTCAATGGAGCAGTTCGGCGAAATGACAAAGAAAGCTGATCCTGATTGGTTCTTGTGCGTGCATTAAAAATGCTGATTGGCTCACAGAAAGAACCTTATAAAGCCAAGCTGGAATTCGACTTTGCAGATAAAACCTTTTTTTGTTTTTTAAACAAAAACACTTAAAATGTAAACAACTTAATCATGACATAATGTAAATATGTTTTCATTTTAAAAGAATATGTCAATAACTCAATGTTGACAAAAAATGTCAAATGGACCTTATAATTTTAAGGTCACGATTTGTCCTATTTGCTGCATTTACTTTTTTTCGGTAATTGCGTTTGATGGACATGTGCGACCTTTGCACTCGCATCTCTCATCTTTTGCATTGCCTCGGACATGAGCGCTGTTATTTAGATTGATAAAGTTTAAAGAAGAATTTTAACTTTTACACACAACAGCACTCATCAACACTTTAAGTTCAAAACCAAATACTTCCCTAATATTTAGTTGGCCTATACCTTCCGATATATGAGTATGTTTGACTCCGCAGTATTCATATAAAAGTATTTGAGAATTACCTGGCTGTTGATGATATACCTGGCTATTACCTGACATTTGATTCGAATATACCCACTTACTTCAGCATGTGAATAAAGAAGTAGTTCCAATGGAGAAATGAGACAACCTCACGATTTATTGAACAACTTTTTCTGTGCATTCACACTGAAGGCGGCAAGAATGTCAAAGTTTGCTCTGGCTGCCCTAGCGGCAATGCTGTCTGTCTTTACTGCTCCGATGGTGAGAGTGTCAAAATTCACTACATTGATTTCATATTTAAAAGGGTTGTTGCAGTATTTAAGCAGATCAGATACATTCGCTCATAAATGGTTTCTAGCATGAACATGTTGCGTGCCTAATTCATTTACATATGGAAGATCAAGTTGTTGCGTGTGGTGTGGGTTTGCTCCACAATATGTGCCCATATGTCTGAAACATTCTGTAGTAGCAATACTGTTTTATATTGTCCTTAAAGTTAGCAGGAGATTCTCGCTTTTTTAAAGACAACAAATATGACATTAATGCATATCAACTCGCTAGTAACTTTTTAAAATGTATGTCCCTGTATTAAAACTTTGTAAATATCCGGTGACCACAATAATCAAACCCTTGAGAACAACTGTGTTTGGTACCAAAGTTCACATTAATGTGTTCTCTTAAATCTTCTTAGGCTGTGAATTTCTACATTCAGATTGGTTGCTGCCAAATGGTGTTATAGGTCATTACCATAAAGATGACTTGATTTCAAATCTCCTCGATGCCCACAATGGCAAAGACGTGCCATGCCACTACTCGCCACTTATAAAAATGAATGACTTCCAGCAACTTTGATGCTCTTACTGCGGTGTGATCGCACAGTTAGAGTAATTGTTAACTGTAATCTGCAGCATATTCTACAAATAAAGATATAAGTTCAAGTTTATGGCTCCAAAAATCTTAAATCATTCAATTTAATATCTATTTTAGACTATGATGCTTCAGATCACATGTAAACATATATATATATATATATATATATATATATATATATATATATATATATATATATACAGTGGCGCAACAAGGGGGTATGCAGTATATGCGGTGCATAGGGGCGCCACACATGGGGGGGCGCCGTTGTGCCAAAACTATTTTTTAAAATTATCCTTATTAAAAGTTTCAAATAATAAAAATAAATAAATATGTTTTGTTAAAAAGCATTATTTTGCATTTTAAACGAATATAATACTGTTATTGTTTAATTCAAAATCATTTAACACAATAGCATGCAGTCCCACAGCCGAAAGTGTTCATGTAGATGTAACTGTTTAGATTTGCTTTTGTTTTTATCAAAATAAACTGATAAATCATACATAATGTCAAAAGTTATAAGATTAATCTGAAAATTTGTCTTCATCTATTATTAATTAATTAATATAAAATAAGAGGGATCACACAAAATTTGAACCCGCATACCCCTCAGTAAATGTGTAGTTGCGCCCCTGTATATATATATATATATATATATATATATATATATATATATATATATATATATATATATATATATATATATATATATATATAATATTTTTTTCATAAGTTTTTTTCAGACAAAAAAACTATTCAAATTACTTACAGGGGACCTATTATACCCTTTTTACAAGATGTAAAATAAGTCTCTAATGTCTCAAGAGTGTGTATGTGAGGGTTCAGCTTAAAATAACAAATATATAATATTTTATATCCCTTCGAGGCTTTGATCCTACTTTGTCATTAGTCATTTTGGTGACTGTCTCTTTAATTTCAAATGAGCCTTTTTTTTTTAAGAGGGCGGAGCTACAAATGCCTGTGTAGCAGTATAGTGGCAGATTCAAAAACAACTATAAAGTTCTACGCTAATGAGGGAGCAATCGTCACTAATGGGCGGGCCTTTCCACCTCCGATGACACGTACAAAGGCAGAATGTCAATCAAAGTGTTTCTGCAGACTGTTTTTATGAAGTGTGATTATAAAAAATAAAATTCATAAATATTTATTATTTAGAAGCTGGTTATGTTAACAGACTGTTGCCACACAACTGTTTTAAACCCCTTGTGAAAGTGATTTTTGCACAATAGGTTCCCTTTAAAGCAGGGGTGCCAAAACTTTTTCTTAAGGGCCAAAAACCAAACTTGATTGAGGTTAGGGGGTCGAAGGTAAATATTAAAATGGGAAAACTTTGGCCAGTGGGCCCTCCTTTAGTCATCTCAGCTTTAAATATTACCTTTTTACTAGGGTGCCTTCCTAATTCACTGATCTAGGCTGGAAATGTTTTGTTTTTTTTGTCTTTAACAGTGATGTGTTTTTGTGTGTGTGTGTCATGTTATTTCGCATGTGGCTTCCTTCCGTAAATGGATCCCACTTAACCAAATATCATTCCTTGAAGAGTCACTCAATCAATGCAATATTTAATTATTGTGATCTTATTTCATTATTTGCAATGCATACATAAACAATTACCAACAATTTTATCATCTGCATGGTTAAGTCAGCTGTCAGGGATTTGTCACTTTTAGGTTTTCTGCATGGCATTTCATGTTGAGATGTGTAGCCTGAGGCTGACAGTCCCTCTGTCAGGCAGTTAGCTCACCTGCATGGGCGGATGGAGGTTGACAGGCAGTTTCGTGACAAAGCAGTGTCTGCAATGACAGTTTTTTTATATTGACACGTGCTGAAAAACTCAAGTTTGTCTCCAAACTGCCTGAAGATGTGCTCAAGCCTTTGAGGCCTTCTTTTAATTGCGTGTGTGTTTGTGTGTATGTGTGTGTATGTGTGTGTGTGTTTGTGTGTGTGTTTGTGTGTGTGTTTGTGTGTGTGTGTGTGTTGTTTGTGTGTGTGTTTGTGTGGTTGTATGTGTGTGTGTGTGTGTGTGTTTGTGTGTGTGTGTGTGTGTGTGTGTGTGTGTGTGTGTGTGTGTGTGTGTGTGTGTGTGTGTGTGTGTGTGTGTGTGTGTGTGTGTGTGTGTGTGTGTGTTTGCAGAAGTGGATGACCTGGCTGTTTATCTGGACCAGCTGCTGGCAGTTCCTCAACAGCATCCCATTAGTGCCACTAAAGGAGGCCTGAGCCGCTTCAGGGCAGCAGCCAGAAAGGTTCGAGAGATGGTGTCTCTAGTGCACAAAGCCAGAGAGCTCAATATACACAGTGAGTTCACTACTTGGCCTGCTGTCATTTTTCATGCTATGCCGTGAATATAATCATCATTTTATTTTGACCTCTTCACAGATGTGCATATGTACCTTCCAACTAAACTCTTCCATTCTCCGGCACCAGACCTTAATCTGCTGGTTGACAAAGAGAAGGTAGATAACATGAAATTAGCGGATTTTGCTGTGATTGTTGGAGTATTAATTAGAATAATTGCTTGGCTTTCTTTGCTTTCTATTAAATGTGTGCTTGGTTTTCTTTCATTCAATTAGGATTATATGTATTTATACTGTAACAGTTTTTACTGACTATGCACAAACCTTTAATCAAGACACCTGGAAATTTAGTGGTTGTTCTGCGATTATTCTGTACTTGTCAAAAGTCACATTAGGATTTTTTATTTTTACTTTTTTTGTTATTTGAGTTCTACTTTTTGATGTGAATTGAAAATAATTAAAAAATATATATATTTTCATAATAATAATAATTACTTATATTTATATATCACTTTGGTCCAGACACTCAAATTGCTTTACCCATTTTGGGGGGGATCTCCTTGTCACAATAACCAGCAATCTAATGCCTACAGATCGCTGGTAAATTCACAGATCTGCTGGTATATGGACTACAAGAATCAGTCATGCACCACACACTCACACCTGTTCCCCACTGATTGCTAACCCACACAGCTGAAGCTGTTCAGAACTGATTACATGGACTTTAAAAGCAGCACACACACACACACACACACACACACACACACACACACACACACACACACACACACACACACACACACACACACACACACACACACACACACACACACACACACACACTCACTCCAGTTGTGGAATCTTGTTTTACAGTTTTGTGACAGTAAGATGCATTTTCCTTTCATTGCTTTGCCGTGTTTTTGACCCTTGCCTTGTTTGTTTGTTTGTTTGTTTATGTTGTTTGCTGCCTGCCTGTACTGACCCATCAAGTGTGTTTTTGACCACGACCACGGATTTACCTTCATACATCTGTTTTCTCCTGATAGTGACCGTTGCTTGCCTGACCATTCTCCATAAACCTGCATTTGGACACCTGTTGACAGCATCACTTCACATTACACTACTTATCCACCACCAGGCTGCAGCATCCACCTGGATGACTCAGCAGCCATTCTGCACCAGACTACACACCACACACCAGCTTATTAGTGGAGAACAGACAGAGTGATGAAGCCAGTTATGCTATGGGAATAATTAGGAGGCCATGATGAACAAAGACCAGTGGGCAAATTTGGCCAGGATACCAGAGTTAAACCCCTACTCTTTTCAAAGGGCATGCTGGGATTTTAAGCAAGCACAGAGAGTATCACTGCATCATGTGATTCTTCTGAAATTATTATAATTAATAATATTAATTAATAATAGTTCTCATTATTATCAGTGTTGAAAACTTATATTTTGAGAAAACCCTCATATATTTTATGTAGTGAATTAAGCTCGTAAAATTATGAATATTATTAATAATTATTAATAACAAGTTATTAATTACTTATGAATATTTGGATTGACTTTATTGTTAATGGTAAAATTACATTACGAGAGAGAGAGAAAGAGAGAGAGAGAGAGAGAGAGAAAGAGAAAGAGAAAGAGTCTGGATGAGACAAAGAGGACAGGGCCAACAAGGTCCTATGAAGAAAGAGAGAGGGGTGGGGGGCTGTTGCAAATCAACATCAATAACCTAAAACCAATTATCCAAGAAAACTGAACCAACAAAGGGAATCATAAACTAGCATATCTGATAACTAAATCAAACTCGCAAAGTTCTTTTGTCTGTGGCTTACGCTGTTTGAGTTGTTTCTAGATGAGTTTATTTTTAAATAGAACTTTAATCTGGAGTTTATTAATTTTAATATAGGTACATAATAGTTAATGTGACCTAAAATAAAGTGTAACCATGATTTCTAAAGAATCGTGTCACACTGAAGACTGATTTTGAATGATATATTAAAATAAACTCTCAGAAATAGAGGTACAAGAGCTGTCTGGTGAGCTGTACCTTTTCGAAAGGCACACATTTGTACTTAAAGGGTCCATTTATATTGGTACCTCAAAGGTGTATATTAGTACCTAAAATTTTCAAGAGGTACATATTCATAATTTTTAGGTACTAGTATGTATCCTAGAGGTATTAAAGGGCACCTTTTAGTTACAAACTTGTACATTTGTTACGGTACCACCGCTCTCGTACCTTTATTTCTAAGAGTGTAGAATATAATTTAAACAGTTTCCAAAAAATCTAATTTCTAGAGAAAACAAATGGCATAATTGTGTTATGGAACTGTTTAAAAAGGCAGTACAACATCTCACAACACACTGTCATAATGATATCTCTCACCATTTCAAAGGTGCCTGAGACGCAGACTCCTCCGTGTCTGAGTCTGCCCAGAGACGTCAATGGCGGGATCGATTACTCAGCTCTCGTGCAGATGCTGAAGCAGAATCTGAACCTGCAAGACAAGGCTGATATCCTCTACATCCTTTTCAAAGACAAGTCAGTATTCAAGTTTATTAAAAGAACTGTACTCTGACTTTAACTAAGTTAAGGACTATTGAATTGAAGTGTTTTGGTGTTTCTGTTATAAGGGGAATAGACTGGGACACCAAGCTACACGGGATAGGTTGGCCTGTAAGACGACTGCTGAGTGATTTGTATGAAAAAGCAGGAAGCCTGAAGCACTGGGGCCTCATCCGGATGATCTGCGGGATGCTGCGCAAGAAAGTGGAAGAGCTGGATGCTGTGAGTCACAGCACTGCTACTCTTATAATGCTAAATCAGTAAAACACTGCAAAAAATTCTGGGTTCCACACAATTCCGTCAAGTTGTCCAAACACAAATCAATTATTCATTCATTAATTTTCCTTCGATTTAGTCCCTTATAAAACATGGGTCGCCACAGTGGAATGAACCACCAACTATTCCAGCATATGCTTTACGCAGCGGGTGCCCTTTCAGCCGCAACCCAGTACTGGGAAAACAAATCAATTAAGTTAACTTAATGTTTTTAATGTTCATTAATGTTCATTAGTGAACACCCAGAATCCCCCCCAACCCAGAACCCCCCACACACGTTCATGTTTCCCATAGGGATCTTTACAAAAAGTCTTATTGTAAGAACTAAATGTGGACAATCAAAGCATTGTTGTTATATTGTGAATTTGACAGAGGGAAGAATCCCATGGAGCTTTGCAGATGACTCATTTGGCACATCAAACTATGGAGAAATCTAAAACTATTTTGTTGTTTTGTTAGATCTATAAAAAACAATATATCTTAAGGTTTGATACAAAAAGATCCATATACTGTATAGCCAAAAATGTAAGTATTTTGTGACTTTTGTAGGTTTTGTGATTTTGTGTATTTTGTAGGTAGGCACTAGGCAGAGCTAAAAATCTCATCAAGCACACTCACCGGTCACTTTATTATGTACACCTTACTAGTACCGGGTTGGACCCCCTTTTCCCTTTAGAACTGCCTTAATCTTTTATGGCATAGACACAACAAGGTACTGGAAATATTCCTCCGAGATTTTGAACCATATTGACATGAGAGCATCACGCAGTTGCTGTTGATTTGTTGGCTGCAAGGCAGTATGGGTTCATGCTTTTATGTTCTTGATACCAAATTCTGACCTGACCATCCGAATGTGGCAGTAGAAACGGAGACTCATCAGACCAGGTAACGTTTTTCAAAAATTCTATTGTCGAATTTTGGTGAGCCTGTGCCGATTGTCGCCTCAGTTTCCTGTTCTTAGCTGACAAGAGTGGCACCTAGTGTGGTCTTCTGCTGCTGTAGCCCATCCGCCTCAAGGTTCAACATGTTTTACATTCACAGATGCTCTTCTGCAGACCACGAGTGGTAATTTGAGTTACTGTTGCCTTTCTATCAGTCTGGGCATTCTCCTCTGGCATCAACAAGGCATTTGCGCCCACAGAACTGCCACTCACTGTATGTTTTTTCTTTTTCCTGACCATTCTTTGTAAACCCTAGAGATGGTTGTGCATGAAAATCCCAGTTTCTGAAATACTCAGACCAGCTCGTCTGGCACCAACAACCATGCCACGTTCAAAGTGCATTGAGTTGCTGATGTGATTGGCTGATTAGAAATTTGTGTTAATGAGCAGATGGACAGGTGTACCTTATAAAGTGGCCAGTGAGTGTATATAGTTAATATTTACTAATAAGTAGTTTAATAAATGCATTTGCACAAGAAAACTATATTACCCATGATGTTGTACAGAAAACCAATTAATATAAATATGAATGAATGCAAACAGATTACAGGTTACAAAACAGCATGTAAAATCGATAAACAAGATCAGTGGACAACAGATCTTTCTTTAAAGTTTTTTTTATTCATTGAGTATTTTAGATGTAGAACTATTTACAACAAAGCCCGATATCCATCCAACAGAAAGATAGATTATAATAAAACGGTAATATTGGAATAAAAGGTTCAAAATCAGGATTGAAACATGTCTGATACAGTCTCACTAATATTTGATCAAAATGGTATTTTCCTGCTGGCGTCATTGAATTTGGCTCTGGCATATTCCAAACTAACAAGGTCCAGTAAGTAGAGTTTGCAAGATCAACTGGAGTAGATGGATCCAGCATTGGTTTCAGGATCATCTTTAAAGTTTTTTTAAAGTTCTCCAGAGTTTTTAACTTGATTTTGTCTTTTGGTAGTTGATTGGATCATTAAATCATTGTGTTTTGCCATTGGGGGATCTCATATGATTGACAGGTCGTCGCCAGAAAGTAGAAGTCATTTGCAAATGATTACAGAGGCATATGAATTAAAAGGAAAAAAAATGTATAATAAATACTGCAATCATTTTGATTTCCTGCTGATTTTAAATGAAATTCTATTTTTCCATTAACAGGCTTGCTCATACTTATTAATCCATCAGAAACATCTAACAGTCGGCCTTCCTCCTGAACCAAGAGAGAAAACTATTTCAGCGTAAATACACACACAAACTGGATGTTCACATTCACTTTACATGTGCATACTACAGTGTTTGTCTCCTTCAGGCCGATGCCTCCAGATAAGCTGGCGAGGCTGATCGATGATGCCAGTGAGAACAACCTCACCATCGCCATCCTCACTCAGGTTAGAGCTCAGGCCAGATCCACATCTCAGTCTTATGTGTTTTAATTTCACTGACTCTCCCGTATGCTCTCGGCAGGAGATCATGGTGTTTCTGGGTATGATCATTCGCACCCAGCCCAAGATCTTTAGCGAAATGTTTCGTCTGCGCATTGGTCTCATTCTTCAGGTCATGGTGACTGAACTGGCCCAGTCTCTCCAATGTTCAGGTATCTCTTAGTTCCTGTTTCAATGTACTATTTTCTCTTACATTACAGTGTGTCTTGTTAAATCTTACTACAGAGCAAAAAATAACGATCATTGATTTTTACATTGATATACTTCCACTAAATTGTCATTCGGTGAAGAAGTGGTTATATAGGTAAAACTTCTTTTCCGGCATATTTTAATCAAGAATCATTTAAAAAACAGGGAGGGTTGGGAAATGCGAGGGATGATGCTTAGAAGTGGGTAGAAAAGCTTAGGTTTGATTTGAGAGTTCTGCAGGTTTTCTTTTTGTTGTTGTTGCTGGTTCTACTATCATATTTTTAATGTCATCTCAAAACTGATTCTTCACTGATAGGAAGACTTGGGTGTAATGCATTCCACTCTAATGCGTTACTTTATTCTAGTTACATTTTTGAGAAACACAGTAATGTTACGAATTACATTTTAAATGTGTTTAATTTGGGTGACGCAGTGGCGCAGTAGGTAGTGCTGTCACCTCACAGCAAGAAGGTCACTGGTTCGAGCCTCGGCTGGGTCAGTTGACAATTCTGTGTGGAGTTTGCATGTTCTCCCTGCTTCCGCATGGGTTTCTTCCGGGTGCTCTGGTTTTCCCCACAGTCCATTTTTTTCTCGGCTTGATCCCTTTATAAATCTGGGGTCACCACAGCGGAATGAACCGCCAACTTATCCAGCATATGCTTTACACAGCGGATACCCTTCCAGCCGTAACCCATCACTGGGAATCACCCATACACTCTCATTCACAAACATACACTATGGACACTTTTAGCTTACCCAATTCACCTGTACCACATGTCTTTGGACTTGTGGGGGAAACCGGAGCACGCGGAGGATACCGACGCGAACGTGGGGAGAACATGCAAACTCCACACAGAAACACCAACTGACCCAGCCGAGGCTCGAACCAGCGACCTTCTTGCTGTGAGGGAACAGCACTACCTACTGTGCCACTGTGTCACGCTGCTGTGATCAACCCATTGTAATGTTTTTCAGAGAATATTCATTTGCTGCAGTTTATTTGGCATTTTAATGGGTATATTTTTAAAAGTAACTTCAAAGTAAAGTAATTAGAAATCTGATTACTTTTTGCTTGAAGTAATTAGTAATGTAATCAGATTACAAGCAATACGTTTTGTCACAGGTGCAGACTCACGGACGCATCACTGTATTTTGTATGATTCCTTAGACTGGTTATCTCTATATCAAAGGAGAAAATTACATCTGTACTTATTTATCTTAAAGGCTCTTTTAGGCAAATTACCATACTATATTTTTAATTTATTAACATTTCACACCAACAACCAACACACTAGATCTGGTTCATGTATTCGTCTGATAGTTCCAAGGGTACTATCAGAACTTGGCAAACGTGCTTTTTCCGTTTACGCTCCCAGGGCTTGGAATGACCTGCAAAATCATCTCAATCTTGACACTCTTCCAACTCTGAGTACTTTTAAACATCTTTTATACAACATTTTAAAGGACATCTGCAATAGTTTTTTATGAGCTGATGTTTTTAAGAATGGTGATTTTGTAATTTTGTGGTACTGTTTGTGATTTTTATATGAAACTTTATGTGCTGCCTGCCATCTTGACCAGGTCTCACTGGAAGAAGAGACAGTACTGTCTCAATGTGATCTCCTGGCTAAATAAAGGAATAATAAAATGATAACAAGTAGTATTTCCAGTAGTATTCAGTAATTTGTAATCTATTACTTTTTTAAATTAACCCAACACTGGTAATAGGACTTATTTTTACTTATAGGACTAAAATTTTTCATATACATTTATATGTTTGTATAATATCTAAAAAAAAATGCAATAAAAATATTCAAATCATAAGATTCATTTGAAGACAGATTAAAGACTCTATTAAATTATCTCATCATCTATTTTTTTTAAAACAGGACATTTTACATTTTAAATATATGCAAAATTGTGTATGATAGCACACTAAAATGTACAGATCAGAAGATGAATGTTTAGTTTTTATATAAACATAAATGACGATTCGAGTTTTTTCAACAAAATCTTTTGTTTATTTTCAAAAATTGCATTTGAAACAATAAAGTAGACACTTCACGAGAATTAAATATGCTATTTTTGCAGTTTTGTAAATGTATTTTGATGCACACACAAAATGGCACATTTTGTCTTTTGACACATGTAGTGCCTTTCAAAAGCTTTTGGTCAGTTTGATTTTTAATGCTGCTGAATAAAACACTATTATTCATAACTAAGGCTGCATTTCTTTCATGAAAAATACATCAAACCAGATTAAATCATCTGGATATCTTTAAATCAATTTATTTTTAATCAATTCACACCCTTAAATAATATATTTTTTGTTACGCTGGTTGAAAGCACAAGACGATCATATCAGTATTTTTTAGGTGAGGAGGCTACAGAGAATTTGATGAACATGAGCCCATTTGAGATGAAGAACCTGCTGCTTAATATTCTCAGTGGCAAAGAGTTTGGAGTTCAAAAAAGCGGTAAGCACTTTTCAGCCCTTATCTAATTGCCATGAAGCATTAAAGAAGAAGATTATAACTGCATACTCTCTTAAAAGGATAGTTCACACAAAACTGAAAATTCTGACTAATTACCAACCCAGGCTCATTCTGAAAACCTACCTCAATATAACTTTCTGTGGATTGTGAAATACGTCCCTGGAGTTTTTTTTTCTTTTTTTGCAGTTTTTGTTTTCATGAATCCACTAGAGGTTGCTGTCTTTTCGAGATTTCGAGCCACTGTCGACTGACTGTTTGACTGACAGAATGACTGACTGACCGATCGGCTGACCCAGCCTCCTCCTTCTCTAAATCCAACCAATAGTGTTTTAAAAAGCACAGATTGACCCGCCCGCCACTTCCCTAAACCCAAACACAATTTTATAAAGCAGTCCAGAAAAAGTAAAGCCCTCGACAGACACCCTGTTATTTACTTACTTATTTTATGGATTCTGTTTTTGTCTTACCTCCTTTCTGGGACCGTTATTCACCAGCCTTGAACCCTGTCATCGTGGTCATTTCCTCTCTGTTTCTCAAGTTCACCAACTTACATGGCGAGCTAATTGGACAATCCGGTAACAGCAGAAAAGCCATCCATACTGTGGTAAGCGGTCAGCTAGCAAGAGCCAAACGAAATGACATGATACCACCCCAAAGTGTTCAATTTAAAAATGAAATGCAGCCATACGTACTTTTGACTACATAATTTGTGATCTCCAGAAACATATATAGGGCTACGTTTTCAGAATGAGCCTATGTTCGAAAACATTCATCAAAAAAATATGACCATGTGTCACCAGTTGTTATGATCACCAGCAGTGTTCCTCTTGCAGACTGCTGGAGAACACTCACATTCAACTGTACTACAAATCCCATCATGTACGTCACTCACACACCTGGCCTAGATTCCTCTTGATTGCAAACACACACAGCTGAAGCTGTTCAGGACTAATCAGATGGACCATAAACACAGTACACACACACACACACACACACACACACACACACACACACACACACACACACACACATCATGGCTGAGTCTTGTTTCTGTTATTGTAACACCGTGAAGCATTTTCTTGTGTTGTTTAGCCATGTTTTCACCCTTTGCCTTGTTCTATTATCTCTGTTGTTTTCGCTGCCTGTACTGACCATTCGCATGCTTTGCTGACTATACTTCTGAATTAATCCTGTTATACTGTAAGTGAGGATTACGATGCATGTCCCTTGCCTTGTCTTGCTGTGCTTCACCTTTGGTTTGTTTCTTTGTATACGTTGTTTGCCACCTGTACCAACCATTCGCCTGTTTACCGACCACACTTTGGATTACTCAGTGTGTACCTGCTTGCTAGACGATTATCTTACTAAAACTGCATTTGGATGCTCTACTCCATTGTCCAGTGTCCTCACATGTTATCAGTAGTTCAATTGTAATTGTTACTAATTTACAAGAATATACGAAAACCCTTCTTCTCCTCAGCTTTCAGTTCAAGATGTGTTTATGGGAATAATTTGCACTGTATGCGTGTTGCACTGAATAAAATAATATTCTTGCGGCTTCATAAAATTGTGATGGAATGTTTTGACAATATATTTGGTTCCTTTTTGGATATTTCAGGACCCCTGCTGTCTATGGAGGATCAGAGAGCTCTTGGGTTTCATCTAAAATATCTTCACTTGTATTCTAAAGATGAATTGTAATTTAAAGAGAATGGGTGATTAATAATCAAATAAAAAATTTGGGGTGAACTAACCCTTTAAGTACAATATGAATGGTCAAATTGTAAGTTAGAATGTTCTTTACAAAGGTTTCTCCTTTGACTTGCACCTCAGAAAAGGTCTTCTCTGCTCCTTGTTTACGTTATCATATTCATCAGTTCAATGTGTGCTCTTGTGTTTATATTTCTTCTTCAGTTCGTTCAGTAGGTAATGCGACCACCTCAGAGGTCAATATCCAAGACAAGAGCAAGTCCAGCTCCACCAAAACCGAAGTGAAAGTATCAAGTAAACAGGCTGATAATATCAAACTGGTGAGACAGTGTTTGGATTCAGGCAGCTTATGACTCGATTTAATTGCAACAGATTAAGTAAAAACAGTGACCTTTTTTCCTGTTTGCTTAAGGCTGTGTCAGTCCACTCGCTGGATATTGGAAAGATTGAATCAGGGGTGAGTGGAAGAGAGGCAAACATACCTTATCTTTTTTCGAACATAGGTGAAATGAATCTGATTGTTTTACAGAGATACAGACTTCCATCTATCGAGTCATTTCAGGGCTCATTAGGAGCCACACTGGTGGGTGACAGCAGACACGGCCAGTGGCTTCGGCGCAGACGTCTGGATGGAGCGCTAAACAGAGTGCCGGTCGGTTTCTATCAGAATGTCTGGAAGATTCTGCAGAAGGTAAAAGTGCATAAACCAGTATCCACTTTTGAAGTTAAAACAATTTAAATTATTCACTATTTAGTAAATATTTATATTTCTACTCATTTACAAATATTTTATTGACTTCATTCTGCACTTGAAACACTGCTTCAGTGATTATACACTCAAAAATGGCTTTTTTTGCATGACGACTTAATTGTTTTGAGTTCACAACACATAAAATTGTAATTAAGTTAATTTAATTGATTTGTCTTGGGACAACATGAAGGAATTGGGTGTAACCCAGCATTTTTACAGTGTATAACATTTCAGGAAGTTGTGTATTTTTTCTGTTTACCCTTAATTCACATTTTTGTGTTTTACTTGTAAACCACTTTCATTTGAGAATTCCTCTCTGTGCATTTAATCAATTGGGTCTGCCCGCTAGAGAGGGGAGTAACATGAAGGGAGCGTAAATTGTAGTAGAGGTGTTGTTATTAGTTTTATTAGTTTTTTCTTAAAATGTTCACTACCTGACAAAAGTCTTGTCATCAATCCCAGTTGTAAGAGCAACAATTAATCTTCTAGTTTGTCATTTGGAAAAATGCTCTTGGAGTTAAATTCAGTATGGGGGAGAGATCCTGAGCTTACATTACAAAGCACAGAATAGGGCAAATTTTTCAGCAGGATAGCGCTCCTTCTCATACTTCAGCCTCCACATCAAAGTTCCCGAAAGCAAAGAAGGTTAAGGTGCTCCAGGATTGGCCAGCCCAATCACAAGACATGAACATTATTGAGCATGCCTGGAGTAAGATGCGGAGGCATTGAAGATAAATCCACAAACTCTTGATGAACTCTGGAAGTCCTGAAAGAACGCTTTCTTTGCCATTCCAGATGACTTTATTAATAAGTTATTTGAGTCATTGCAGAGATGTATGGATGCAGTCCTCCAAGCTCATGGGAGTCAAACACAATATTAATAATTTTTCTTCTGCAACATGACTTTATACTAGAAATCAAGTTATTATTTGTTGTTTCTAAAACTTGGATAGGCGACCAGACTTTTGTCAGGTATTGTAAAATATTACCCTTCACATTGTTTGTTAATAAATGTCTACACCTATACCTCAACCATAAACCAAACCATCACAGTTATTAACGTATACACCTACCTCAATCCTAAGCCAAACCATCAGCTTTTAACATCTACACCTGCTCCAACTCTAAACCCAAACATCACATTTATTAATGTTTACACCTACTCCACTGAGCATGTACAGCCACAAGTTCATATGTGACGCGCTCGCAATTCAACTGTTGCAAATTTGTTCTATTATTTGCAACAACATCTCAATATGACATCTCGCATGGTTCAATGGGATCTTGATAACTTCAAGTTATGCCTCTACTACAAGTGATGCCCCTGTCATTTTACAGCCATCTCTTGCAGTCTGCAGGCAGGTACTATTGGTTTCAATCGCCATTCAAAACAACTACTGTATTCTCTATGCCAGGTCAGTAGGTGGCGATGTCACTTTGTAAAAAAAACATCTTTGTATCACAAAGACATTTTTCTACAGAAAAGTAATTCTCATGCTATTCATTTCAACAACCTGTATATTTAAAAATGTGCAATTTAAGGCCTTAAAATATTGTGTAAACAAATAGTTAAAACATAGACGTTTTATCTTTTGTATTACCTTGTACACTTAAAATGAGACACGTAGGCCTTTTTCACGGACGGTAGCGCGCACATCCGGTTGAGCGGTAGTTGCGTATCCTTACTTCCGGCCGGAGCAATAGCGTCAGATACGCTATAGTCTTCACTACCTCTTTGAAAACTTTGCCAACATTTACCATTTACAGCGGCTGTTTATTGTCTTGTGGACCGACATCTATCGCTCCACACTCTAAAGAAATGAACCTTTATCAAAGCGTATGCTCTTGGTTTTAAACCGTTAAGAGATATAAGGGAGCTAACGTATATAATAATAAATGTTTGAATACATGTATAATATTAAAATGTATAATAAATATGCGATGTAATAAATATTTGATGAATAGGAGCCTGGACCTTTACTGTATCTGTACGTACATGGATGAGTACCTGAAGGGAGGGCAACAAGCTTTATTTGACTCATGCACTGTGTAAATGTATAACATGTTAATACTGCTAAAATAAGTCAGTCTGGAATTGGTTGTAGGCTACATGTTTTTATTCAGTTTATTGTTGTCAAGATTTGTATCCTATATTACATAATGTACATTTGTTAACATCCATATCTGAGCATATATATATATATATATATATATATATATATATATATATATATATATATATATATATATATGTAAATGTGTGTGTGTGTGTGTGTGTGTGTGTGTGTGTGTGTGTGTGTGTGTGTGTGTGTGTGTGTGTGTATGTATGTACGTTTAGAGTGTGGAGCGATAGATGTCGGTTCACAAGACAATAAACAGCCGCTGTAAATGGTAAATGTTGGCAAAGTTTTCAAAGAGGTAGTGAAGACTATAGCGTATCTGATGCTATTGCTCCGGCCGGAAGTAAGGATACGCAACTACCGCTCAACCGGATGTGCGCGCTACCGTCCGTGAAAAAGGCCTATTGTGTTGTCCGAGTTTGTCAAGCTTATGCTACAAATCTCAATCCTTTTTTTGTATTAACCAGTGCCACGGTCTGTCCATTGAGGGCTTTGTGCTTCCATCTTCAACCACAAGAGAGGTAAACAACTTAAAGAGATAAACATGACTGAGATTAGAGTAATACATTTACAGAACGCTAATATAATGTCACAACATTTTCAGATGACTCCTGGAGAAATAAAGTTTGCTGTGCATGTGGAGTCCGTGCTAAACCGTGTTGCTCAACCCGAGTACCGTCAGCTGCTGGTGGAGGCCATCCTGGTGCTGACCATGTTGGCGGAGGTGGACATCCAGAGCGTGGGTGGTGTCATTCAGGTGGAGAGGATCGTTCAGATGGCCAGTGACCTGTTTTACAATGATCAGGTGAGCTTCCTTGGGATATCCGTTACAGAGGTATGAGATTTACCCTCAATCAATATAAAACTCATTGGCCAAGGGGCATATTAAAGAAAAATCCTGCTGTAACTTTAAAATCTTATTCCATTTGATTGAAACGAGGTCAGCCGTTTAGGAGTAAGCAATAGCTTTCTTCAATATTAGCTTTCTTAAATATTAATACTAAAAAATTTATAATATAAATAGACATTTGACCCCCCCCACCCCCTACTCCCCCTATAACGGTTCATACCACTGTAATGCTTTCAATCGTGCCAATCAATGCTAGGAAAAATACATTCAACAGCCTAAAACCGGCAGTTCTAGAGCAGCGACAGGCATCTCAAGTATTCACAAAACACGTTTCTCGTAAAATAGGTGTTTATATCTGCATGTAGCCTAAAATAAAGAGAAAAATCAGACACATTCAAACAGGCCGGAATAACATAAAGGCTAGGTGGGGCTGAAGCCCTAGGGCCTGCAGAAGGATGGGGCCCTTGATTGGCTGAACAATGTATCTGCACCATGACGTGGGAAACGTCTCTTTGCCTTGTGCCGTTAAAGTGAAGAATTATTTTTGGCTCGCTGCTGTTCAAAAACAGTGATGTTGCTTAACTATAGCTTGGAGTGGCTGTAGCCCAATCTGTATTTCGAGTAGCCCAGTTTTAGACCCCAGTAAGAGTGACCAGATGTCCCGTTTTCCCCAGGACAGCTCCTTATTTTACGGCTCTACCACAAGAATGGTCCGGTTTAAGTTAGGCTAATCAAGTGCCTTGTAGAACAAAAATATGAGATGCAAACATTATTCATTATTAACATGCAGTTCAAGAGTTCACTATTAGCTGATGATTGATTATCAGCTAGGTTGGCCTGCTGTCCCGGCCAAGAGAGAGCCCTGAGCTCAAAAGGTCTTTAAGCCCTGGGCTCCCTCCTGTTTGCAAGGTGATGGGGGAGCTTTGAGCTCAGGTAGAGCTCGATCTCCTCCCTTGATAAGACCTAATGACTAAAATGATTGCTATGAAAAGATATGCTGCAGGATGAGAGATTGACTGTAGTGCTAAATTTAGATTGATCAGTTCACTTGTAGTGTATGTTTTTGGAATGTGGGAGGAAACTATGCAAACTACCAGGCCCGGATTAGAACTCAGGGGCCCCTGGGCACATTATCTTGTAAGGCCCCCTACCTGGCCACACCTCTATAGTTGAATTAAAAAAAAAATAAGAATAATATAATAATTTTTAATTAAAATAAATCTATAATTTGTTTCCCACATATTTAAATAAATGATATATAGTACATATATATTAATAGTCTACAAAGATTTAACTTATTTTTCAAAGCATTGAATAAAAATACTAATAAAACTAGTGAAAATGAATGTTTTTTAGTATACTTGTTCAAGTTCACTGAACAACTTGATTATAAACCTAAAAGTATCCAAAATCACACACACTATATCTCTTCTCCTCCCTGGTCTCTCTCCTCTTTGGGGCCTCTCTCTCTCTCTCTATGCTAGCTTATTCATCTAACGTTACCATAACGTCTTCTTCTATACCCTCATTCTCCTGATCATGGTTCTGTTTGAAGAAGGTGTGTATGGAAAATGCCTCAATAAAGATGCCTCCTCTCCTCTTTCTCTCGCGTTTGCTAAATCCACTTGTCCACTCATTTTTGATCTATGACAAATACTAACGTTACACTACAGTCCGCTCAGTTAAGTGCAGGTTATTTCAAAACTGACGTTTCCACACTTGACCAATTACGGCATTCTGTTTAGTTAAAGAAAGACAATTTAAATATAATAATAGTTATATGTGATAGCGATTTTTTTGCTCTGAGGAAATAAGCTGTCTGAGCAATATAGTTTTTACAGAGAGGGAGGCACCTTTATTAAGGCTAAACATTATTAAATACCCATGAGGCACTTGTGACTTTATATCACATTTGCATTATTTTTTAAAAAGGTTTCCTTCCTGTTAAAAATAAATATTTATTTTTATTTCTCCCCCGTCACAGGGGCCCCAAGTGTGCACGGGCCCCTAGGCCTGTGGCCATAAGGCCCATTGGTTAATCGGGCCCTGCAAACTACACACAGAAACGACATCCGGCCTGTTAAAGGACTATAACCGTGACTTGCTGTGAGGCAACAGTGCTAACCACTGGGCCCCCGTGCCGCCCTATGAAGGGAAAGGTGGAGAAGTAGGGGTGGAAGGGGGGATTCTTCAAATCGAAGATGACTGTAGTGAGAAACCCTGGCTCTTTATAGTGGGTTAGGAATCGCCTGATTGGTGGATCATGCATAGCTAATGCAGAACCAATCATAATCACGTAATCCCCTAGAAATTAGTTTAGAAATAAACTTCACTAAGAGAAGCCGGGATAGGCGGAATCATTTTGTATATGTTAACGGATTCATAACTAATCGCTGTCTTGACTGCGCACTTGCACAATCCTGCCCTCAAATAATGTAACCGAGACTGTGCAACTAAATCAAATAGCCTACACAACAGCTATTGAGAGGTCCGTTGTTGCGGAGTCTATTGCAAGAAAATACATGCTTAAATCTAACTAAACCAGTTAGAAAGCAAACTTTTAAATGAATGAATTTCCCCTTTTATAAAAACAGCATTTATAATCCATAGCAATCAAATATTGGCGCTGGCTTTCATTAGACTATATCTGAGAGAGAAAAAAAAACAGGCTAACCTTCTGTAGTTGATTGACTCAAGACCAAATGGGAAAACAGGGATTTTAAAGATATTTCAGGGATTTCTGCTCAGCTAGTGTTTGAAGTTTTTAAAGATTTATTTAAGATTTATGAAGTTTTTAAGATTTATTTTATTTTAAAGCAATCATTTAGGAAGTATTGCAAATGTGTTTTGTTTTGTTTTGATTGATTTTGTATGCTTGTAGCCTACACCTATTTTAGTAAAAAATAAAACATTTATAATAATCAAATCTAAATCAAATAGTAAAAAAATTAGATAATAATATTAAATAGCAAATTAATAATAATAACAATATTAATAGCGCAAAAGTTACTTTTGTGAGGCGAAAAAATTATTGGGGCCCTTGGGTTTGTTATAGAGCTGAATTTGCCTATAGAGATTAGAAAGAGTCATGAACACTGAATTTTGTTGTCTGTGCAGAAAGAGCTGGGAGCTGAAGAAAATCTCCTTGAGAAGGATCACATGACTGGAATCTGCAGGTTGATCTACGACAGCGCCCCCAGCGGCCGCTTTGGGAGCATGACGTACCTCTCCAAAGCAGTGGCCAGCTATGTTGAAGACTTTCTTCCCAGTGGAGCCTGTGCCCTTCAGTGAGGCTCCAAACTCAAATGTTTCTGTAGATATTTGTGTTAGAAAATATGGAGTGGAAATGACTTTTTTTGTCATTGCAAATAAGGTAAAAAGTGCAGTTTTATTTCACTGCATTTGAAAAATAAGCTAAAGAAGTCCTGCTACAAATGTACCATTGGATGTAGAGTTGCCAAAAGGTTTTAGCATTAGCGAATTAGCCAGAAAGTATCTTTCTTTATTGCTAGTCGTATTCTAATAGTTTTCATTTAAGCTTCATTTGAAAAGTGTTTAGTTTGTCGGTTTGCAGTCAGAATAGGCTTTATCCCAACTGCAATCTTTTTTGAGTGATACTGTGTTTGTAGGTCAATGTAGATGTTAACATCACCCTGGTTCACTCAAAAAACAACTATTTTTTTGCATTATCTAAAAAATAGCAAACGTTTTTGTTCCTAATACCAAATCACACTGTCAGAAGCTGACAAACATGCAAAAGCACCAGTAGGCCATTTCTTAGTAACTGAATTTTGTAACTGCGCTAAGTTCCCTCGTTTGCACTGACATTTGTTTGAAACACCACCCTACAGACACAAGACGTCAACATGACATCAGATTGATGTTGTACTCCAGTGTCATGGAGTAGCATTTTGCTAGGAAATAAAATCGTGTTGACATCAGAACCCCACATCAGGCCAACCTCTATCACCAACCTAAAATCAATCAAATATGAATGTCATTTGTAGTTGTTATTGGACATCAAAACACCGTTGTCCTTAGACGCTGGCTAGTCATTGAATTTTGGTCACTTGACATCATGACCCAAATCTAACCTAATAATAAAGTCTTATTATGTGTGCCCGCTGGGCTGCGTGTTCATGTAATATTTTCCTTAAATTAAGAAAACACACAGGATACACTCTCTGCCATCTTAAACAATAAACCACACAAGCACACAAGAATCAGCTGGCGAAATAACCTCTGACGGAACAACAGAGCCCTGCTAACCCTGACATGACAAAACCTGAACAAGTGTTTGTTGCTGTCTGTCATCATTGTCAATCTATAGAGTGTTTTCACTTTTCAATTTCATCAGTTACCCATGCATGGCCATTTTGGAGATACTCGGATGTCAGCAACAGAAACGATTGCAAGGTATTCTACTATTAAATACACTGTTCTGCTTATTTATGCTGTCTGAAACATGGAAAAATGTGTCAGCTGCTAAATTTAATGTGTAATATTTCAACAAACTGGGTGTAATAAGCTCTATTCTGCTTGAATTTTTGTAACTTTTGGCGCTCTTTAGTACTTGAAATGTCTTTTTCGTCTGATCAATTAGTACAGGCCAAAATATTACATTTAATGATTATATTGAAGAGCATTAATCAGCAAAATGTGCAAGTTTCTTTCTGTTTAGTGGTATGGTTTACATTCTGCTCTCCAACATGGCTGGCTGATGACACTACGAAAAAACTACATAATAGCATGCCTTAAGTGTTTAAATTACTAATCTTCCTCCAGCTTTCAAAAACATTGAAAGATTGAGCTTACAAGCAGCAAGATTTATAAGTGAACTAGATAGTAGGCTATGAGTTTGACATGATGATATGTAATATAATCTCTAAGCCCTCTGTTGCCCCATTTAGCCACAAGAATAAAACAAATCTCAACTTTGTGTTACCACTGAGCTTATTTGGAAAGTTTCCACCTCCAAAAAAAAAAAGACCAAATAACGTGGTTGTGTTAGCATCTTAGAACAACCTATAGCTACGTTTTAAAGTAAAACGCCCTCTAGCTGTAATAAAAATAATGACCATGCTGTGTTTTGTGCGTTCTCACGAAATCATAAAGCACAACTGTTGCAATTCATTGTATGGACTTCTTAGATGGTCTCTTACCAACTATTTTCTCTATTTCCAATTTACATTTACATATTTGGAACACAATGGTCTATTCAAGGTGCACACTTCACCAGTGCAGGTTTTGTGGTTGGTCATTTCAGACGTTTAACCAAAATACCCACTGAAATCAGGAGATAGCACAAGTACAAGATGTATTTTAAAAATAGTTTGGCCTGGAAAATATATGCTGTGTTCCAAAGTCTGAAAAAAGGACTGCTGAACGAACATTATATATTTAAAAAATCTTAAATACATATTCTAAACTTACATGCAAGCAAGGCCCTGTGCAGTTTGGCTCCGCATTTTGTGTTTGATCTTATAACACGGTACTCCCCTTCATGTGACCTCCATTCCTTAGATTCTGGCCTTTTAAAAGTCCCCTCCACTCGCCTGCTCTCTATGGGTGACCGGGCTTTCTCTTCCCTGACTCTGGAACACTCTCCCCTATGACATTAGACACGCTGAGTCTCTTAGATTGTTTAATTCAGTGTTTCTCAACCATGTTAATGGAGGACAACCAGCTCTGCACATTTTCCATGCCTTCTTAACCAAACACATCTGATTCAGATCATCAACTCATTAGCAGAGACTGAAAGACCTGAAATGGATGTGCCAGAGAAGGAGACATGCAAAATATGCAGTGCAGGTGGTCCTCCAGGAACGTAGTTGAGAAACACTGGTTTAAATCATCCTTGAAAACACACTTTACACTTGCCTATTCGTGAGGTGTGCATTCTTGGTTTGTTTTATGTTTCTAGATATCTGACTGTTTTATCTGTTTTGAATGCTTTAATTGTACTGTTACTCTAAACTTTTTATGTCTGTATCTTTTTTTTGTAAAGAACTTTGAGAATTAAGTTTTAAAGGCGCTATATAAAAATAAATTATAATTATTATCATCTATTTAACATACAAAAATTGATGTCTAATAGACATTTTGTCTAAAAGTTGTTTTTAGGTTAACACAAACATCAAACAAAGATCTCCATGATGTACATGTGCTATCAGGGGGAACCAGAAGTGCTGAAACTGCTAGAAATTCACTCATTCCCTACATACCACACTAACATTGAATGAGGGAATAAAAACTTGAGTGAGGGAATTCAAAAACTGAGATGTGTATCCATTTAGTGCTCATCACTTGTTATTGAGGTGCATACTAGACCTGAATGAGTTCATTCAATAATGTCTATAATATACCACCACTGCATAAAGGTATAACGGTTGATTTGTTTTTGCAAATTATGTAATAAACTGTATCACTTCCATACAGAAACATACTGCAGTATTTGACTTTAATCCAAACAGCCATACCTTACCATACCTGAATGAGGCATTACAAGTCATGTAGAAACAAATTGAACTTTTAAGGTGAAATCCAAAATGTCTGAAGGGACGAGACAAATGTACGAAAAAGTGACCTGTACACATTTCTCCAAGACTCAAGAAATCGAGATGCCAGCCGCTGTGGCACAATCAACATTGACAGTGGTTTGATTTCGAAACACTATTCAGGCAATGTGCATACAAAACCGTGGCTTGGTTTTAGACATTATAAACATTGATTCAAGTGTGCACAATTACAACAATCACTTTTCCAAACGGGGGAGGAGGAGGGGCTTGACATCATGACAACGTTTCATTCCACTGCAATTCACTGTACACTGTCATTCCGCTTGCATCAGCCAGTGACATCATCAAAGAGGGCTGCCTAAAAACACTAGATTTCGACACTTAGAAATTAAAGGTAACATGTAAAATGACGGAGGACCGTTTGTCGCTGGATGAAGGGAGATTATGTTACAAACACACAGGTTAAGGAGCAGGGGGGGATGCCACATGAAAATCTTCAATCTCTTCGAGCCATTTGAACCATTTCTCATGTCTGCTTTGCCGTTTTTGGTTTTGGATTGGTTGATGTTTTTCCTCGGGCGTATGTGTCAGTTCATCATGCTCCTCAGTGCTACATGAAGTGCATCTGGAAGAGAGGGATCGTGTTATCGCAGAGTACAGAAGAACAGCCTGTAAATGTAGGTAAATGTAGAGTACCTGAGCTCCAGGGATTGGGGTGAAAGGGTTGGTGGTGCGGAGGATGGGCTGGTTATATATCACAGGCTGGGGCGCCATCAGGGGCACTGACCCCATCTGGCCCACAGGAGGAGGAATCTACAGAGAAGTGGAGGTTCAGCGTGAGATTCAGAGGTCTCTGGTGTTAAGAGGTGCTTGAGTGGACAATACTACATGCAGGTTGTTGAGAATTTGTGATTTCAGTCTCTATCCGGGTCACGGCACCAAGTTTCAGAACTTAAGCCAGGAAACTCATTTCAAGCTAAATTCTTTATTGAGAATGTGTTGATTGTTCTGCAGTCAAACAGAATCTTCAAAGAAGTTTAGAAGAGTCTCTTAGACCCAATCCTAATTGTATTTTTGTCCCCTACCCCTTTTCCTTCCCCTTGGCCCTTGAAACAAATGTTACCCTAAAAAAATAGGACACCACTACAGCACCTGCACACGTCAACATTGTCATCGCAATCTCTTACTACATGTGAGACTGACGACAGTGATTGCTGTAGTTATTCGTTGCATTATGTTTTGGCATTTATCTTCAGGAAATCAATGAAGGCAACAATATCGTGTTATCGTAATGATATTGTGCATTTACACTGTGGCCACATTCATCTATGTAAACACACGAAAACAACATTAACATTACACTAGGCACTGTATAAAGGTAGTTCCTGGTCACCAGACTTTTATAATAGGGTATTCGAGTGTCAACGAGTGTCAGAATGTTGTGGGACTACTGTACAGGAGTTAATATTATGGATTATAGTTAACATTTTTTAAAGCATGGCGATTAAACACGAATGATGTTATGAATGTATTACAATATGTGCTTGTTTGTTGTAAAAATTCATAATAATGACAAAGAAAAATACAAAACTGTGCATCTCCTGACTTCCGTGTGCAGCCATGCAGAGGTTGTAAATGTTGTATTCTGGGAAAATTTGGTATCCCTTGGTTTCGAGTGTGGTCCTGAAAAATATCAGTTTCAAGGGCTATCTAGCTCTTCCCATTAGCCCAACACTATCAAGCTAAAGAGAATTAAGACACCCCTACCCCTTCACGTGAACCCGCAAAATGAGGGGTAGGGGTAAGGGCTAAGAGGTAGAATTGGGATTGGGCCTTAGAGTCTGAGTCTATTTATATATGTTTGAGGGCAGTGTTAAGGTGGAGAGGGTTAAACAAGTCATGCAAATGTGTTAGATAGTTCCAGAACCTGTACAGACACTGAAGTTTCATGTGCCCAAAATGTAATCAATAAAAGAGTTTCTTTAGCCTGACAAAGGCACAATCATTGAGACCCATGAGCTTGCATTCTGTAGGGATCTGCGAATGCTCAGGAAGGTAAAAGGTTTATTGTCTCTCACACCTAGGCAGGAGTTTTGAATGAAATGGCATTAAAAAAACAAATCACAGAACTTTTCAGTTCTATACAGTATATTAGTGTTCATTTGAAACTAGATTTAAGTTTATATTCCCATAAGATGTAAACAGTGTCATAAAGTGGGCCCACACAGTGTAAATTTTGCTGTCGTAGAAGCTAGTATGTTTTTTTTTTCACATTCAGGAGAACAATCATTCATGTGAGAGGAAATTATGAGTCGAGCCAAGGGGTCTACAAGCTCAAAATAATTTTTTAACATCAAAACTTTTCAGGAGCTGTCGGCTTGAAGTTAAAAGATGTTTGAATGAGCCAATCTGTCGATCTATGTGAAGGTGACCAATCAGGAGGTTAAACACTGAAGTGTATTTGTAGTATGATGTATGATGTTTCATGTATGACAGGGTCACCGGAGATAATAGTTTACCACAGACTAGGCTTTAGAATTTTTAAAATTACATATGGTGACCAGGTTACCCATTGCTGAAAAAGAACCTGTAGTAAACTTTTACAGCTTGTATCATTAAACTTTTATGAAAGAGAGAGAAAGAGCATGAGAGTGAAAGACAGAGTGGCTCAAAGCAATGCATTTCTGTCCATGTTTTTGAAGTGGAATTTGATGTGATTGCTTCAGAATTTGCCAGATTGGCTGGAATTGATTGACGCAAACCATATGTGTGGATATATACGAATGTTCGACCATCAGAATTCACACGATGTATGCCCGTCTGTAAAAGCTTTTAGCGTCTATTTTTGACCACTTCCAGTGGTAGTTGAATATGCAATTAACTAGATTGCCTTTACAGTACATTGAAGGCCAGAGGTTGTGTTAAATGAATAACTGTTAGTGACAGAAAAAGGCTGTCCATTTTTAGATTACACATCACAGATTACATTTGATGTTGATCTACTGTAACAACGCTTATTATAAAAAAAGTAAAATTGTTTTTATAATAAACTACATACTTTTTTCCACTTGTTCAAACTACTTATTTAAAATCAGCTGAAACAGCTAAATTCTTTGAGTTTTTTGGAACTTATTGTTTTATGTTCATTCACTTAAATTTGTTACATTAACTTAATCGGTTTTTATTAGGACAACATGAATGATTTGTGTGGAATATTTTTTTTCCAGTGTAGTAAAACATTTAGTTCAGCTTGTGCAAAATGTAAAATGCACAATATACTTTTTTGTTCCTTTTTACTGTTGTATGTGTGAGGCTTTAAAAAAAAAAAAAAACATCCCTAAAAAAACACACAGGATGTACTTTCTGCTGTTTTGGTTTCCCTGAATTTGTGAAGTGGCCTTTACACAAAGTATTTTTGTTTTACTATCTTATAATATCTTAATATCTTATTTTGAGTTGGCAAAATCATTCCTTGTATATAAATAACTTGATGATGTTTTCCATTCACAGATGTGCTGCAGATTATGGACGTTTAGTCTGCTATTTACACATAAAACTGAACCTCTGGAAATTTTTAAAGACTCTTAGACATTCTGATTTAACCATTTATCGGGTGAAGAATCGTATAATTATTATAACTTCATTAAGGTTAATATAGTTTTTTTAATTCATAAAAGTTTCCCAGAGAAGGGTTGCGGCTGGAAGGGCATCCACTGCGTAAAAACGTGCTGGGTAAATTGGCGGTTCATTCCGCTGTGGCGACCCCAGATTATTAAAGGGACTAAGCCGACAAGAAAATGAATGAATGAATAAGTCATAAAAGTTCCAACATAATCTCACAGCAGTTTGTACCTTTTGATTTAGTGGCTAATTCGTATGACTTCGTACAATCTAATTTGTACAGTTTAGTATGTTTGATTTTCCCCAATGACGGCTGGGTTTAGGGACGGGGTTGGGTGCCACGTCTTCTTTTTAAAATCGTACATTTTCGAATAACTGAACTTGAACAAATTCATAAAAATTAGCCACTAAACTGACAAAATGTAAAATATTTATGTTTTCTTGTTAGATCAAGCTGAAAAGTTCTTGTAATAACCCACAGTAGCACTCCAGGGTTTTTCCAATGAGTACTACAATGAATTCCAACTTAACTAAATAATTCTAACTTAACATTCATTTGTTTTATTATGAAAACAAAGATTTCCCTAAGCTTTGACAACCTGTTGTGAGATGTAATGAGCTTCATCCATTTGGAAAAAAAATTAGGTTTACAATAAACGGCAATACTAGGGCTTTTACTAAAACATGGACCCATTTAGAATTTTCTTTACTGAGCATGTCAGTATTTCTAGAAACTGTCAATCTAAAGCCTAAGGCCTTTCAACTGCAACGCAAATGTAATTAGGTACTTTGTATAAATACCTGAGGATTAATGTTTGTAATATTAGGCTATCAAGGTATATGTGTATTCTGTACAGGTTTTTATTTATTTATTTATTTTATTTATTTATTTAATATTTATTTTTTATTAATATATATATTTTTTTGTAATTTATTTATTTCATTCATTCATTTTCTTGTCGGCTTAGGTTTAATGCAGCGGATGCCCTTCCAGCTGCAACCCTTCTCTGGGAAACATTCACACTCATACACTGCGGACAATTTAGTCTACCCAATTCACCTGTACCACATGTCTTTGGACTTAGTGGGAAAACGGAGCACCCAGAGGAAACCCACGATAAATGCAATTTCAACTTGTTTAGAGGGTAGGGGTGGGAATAATATTTGTTTAAATTTCTCTGTGAAATTAATTTGTAATATCTGTAAAAGTTTAATAAACAAAAAAAAACTTTCATTTCAAAAAAACTTTCATTTATTGTCGATTAGTGGTAAACGATGGGTATACGCTGTCATTATTGTCATCATTCAGGAAAATTAACCAAAATGAACAATCCTAACATGTTTTTTTCATATTGTATTCATAAATGTATTTTGTAATATTGTGCGGTTTACATTAGCCTGTTCAAAAATAATAATAATAAAAATAACAAATCTGCATCATGTAGGATGGAATATGAAAATTGATGCAGTATAAATGTCCTCTTCGTAACTGAAAGCATATAAGCTTATATGCTAATTATATATCCAATATTTTTTTATGAAAACAAAAGCTATGAAAAGTACATTTTTAAGTGAAAAAGAAATAACAATAGAAAAATGCTAATTTACTTATAATCGAATGAACCAAAATGCATCTTGATACTTTTGCATCTTGTGCAAAAGTTTTAAACTGATTTTTGGGGAGGTAAGACTGAGTACTTTGAAAGAAACTATGATATTACTTTATTTTGATGGTTCATTCACTCAAAAAAAATATATGTTTGGTGTTTGTTTAAACTTCTTATTTTAAATGAGTTGAAACAACACAATTTTAAGGTTATTTCGGGACAACTTAATAGCTTTATGTCCAATTCACTTAAATTAAAAAAAAAAAAAAACTATTAGGTTAACTTAATCAATTTGTGTTGGGACAACATGAAGGAATTGTGTGGAACCCTGCATTGTTTACAGCGTTGTACTGACTCCAAATAAAAATGTAAGTTAGCCTATTCTACTTACACTAATTGCCAATGTTGCTATACTCGTGACAACGAACACCTAAAATTCAGCTTCAGGAATAATTTACCATTCAAAATATATTACAATAGAAAGAATTCATTTTAAATTTATATAATATGTGACAATATTATATCATAACAAGACATTTGAAAAAATGAAAAAATACTACTAATAATAACAGCACTGAGCATTATTAAACTGAAAAAAACACTTACCATCCCATACACAGGCACTTGGGGGGTTGTCATCGGAAATGCAACCGGAGCTGGTGCCTGAGAGAAAGCAACATAAAAAAGTCAGTATTAAGCACACAGACATATTTTTAACTGCTTTATTTGAATACTTTAAATTGATTTGATTCAATCATGTTTATGTACAAGCAGGACTTACATAGCCAGTATAAATCATTCCATTCTGTATCATTACAAAACATGCAGAAGAGAGAGAGACAGAGACATTACTAACAATCACACAAAACCAACAGCGTATTTTGTGTCGTATTTAAGTGCACAGGCTAGGTCGCTACGATTTGGAAAACCATACATATTGTATTCAAAAGATGTGAGCAGACTGAAATGTTCTAACAGGCGCATGCCATGAGAAATGAGGCGTTTTTCATACCATCTGCGGCATCGGTATGGGAGCAGGGGCCAGGTGTGTGTGGCTCCAGGGGGCCGTGCCGTTCATGGCTTTAGTCTGCCAGTGGGAGCCTCCAGATGATTTCTTCTCCAAATGAGTCCACTGAACTTCTGGCCTGAAAATAACAGATCCCTTCGTCTGACCTTAACGTCAAATCAACTGTTCATGTTGTCGACAAAGCTTTCAAGGGGACCTATTATGCTCCTTTTTTGCAAATAAGTGTGTCCCTAAAGTGTGTATGTGAAGGTTCAGCTCAAAATACCTCGCATATAATGTTTTATAACTCTTTAAAATGGCCCCTTTTAGGCTTTGATCCTCATTGTGACATTTTGGTGACTGTCGCTTTAAATTCAAATGAGATTGTGCTCTTTTCAAAAGAGGGCGGAGCTACAAACGCCTACGTGACAGCATAGTGGCATATTCAAAAACAACTATAACGTTCTATGCTTATGAGAGTCATTACTAGCGGGAGGTGCTTTTCCCCTCTGATGACACGTAAAAATAGAGAATGTCAATCAAATTCTGCAGACGTTTTTTTATTAATAATTTTTATTATTAAATGTCAGGATTCTGCCACTTCGGTCTTGTTAACTCTTGTTTTGGTGGCAGAATTTAGACACTAGTCCGGTCTTGTCTAGTATGTTGTGCTCGGCTTGAGTTATATTTCCTGTCATTGTCTGTCTTCGATTTGTTTGAGCGCTATCTTGGCTGTGCTCGAGCCCAGCATGCTTAGGATGTGTGTTTATGTTTGTTTTGTCTGCAGCGTGCTGTTTTACTCTCGGAATCTTAGTCCAGTTGGTTTCGATTGGTGCTGGGATGAAACATGCACATCACATGTTTGAGTGCACATTAAGTGTTTTCATTTATCTTGTTTGTTTTCATTTATCTCTGTTTGTGTTGGTATTTAAGCATGTGCTCTGGTGTTTACATTGTGGCCGCATGCTTTAGTATTGTGTTTCTTGTGAACACGTGGTTACAGGATTTTTTCATTGGCTGCATGTTCTAGTCCTGTTTTCTTGTGAGCACATGGCTTATGCTGTGTCTGTGTATTATGCGCTCTCCTGTCTATTGTCATGTATTGATGGGTCATTCTTGAACGATTCATTCATTTTGAACGAATCTTTTGTATGAATTGAGAACCATGAGTCCTTGAAAAGTGATTCATTCATTCACGCATGCGCACATTTGTGCAGGTGGAGGAAAAGATTAGTTCATTTATCGGGTTTGAGTCGTTCGTTTATCACTTGAAAGACAGAAGACAATCATAGGCATGTAGAGATGGAAAAAGATTTGACCTGTTTATTTCTCGAATCCTCAGTTTGAGTCATCTTTCTCTGAAGATAAAAGACGAAAGACTCAAAACCGGAAGACTCCAAAGGTGAACTAATCATGGATCATGGTCCACCGGTTAAGCTTATATACGCTTATTTCACGCGGCTGCCATTTTAAAGAACTGAAGCGAGGCTGCGGTGGGAAGAAACCCGGAAGTATAGGACCAGCACTGTAAACATTGCAGTAACATGCTGTGGACTATACACCTCCAGCTGAGAATTCAAAATGCAGAAATGGTGTAAACATCACCTTAATATTATTCAGTAAGTTTAATTTAAACAATTAAAGCAAATTAGGCATCACACAACATCACAATCTCTTTAAGAGTAATATGCTCAAGTTTGCTTCAAGGCATCAATTCATGATATCTTTTGTTATTAACTACATAATGAAAAAGAAGCCTTTAATGGGGTAGAAAATGTACATATTTGCTCACCTGGGTTTAAAGGGAATTAGCCATTTCTCCTCAACGTTGATAATAAACTAATTTCTTTCTGTATGAAACGTCAAACAGACTCAGTTGCTCCTGAGTCCTGTCAAACCTCCACTAGTTTTTCCTCCATTTCGGGGGTCCAAATAAACCCAAAAGAGCGCTTTTAACTTCTCACCCAGCCTCCTGCTGGCCTGCAGCAGGTATACACACACGCACACACAAGTGAATGCTGCTCTCTCATTGGCTGTAGGCGATCGCCGATGTTATTTTCAGTCAAAACTCAATTCACATGGCATGATGTCATAAACTCCTCATGTCTGCTGTGGTGTGCCAGTTTGTTGTTGTTTATCATCTTGTCTAGCCCTGCCAGCCCAGCCCAGCCCAGTCAAGCTTGTTTGTTAATGTTAGTTGTCTTTTTGTTTTATTTTATGATGAACCCATGCTTTTGTTTGCCGCTTTTCTCCTCCTAAAACCTGACATTAGAAGCTGTTTATATTCACAGACTGTTACCACACAACTGTGTTTAATTTTTCCTTGTAAAAGTGATTTTTGCATAATAGGTCCCCTTTAAGATATCATTCACTTTGATTGGTGAATTAAACCCTTACTTTTTGGCTGGGGGTCCTCCAAAATGTAAATCTACGACAAATAAAATGAATCATCATGAGCACAGCATATGTTGTTTAATTGCCATAGAAACTAAATCACTGAGACGGCTGAAAGACTCACTGCCCACGAGATTGGCCAAGGACGAGTCCAGATCATTAGTAAGTAATTTTCCTCCGTTGTAGAACTGTGTGCCTTGACTTTGGACCTGCGTGGAGAGGGTGGGTTTCAAAAGTGCTCCTACGCGAAAACCAATCTGGAAGACACAAAAGAAAGACACGAGTCAGATATTTTGTAGTATTGAAGCTGATAAAGTGCCAGTTTAAAGTGAAGAGAAAATACTGTGTAAAAGGCTCAGTTTCCCTATTTGGATTTGATTTTGTTGTTTGTTCATTTCCATTTTAATTGGATAGTAATACAGGCTGATTGGTATATTTGATTCATTAAAAGAATCAAGGAGTCATTTTTTGGGGTTAGGTTTGGTTAAGCAAGTTTTACAGTCTTTGGCACAGGTCAGGGGTCATGCTGCGCATTTCTGATTCACACAACAGACCTGGTTCAAACTGTAAGAGTTGTATATTCTTCAATAAGACTACACTGATCAAACTGCACATTTTTATTTAATTTTATTCACTTTTGATTCAGGGAAAATACTTTTTTAAAGCAGACTACATTAGAAGTAATCCATGCATTTTATTCACTACAAAGATATTGTTCATAAGAGTGATTTATGTATAACTACACTAGTCAAACTGAATCAGAGTCCACATGTGCTGCTGTGTTTTTGGCATTGCGAGGAGTGATCAAATCAGATTTTTTTCTCAGATCTGATTTTTTTGCACAACTGTTCACATTGTTGTTTTAAATGTGGTCAATATCAGATTTCCAGTGTGAACAGATCACGGTACTGATCTGACCCGCATGCGCAAATATACAACTACACACAGCACATAAATGTGTATAGTGTATAAAGTGAATAAAGCACGTTGTCAGATTATGTTTAACGTGATTGTTGCTGTTTTCACAGACAGCACAGACAAAAATTATATAAGTCACATGAATTCCAACATAACAGTTCACGCTGTGGTTGGATTGCAAAACATCAAGGGTCTCATGTATCAACGCTGCATACGCACAAAAACTGTGTACGCCAGGTTTCACGCTTACGTTTAGATTTATTAACGATGGAATGAATGCGAGAATGTGTGTTAGTCCGCACCAACTACATGTCTGGTGTACGTGCATTTCTTGTGTGTGTTTGTTTTATATCCATTGGCGACTCCTAGAGGCAATTGTGTAAAATTGCACACTACAAAGTATCTTTGAGCCATGCAATGGCAAGTTGTATGGGACGGTCTCATCCGCATGTCTAGCAGGTATATAAGGTTTCCATACAGTTGACCAGTCAAACATGCGCTGTTTCATACATCTGAATTTTTTACTGTGTACGTACATTTACAGCTTTGTGCATATGCAATGTTTTAGTATGAGTTCAATGCAAGTCTTCGTATATGAGGCCCCAGATCTGTATCTGATTTAATACCACAAATAAAAGTGACACAAATCTGAATTGAATAGATCAGATTTTATGCAGGTTGGGCTGTTCACACTAGCTACGTTTCCACCAAACAATTTTGATGTGCATTTTGGATATGCGCAGTGGTTTTAAAAGTGACTCCTTAACATTGACTTGGTTGTTGCTAGATCAGATATAGTTGCAGCCGGAAGTTCAAGAAAATTATTTATGTTAGTAATTTAAATTTTCCATTTGTTGTATTTTATTAACGCCTACCCACACCCCAACCCGGAAACCAAATGTCACTGTAATGTAAAAATATTAAGTATTATTATACAGTGTCATAAAAAATGCTGCTATGTCTTCGGGCTCGTGGGGGAAACCAGAGCACCCAGAGTAAACCCACACGAACAAGGGAAGAACATGCAAACTGCACAGAAATTCCAACTTACCCAGCCGGTGAGAATTAGTTCATAAGAGTCATTCATTTGTGAATCAGACTGTATTCAGGCTACACTGCTCAAACTGTACTTTTCATTCACTTATATTTCAGGTTTATAAGAGGCACTTATATTTGACTATACTGGTCAAGCTGTATGTATTTGATTCAACAAAAGAACTGGTTCATAAGAGTCATTTATTTTAGAGGTGCAGTAGGTGATCTTCCACAATGCTAACAGCTTAGCATAAATCTACGAATCACAGTCCCTCCCCTGACGTCTAGAGCCACGCCTCCTTAAACACGAGCACAGCAAAATAACCCTCTCTCATGTGTTAATAGCGACTAGTGCTTGTCCGGCGGCGTGCAAGCCAAACTGACATGCTTTTTCAGAGTGAATATTTAGAGCTGCATGGTAAACTATATAGGGAGAGACTAGGTGGAATAGAGGTATTTACTTGTGTTTTGTTGTTAAAGTAATTAAAATCTACATTGTCGATGATGTAAAAGGTCCCTTATGAAACTGAAAATAGTCTTATAAATCTTTCATCAGAAGATTTTATGGATGAACAACACTTCTGTGAAGATATAAGCCATTTGTAACAACAACATCTAACGTTACATCAGCTTTGCGTGAAGCTAAAACGTAAGACATTACCTGTCTAAGAAAAATTCTTCAACCATGATGTCATCCTTTCTCAATCGTGCAAAGGTAACTCTAATATTAATTCAGGTTTTTAAAATGTTTTTATTCAGCAGGTTTTTACCAATCGCACTCGCGTGTGCTCTCTCTCTCTCTTTCTCTTTCTCTCTCTCGAACGCGCAGCAGGTCTATGCACAAACGGAGGTCGGCGGAGCTGCGTACAAAAGGCTGTGCAGTTGTTCAAATCTACATTTGCTGACAGACAGTTTGGCCTATTTATCAGAATTATGAGAGATGTCGGCCCGACTCTATTTAATTGGATGAACATTTTTTAGTTTTATGCCTTACCCAAAAGATAAAGATACATATAAATTCATTTAGATCAGGTGTGCTCAACCCTGTTCCTGGAGATCTACCTTCCTGGAGAGTTTAGCTCGAACCCTGATCAAACACACCTGAACCAATTAGTTAGGACCTGAACAGCACTTGATAATAACAGGCAGGTGGGTTTGATATGGGTTGCAACTGAATCCTGCAGGACAGTAGATCTCCAGGAACAGGGTTGGTCACCCCTAATTTAGATCCTTTACTTTAATCATTACTATTGGAATTTGATGAGACTTTCAACCAGCACAACAAAAAATGCTTCTGAAGACAATCACCTACTGCACCTTTAATCTGACTACACTAGTGCGGCATATTTTTCATTCATTCATTTATTTTCCTTAAGCTTAGTCGCTTATTTATCAGGGTTCGCCACAGCGGAATGAACCACCAACTATTCAAGTATTTGTTATACACAGTGGATAACCTTCCAGCCACAACCCAGTACTGGAAAACGCCTATACAATCTTGCATACACACACACTCACACACAGGTCAATTTTTTTACCCGATTCTCCTACAGTATAGCACATGTCTTTAGACTGTGGGGGAAACTGGAGCACCCAGAGGAAACCCATGTGAACACGAGGAGAACATGCAAACTCCACACAGAAATGCCAACTGGCCCAGTCAGGACTTGAACCACTTGCTTTGAGGTGGCTGTACTAACCACTGAGCAACCATGCCGTCTGGCATATTTTTAATTGACTAAATTAAACTGGTCCCTTATTTGTGCACAACTCAGATAACACTGCTCACACTGTAAGTTTTTTTATCACTATAAAAATATGGTTCCTAAGAGCTTGTTTTTGAATCAGGCTACACCGGCCACTCTGTATATTTTTGATAGTGAAAAAAACAAATGTTGCAAAAAAGTCTAATAGGAGCATTTTTGGGAGGGAATATCCATTTCTCTGACAAGTCAAAGACAAAGGCAGAAACAGTTTGAAAACAAGTTCCTATTAATGCCGCTAAAAGTTCACAAACTACATATTTCACTTGACAATATGTAAAATACTCACCAGATTGAGTCCCACACCAGTGCAGAATGTGCCATTGAATAAGAAAACAGAGCAAGACATAAGAAAAAGCAAGACTAACACTGCATTAAAGATGAATGCTAAAACAAACTGAATATACAAATGACGAGTTTTGTGCCAATGCGATTACCTCCCCAGCTGTTGTTGCTGGCTGGTAGGGTGTTTGTCTGCGCAGGGGTGCTGGAATTATGTTGGAGATCGAAATGGTCATTGGTGAAGTTGTGCACACTGTTCAAGATAAAAAGGAAAATACAATTATAATGACTATACGAATAGTCATTTGCTTTTGAAAACACTTTTTTAACATTACTAACATGTTTCTAGCATAGTTAGAACATCGACAGCATAAATTAGCATGTTGGTTGCTTGTTTTCTATCATGACAAACATTGCACATTGAAATAGCATGGCAGGGATATTGCTAACATGTTAAGGGCATGATTTACCACATGGTTAACATTTTTAAGTTGTTGTTAGAAGAACTTACCATGTTTAATATCATTAGCACATTGAAATAGTATGATTTACTGGCAAGTATTCTAATGAAGCTAACATGACCTAGCACATTAGTACTAAGAATATCACTAGCATGATTATGGCATGTTTTACCATATGGTTATTTCACATTTTTAACTTGTTGCTAGCAACACTTGCAATGTTTAACATCAACAACATATTGATATAGTATGATTTAATAGAATCTAGTTTCATGATGCTAACATGACTTAGTACAATGCTTCTTAGTATGTCAATGGTATTTTGTTAAGATGAAATAGCATAGTTTTCCCAGTGATGGGTTGCAGCTGGAAGGGCATCCGCTGCATAAAACATATGCTGGATAATTCCGCTGTGGTGACCCTAGATTAATAAAGGGACTAAGCCGAAAAGAAAACGAATAAATGAATAGCATAGTAGGAATATTGCTTGCATGTTTAGGGCATGTTTTGCCACATATTTAACATTTTTAACTTGTCGTTGGCAGGACTTACATTCAGCATCATTAGCATATTAATATAGCATGATTTACTGACATGTATTTTAATGAAGCTAACATGATTTAGCACATTTGTACCCTGTTTATTAGTGTGTTGTTAGTATTTTGCTAACATGAAATAGCACGGAAAGAATATCACTAGCATGTTTTTGGCATGTTTTACCTCATGATTATTTAACATTTTTACTTGTTTTAAGCAGGATTTACCATGTTTAACATCATGATGTTGCTAACATGACTACAGTGGAACATTTCCTACAGTGGAAAATTTCCTACAGTGGAACATCCAAAAAAAATTAAACATATAAAATATGATTCTCCAGGTCAGAGCGGACTTTAAATGCAGTAAAAGGAAAGTGCTCCTTTTTTATCATCTTCATCATCCCGACATATTTGTCATTGACCCGTACAGCGAATCCCATGATGAATTCAAGTACCTGCTGACAGTAGAGGCGTCTTTCATTTTCTTTCCCTCCAGAGAAGCCAGATGTTGTTCGAGAGCTTCTAAGAGACTGCTGGGAGCCTGATGGTGAGGTCGAGAAGGATGAGGCAACACAGGTTTTAGCCCACACAACAAAATGGCTCTCAGCAGCAGCAGCAAATCATTAAAACACACACGCACACCACATTCAAACATGTGCACCTATGATTAATAAAATAAGTAATTAATGCATAAACTAAATGTATATTCTACCATTAATTCTCTTACACACTCATACCTTCACACACACAAAGGCTGCATAAACTAAGAAAACCTAATAGTGGTTATGAGTCTCTGAAAACAAAGGGGAAACACAACAGAAGTAATTCAAGTGGAAAGGACTTAAGCTTCAAAGCTACACATGCAAAACAATGTCTGTTTCCCATGCAAGTTCTCCGACAGGCCATTTAAGACCCGCAAGGTCGACTGAGATCATTGGAGAAGATTTAAAACCATGAAAAACAGAAAGCAGACTGGCCTACTGGGGGATTTTTCTAATCATGCACAGGATAAAAACGCACATACTGCACGGGAATCAAACGCCACAGCAGAACCTGCTAATCTTTGGATTCCACTTGGATTTATAGGAAATAAATGAGTAAAATTGAAGCAATTTTTGTTTTGTTTTTGGTGCTGATTGTAGGGGTGTGTGATAATGACAAATTATTTGAGGGATTTCTTTAAAAGCAATAATTATACAGTATTCAGAGTGTGTTTTGGGTTGGTATCTTTACTGGTTTAGGCTTATGATTGATTAAAAACTTGCACTAAAACTGTCAGGCAATTCACTAAATCACCAATTCAAATAACTCATTCAATAGGGCTGATTTATTTAGAAATTGATCAAGTGACTAGATGAATGGAACACTGGACCAGCAAATCACTCCATTATTTTAAAAATATTAAGCAATAAAGGGTAGCAGTCTCGAAATGTAGTGAAGTTTAATGATAAACTTTGGTGTTACTTGACAACATCTGGTCTGAAATAGAAAAATAACACAAAAAACTTTTCATTTAGAAAGTGAAAAATGTCATTAACACATGGCTTACATGATTTAACCACTCCCTTCAACGTTATCACTCGATTGAATGGGCATTATCAGTGGTTATCAGCTAATAGATATGGGCCAGAAGCGGTCTCCTGCTCCTACTGGTAGGCTCAGAAGGCTATTATCATCCATCCACGTGGTTAATCAGCTATACTAATAGAGAAGACTGCAGATCCATATCTGTTTTTACATGTGACGGTTGGGTTTAGGGTTGGAGTAGGGGTAGACGTTAATAAGATACAATTATGGGAAATTTAATCAATAATATAAATTCTTTTTAACTTCGTGCCTCAGCTGTATGTGATCTTTAGCTGATTAACCATATAGATGGACAATAACAGCCTTCTGAGCCTAGAAGAAGGCCCCTTCTGGCGCACATCTATCAGCTGATAAACACAGATAATGTCCACGTAATCAAGTGATAACATTCTAATTTAATTTGTAATTTAGCAAGTAGCTGAGCATGTCACTAGCACGTTTAATTCACATAATCTAACATATTGCTAACATTATTTAGCATGTTTATCATTTTAACATGTTGCCCTGAATTACAAAGTTTCTAATATGATTAGCAAAGAGTAAGGGTGCCCAAACTTTGTCCTGGGGTCCGTTTTTCGTACGTGGATTACTTAATTTAATCTATTAAATTTTCTTAATTTATTGACGATTTGACACGATCCAGGATAGTTTCGTTCTTCAAAACTCATCAGATTTACAGTTCTGGTAGCTCAAACTGCAAATTTTATATAATTTTTAAATAATAAGCGAGCGCTTGGTCCATGTTTTAAATTTCTGTTCAGAGAGGTCATGCTTTGATCTTTGATTGGTCTCACCCAATCATGCAATGCGATTTCGCAGGTCAGAGTTCACTAAGCTTGAACTTTGCAACACAACAAATTGCGAAACTTGTCGCACGAGCTTGCATTTCTGGTCTGATGCATTCACGTGCATATGAATGGAAGTCTATGGGGAGAAAAGTCTAGTATGATCACGGCTTTACGCTTTCTAGAAACATCCTTGCAGGTGTGGTGAGGCAAGTTAGAGCTAAAATCTGCAAGACATTGGCCCCAGGACTGAATGTGGACAACCCTGGCATATAAAATCTCCCAGCATGTTGCTAACAAGTTTAACACATTGCTTGGATGTCGCTAGCATGATTTAACATGTTAATAGCATGGTAAAAACATTTTGGCCTGAAGTTCCTAACATGGTTAGCATATAGCAGGGGTGCCCAAACTCTGTCCTGGAGGTCTGTTGTCCTGCAAAGTTTAGTTCCAACCCCAATCAGACACACCTGGGCTAGCTAATCAAGCTCTTAAAAACAACTGTGCAGGTGTGTTGAGGCAAGTTAAAAATCTGCAGGACACCAGCCCTCCAGGACCGAGCCTGGACACCCCTGGCATATAGTATCTACCAGCATGTTGCTAACAATTTTAACACATTACTAGGATGTTGCTAGTATGATTTAACACAGGGGGGAACAACCTTGTTTCTAGTGATCTGCCTTCCTGCAGATATCAGTTCCAACACATATTTAACACACCTGCTTGTAATTATCCAGAGCTGTTTAGGTCCTGATTAATTAGTTTAGGTGTGTTTGATCAGGGTTGGAGCTGAACTCTGCAGGAAGGTCACAGGACAGGGCTGAGCACTCCTGATTTAACATGTTGATAGCATGGCGTAACTTGTTGTAAGTATGTTGCAAATATTCTAATTGTTGCGAATATTCTTTTTCAAAAGGGATGTTAGAAAAAACAAAAATCTAACAAAATCTAAAAATCATACGGTACTCAATTTTTTTTAATGTATAAATAAATATGTATATTTACTCATCTGTTTTTTTTTTGTTTTTTTTTTTTGCCTGCTGTCTCAAATGTAAAAGTACCCGCTTAACAATTTTGTGTTTAAACATAGACAGCTCAGCTAAAACAAGGCGAAACTTGGGCTGTCAGTGAAAATCTAATAGACATCTAAGAATAGCTCAAAACTAGACTAGTCATCAAATAGACATATTAGACAGACTTTATATGTGTAGTCTAGTCACTCATTTTTTTCATTTGATGACTACTCTAGTTTTGGCCTATTATTAGACATCTATTAGATTGTCACTGACAGTCCAAATTTAGCCTTGTTTTAGCCAAGATCTTTTAGATATATTAGACATCTTTTAAAAACAAAAAATGCTTGCTGGGCTGGCTGTTAAAACTAATTTAACTGTAAGAAATATTGTATAAATACAAACTAAGCTTCATCAAAAGTTAAAAGTACATCCACATTGGTGTGTGTAGTATAATTCCCAATATAGAATTAGGTACAAACAGGTTAGTATGCTAAACCTGCAAAAATGAACTTGAGCAAATCAGCCAAATTATTCTATATTGAACTTAACATATTCTCAAAATTGGCTTTAAAAGAGTCAAAAATCACAAGTAAAATTTCATGGTTTGACACATTGAAAAAATGACATGCATCACATTTAACTGCACCATAGTCTTTGCTTTCTGAATCTCAATTACAAGTACATTCAAACTGCATTCTATTCGCTGTGAATTTATGGCTTTGGCATACTTGGTCATTTTAACTGACATCTATTATCATAGATGATAAAATATCACACACCCCTAGCTGATTGTAATAGGCATTTTCTGACAAAATCCGAAGCACATGGAAGCCAAAGCAGGTTAACCAAAGTAAGGCAAACATTGAGCAAGACCACGCTGCCAGCATTTTGTGCTTGTATTGCACTTTCTTCCCTTCTTTCTTTCTTTCTTTAAAAAAAAAGAGCAACGTCAATTGAATCAAAATGGCAGCCGAAAGGACTGGGCAGCATCCGTTCTTACACAACATTTGCCTTTGGGCCACGAGCTGTGTCCGGTGTGCATGCCAATTCAGAGGAGGAAAACTTCATGAATAACAAAAGAGCAGATTTCTCAGACGTGTAAATCTGAAGACACAACAGAGGGCGAGCAGTTCTACTGAGAAATCTGAAGAAAAAAAACATATGCAACGAAAAACAACACACTAGTAAAGGAGAGATAAACAAGGAAGAGAAGTTAAGACAAGGGTACTACAGGAGCAGGAGTATACAAAAGGCCGTGATGAATATATCTATCTTACAGACAAGAAAAGGCACTTATGAAAAGAAGCCTAATCAATGACGCTAATGATCAGAGTACTTGAGAATCAAACGCAGGCCTTCTGAATACTGCTTCCGCTTAAGAAAACAAGGCACTCCTTCCAATAAAATGTTTTTTGTTGAAGTACCACTCTGTAGTGTGCCAGCCCAACACCTTCAGGAGTCCCTGTCCAATGTAAATGAAAATGTCAAATATGCCAAAGGGTGGCAAACTGAAGGGGGGACAGTGTCAGTGGCTGGGCACCTCCGGCGGAATTGTTTAAAAACACAGGAAAAGCAGGTCTATATTTGGAGTTGCTGACTATCAAACGTCGTGAGGTGCCAGGCAGAGTTTAGTCCCCGGCTCCAGTTTTGAGGCATTCTTTTTTAGGTTGTGCACATTCACTGTTCTTCCCAAGAAGCTATCCAAGCAGAATACCCTACCAGTACAGAGATATATGGCAAAGGTGAGTGCTCACAGGTGGGGAGATGTCTTTATTTAGCCTAGCAATGCCCAACTGGCCACGTACAACGTAGCAGAGATTGATGCACAAGCACCATTTAGCCATATATCAATCTGTGTAGAAGCCGCCTTTTCGCAGTCTCCGACAAACGACACAGACTGGACTTCACTCATTTCCAATGGAAGATCATATGGGAGTTGTGTGTCGATTTTTCACTTTGAATTTTGGTTGAGGGTAAATATATTTTAACCTCTACATGCAATGGATGGATTTTATTCCAATAGTATAAGGATGAGATATACACATTTTGTTTCTCTATAGGGCCCTATGATATCCTGTTTTCTAAATTGCAGTTTTAACTTTTATGAATAACTTTTTCCCAGATATTTTGATGGTTAAAATTAGATATGCACCAATAAATTGGACAATAATCAATTGCTGTGTTTTATTAAAGAATCGTTTGTTAAAAAAAAACTGCCAGTTATCAGAGGATGAAAGTCAAAAGAAAAGAAAAAAAAAACACTTTAAATTCATCCTGAGCACGTCTTTTAAAGAAATAACTTTACATTTGGTTGAGATTATTACATTTAACTAGGGGAAACTTCCATAATTTTTTATACAGCTTATCTGATTATACTTTTGTTTGTAGTGAGAGAAGTTCTTATTTTTAAGAATCCAATGTTCATATGAATTAATAACATTAAAAAGTATTGAGATCTTAATCTTTAACATTTAGTGAAAGGGCACCTATTTTACCCCTTTTAAAAGATTTAAGATAAGCCTTTAGCGTCTCCAGAATGTGTCTGTAAAGTTTCAGCTCAGATTACTTATTGTAGCCTCCAGAATTTGGCCATTTTGGTGTCTGAATATGTTGTAGCTGATTTTGTAGCCTGTGGCTTGAAATAAATTGAGCTGCTTTTTCCCAACAACCATACCCACGTGCGTGTCTGCTTCTCATAATGCGTTGTGTCAGATAAACAGCACAGTGACAGACTTGGATGAAGCTGACACACAGCTCATTAGTCAAAAGTACCAAGTAAGTTTGTTTCATATATTTGTGGTGGAGTTTATTCAAGCCTTTTCTGAAATGATGAGTCTCGCACGAATGGCGTTTTAGTACACATACACACAAACACATATTAGCGTTTATTGACACCATACAGCTGTAGTGATTATAGCTGTTAAGAATTACAAAGTCTTTATTACAAACATGCTCTGATTTAAAACGTTTTAAACTTATAAAAATCACAGAGCGTTGTAACAAATATTTTAATCACAGTTTATTTACAAAAAATGTTTTTTGGACAACAACACGTTGCAGTGGGCCTCAAAATCACTGTGATTTGGGTCCTATTTTAATATCAGGAAATTTAAAAAAAGAGACTTGTTGGATTTAAATCCCTACAAAATGATTGTGGACACACTATACACACAGTTCTGTCCAAACAGCTTATAAAAGTTGATTTTCATCATAGGTGCCCTTTAATGTTAATATGATGTATGGTGTTTTCTGTTTATGACAGTTCTTTTAAATCTGTGTCATTTATAAGTATTTTAAACAATGTTACAAAAGCAGAACTGATATATTGATAAAATGTCTGAATCAGCATCAGCAGATATATACCTAATCAGCTGAGAATTTTAGTATTAATGCGTCTATAGCAGTGGTGCATCCTAAATCACATACTTGTGTACTATTCTGCACCATTTTGTAGTATAAATAGTGTAAGTTGTGCGTTCACACTGAAAACTCAAGAAAGAATAAGGGCACTTTAAATACTTGGATGATGCACTTATTCAACCAGTAAATTGAAGTATGGAATGTTGGACACTTCACACACTCAACAGCCACTGCTTTGCTCACGTAGTGGAAGGGGCGAAGCTTTTGGTTATTGATGTAGGATTACTCGGATTGTGAAAGTAAAATTCTCCTATGAGAGTGATTATAACACCTCTCGATGGTGAAGGTGGTTGTACTCAAGGCGGGTAATATTTGGTAGTTTAGCCATTTATTTTACTAATTTGGCAACCGTCAAACGTCATCTGGGAAGTGGTTTGAATTTCTGCTTAGTAAAAAAACATTAGTGTTCCATTTGGGACACTATATATATATATATATATATATATATATATATATATATATGTAAGTGCATACCGCATAGTGTGCCATTTGGAACGCAGCTAGTGTTTCTCAACCACATTCCTGGAGGACCACCAGCTCGGCACATTTTCCATGTCTCCTTAACCAAACACACCTGATTCATCAGCTCATTAGCAGAGACAGAAAGACCTAAATGGGTGTGACAGACAAAGGAGACATCTAAAACATGCAGTGTTGGTGGTCTCCCAGGAACGTGGTTGAGAAACACTGCGATCAAAAAGCATTTCCAATTAACCAAATAATTGGTATTGAATTTGACAGCAGTTTTTTTTTGGAATTTAACCAAAATGTTAGTTCATAAATATGCCAAATGCTAAAAAAAACACGGTTTGTTGTCTGATATTCACAAACACAAGTTCACACTGAGATCTGAGTAGATGAACAGCAATAATTTAGCCAAACATTCTGTGTTCCTCAACAAATAATTCCATTTCATGTCTGGATTCTGCAGTTTACTACATTAGGAAATCATGGGGCCCTACTAAAATCCTTCACACTATGTAGAATTGGTGGTTTTGGATGAATATAAACACTTATATTCGTTATTCTTTAATTATTATTTAAAAAAAGACATATTTTCTCCAGCACTGCTACCATTAAAGTGAAGCACAATTTCATGAAGTCATGTGCGAGTGTCGGAGACGGTGAAAACGCAGCTTTCAAATTACAAGCAGTCAAATTTCTCATGGGTTTATGCCAGTAAGAAATAGTGGCTTGAGGGGGCAAGCTTTAATGAGACCTTAATTGACTTTTCATTACTGATCAAATGTGTTCATAATCAAGGCAGCGGCTATCAGAGATAGCACCTGTAACAAATTCACAATAGACTAGCTTAGGTACCCATTTACCTCTGGCGACAACAGAAAATGCAAAACAGCACATCTGATTCCTTGGGAGTGCGCGGGTATGGAGTAAGTTTCTTGAGGCCCCTATCCTAAAAGTCTGATAGATGAGGGGGGAAATCAAAAGAAAATCAGGGAGGGGAAAGGGAGGATGATGGTCTATGGGGTGAGGCGTGAATGAGAGAGATCAGGGTGAAGCCACATGAGAGAAACTGAGATGAAATGCACCACTAACCTGTGAGAGATCTGGGATGTCAACCTGATCAATTCCAACTTGCTGTGACACAAAAGAAAAACAAAAAGGAAGGGAGGGAGAACGGAAAAACAAAACGTGAAACCAAACGGTAAAAAAGAGAAAGAAGGAAAGAAATAAAACGAGGCAACGTGGAGAAGGGAGAAAGAAGAATTAAGAAAAAGAGCCATTACTCCATGCAGTGTATGAAGAAATCAAAAAAATCAAAGAGAGAGAGAGAGAGAGAAAGAGAGAGGTTATGGACGACACACAGACATTGAGGTTGGTGGTTGGTGGAGATGGTCAATGAGAAGACACTTGAGTAGGTCAATGGTGAGGTTTTTAACATGACTTAGGTGAGAAACATCCAAAAGAAACACACAACTAATGTTGACTTTGGAAAAGAAGACAAGAAAAACAAATGGCATACACACATTGTTATACAAAGAAAGAAATGTGCTCTTAAAGTCAACTTTAGTCAGTTTTTGGATAGCACTTCACCCTTTTCCTGAAGAGTCATATTATTCAGCCAGAAAGCAAAAATCAAAAAGGATAGAAAACAAAACTCAAGAAGGATGTGCTTAGCATTTCTTTACCCCAAATATAGTCCTCAAAATAATGGACAAAATATAAACGGCTAAATCCAACCATCACACACTGGCACAGTTGTCAAAAAAACATCTAGTTTAGTAAGTGAGGATCATATTTCAGATTATCTTATCAATTACTCGACCGTTATTCAACAACTGTGCCTGTATCCGAACTGCAAAACAACACTTTACAGGACTGTGGTCATAGCTCTGTTCTTGCTGTTGTTGAGAGGGACAGATAGATAGAGAGACTTTCTGCTAAGGCATGCAGTGCAGGCACCAGAACAGGCAGCATGAGGGGGGAGGACCTCTGATACAGGTTCTTGGACCAAAAGGCAAGAAGGGACACTTAGCAAAAAAGGGGGCCTGAATAAGATGAGCCCGACCATCCCATGCACGGAATAAATCTGGAGACGTTTTACCTCGGCCACCTTGAGAAACTCGGAGAGCTTGGTCATCCTGACGAGAAACCTCTTGTATATTTCCAGCGCCTCTTTGCACTGATTCTTCTTCATATTAAAATATTTCTCTATGGAGGGAAGAACACATAGGCACTTGATGAGTTATGTTAAAGGACACCTATTTTAATCCTTTTCAAGATTCAAGATGAGTCTTTTTGTCTCCAGAATGTGTCTGGAAAGTTTCAACTCAAAACACCCATCAGATTATTTGTTAAACCTTCCAGAATATTGGAATTCCTGCTCTGTACACTATGTAGCTGGTTTTGCTGCCTGTGCCTTTAATGCTAGTTCTCCCTGACTCAATCTGCGCCTCGTCAGATAAACAGCACAGTGGCAGACATGAAGGAAGCAGATGTCATGTAATGTTTGTGAGAAATACTATTGTAACAACTTCACCAATGATTATTTGATGTATTTGTTGTGGAGTTAATTCAAGCCTTTCTGCAACGATGAGTCACACAAAATGTCGTTACAAAGTTTACACACACTGCGTCCGCGTTTAACCTTGCACTGTTTTTGCAAGCAAATGTGACAAGAAAACTAAATGTAAGTGCACAATATACTCTGACTCTGAGAAGAAGAAACTTTGAAATTAAGTCATTATTTTTGTTTTATGCATGCAGAGAAGTATTTTTTTAATTTCATAATATTTTCATTGAACCACTGGTTCCTTTTCTAGACCTTCAACGAGGCCTACTGTGTATGGAGGTTAAAGAGCTCTCGAATTTCATCTTAAGTATCTTGATTTTGTTTCAAAGATGAACAAATTTATATTAGATTTATATTACTAATTTACAAATACAAATTTATAAAGTAAATTATATGACATTTTTGGGTGAAATAACCCTTTAATTTTTATTCTCATTATTCAATTGACAAAAGTCAGCAGTCAACATGCACAAATGTCTCATAAACGTGCGCAATATACCGACACTGAAGAGAAGAAACTGTTGAATAAAGTCATCATTTTTGTTTAATATGAATTGTTTTTGCGGACTATTAATATTCTGATTGAAACCCTGAAGGTATATGGTCTGTTTTGAGGATATTTTTTGGTTCCTGGACTTTAAATGAGGGTGAGTAAAAAATGACAATATTTGGCAGATTCTTGATTTTCTGTGTTTTATTTTTGCACTTTGAACTTTTGAAGCTTTACCTAGCAGATTAATGACTCCCTCATTGTAAGCAGCAAAGATGCGGATCGAGTCCTTGAAGAGCAGCGTGAAGGCACAATTGATCACTCCATTGGTCAGTTCAGTAGAGCTGGCCTACAGGAAAGAGCAAAGTCACAAATGTAATCAAAACTGCACCCTTTAAATATCAACTAGCAAGATTTCTGCATTCCTACAAGGCATCTATAAATCATCAAGCAATATCAGGCCTTCAAACACCTACTGATGTCGGCTAGATCTGAAGTGAATCTTAAAGGGAAGCTGCAAGTATCTCAGTAATTCAAAGGGTTTAAATCTAATTGAACATTTCTGTTTTCTTCAGGAGGGGTTTGGTGTAAAAGCACACTGGTATAAATTCAAACAAGAGTAAACATAATGAAGATACATTAATCATGTGATTTTTATATATATATCTGGTGGGCAAAAATAGATTTGATCCAATTTGATATCTAATATGTTCATATTTTGCAGTAATTACAGCAGCACATGAAATACTGATGATTTGTAAGGAAAATTACTTAAATCTCCTCATGTTGGCTCGTTTCTTTGGTTTATAGAGCTTAATGCTGACCTTGTAGATTTCATTCAATCATTCACTCATTTTCTTTTTCAGCTTAGTCCATTTATTAATCTGGGGTCGCCACAGTGGAATGAACCGCCAACTTATCCAGCGTATGTTTTACGCAGCGGATGCCCTTCCAGCTGCAACCCATCACTGGGAAAAAATACACACTCACACACACTCATACACTATGATCAATTTTAGCATACCCAATTTATTTGTACCACATGTCTTCGGACTTGTGGGGCAAACCAGAGCACCTGGTGGAAACACATGCGAACACGGGGAGAATATGCAAACTCCAGACAGAAATGTCAACTGACCCAGCCTAGGCTCGAACCAGCAACCTTCTTGCTGTGAGGCGAACGTGCAACCCACTGCGCCACCACATTTATTCATTTCTGGGTATTATAATAGGTAATTCAACAATAACAACTTAAAACGTCAAATATGACAAGAGCTAATAGTTTTGGACACCACTGAACGTTTAAAAAAAGTAGATTACACAGAAGTAGATTAGACAAGTACAATGAAAAGATGTCCGGTGTTTCAGTGACAAACCTCTTTTGTATAATTTCATAGCCAAACATACAGTAAATCTCTTGTTCATCTGCTAATTGTGGTGTGTTTTTTACTTTATTTAGCCTCTGTTACAACAGTTTTGGAGTGAGATGCAGCTAGTTTATTCTGATGGTGAAAAGATATTTTCCTTGTACTTTTGTCAATTAAATAAAGGGTAATGAAAAATAAAGGGGGGGGTCAAACGTCTGGTGGGCAAAATAGAGATTTTATCCTTTTTAAACTTTAATATCTGGTATGTCCACATTTTGCAGCAATTACAGCAGCACATGAAATACTCCTGTGTTCCTAGCATAATGTTGACTTTGTAGATTTTATTCGTTCATTTTGTGGTTATTGTAGAAGCCAATTCAACTGAAAACGTCAAATATGACAAGTGTTAATGATTTTGGACAACACTGAAGGTTTATAAAAGTAGATTACACAGAAAAAGAATAAACAGAAAGCACTATGTAAATAAATAATGAACTGTAAACAGCAATAATAGTTTTATATAAGAACATATGCATAATGTGCATCTTACATGAATACAATTTACAAAATAAAGTGAGATAAAACTGCACAATGTTTAGAGTCAAATACTCATTATAATTATACATGTACAATTATATTATATTACATACAATAATACCACTTAATCCTTGGATGCATATAATCACAACGGCTTGATTAGAACAAGTTACCCGGCGGATGAATGGGAGGATGCCTGGATGAATGCAAAATCTTTGAGTACATGTAATAAAATCAAACTAAATACACAGAGCTCATGTTTCCCCTTCACAGAGACACACATTTAAAAAACAACAAGTTTTGGCCATTGAAATTGTTTGTGACCCTTTGAGTATGTTGCTTGAAATACAATGTAATTCTATCGAGGAAAAACATAAACAGTCCCTCTATAGGCTCTTAACATTTTGTGCGAGAAAATGTATGTTAGTAAACAGAGGTGCGTTTCCTAAACAACGACGTAACTAGCGGCTGAACTATCATAGTACGATGCATCGTTTGGAAAAAGAAAGATATAGTGGCAAGTGTTTCCCAAAACCCGTAGTTTCTCTGTCGCAGATCCATCACTTGAACCACCTTAAAACACCCATAATGATGCTCTAAACAGGATGGAGTAACTACTTTTTTAGAGAAGAACCCTATAAATTCTTTGTGTAAATTATATTGTTTTACACGGACACGCATTTAAAATAAAACCCAATATTAGATTTGGTATAAACATGCTCTCGCTTTCCATATTAACTGAAATATACGTGAACGGCACATATAGGGCCTGCGTTTGCTTTACTAATATTATTGAGAAGTTGAACATTACATAATCTATTCTAAAACATATCACTTACAAAAGCTAACACTATTCTAATATCATATATATGTGTTTCTTTAATCTCGAAACAGCAACCTTCTTGCTATGAGGTTTCAGTGCTAACCACTGAGCCACCGTGTCGCCCCAGCAGGAAACACTTCACTGTAATTGTTTTATTCACAAATAATCTTATCTTGCATACCTCAAAGTCCAAAAGGGCATCGAGCTGATTCTGAGTGATAGGTAGAGTCTTCATCAGCTTCTCTATGCTCATGGTGCGCATCACTCCATCAGTCCTGTGCATAAAATTTCATGACAAGGAGAGGTTAAACATAGCTCAACCCAAACGGTCTACACCTTCAAAAGATGCTGTTCTGTAATGTGGCCACTTGATTATGGGACATTTCACCAGAGCACACGTCTCACCCTCTCTTCATCTTGGTGAAATCAGCTGCGACGAGTCTGTAGGACAGAGCCCTTTCGGTCAGATACCTGCTGTAGCGTCTAATGTAGATGGACATATCATAACCTAGAAGAGATGTTCAACAGTACAAGTCTTTAGACCATTTACAGCTTCGCATGCTGCACAAATCTTATTCATTATTCAGGGTAAACATACCTTGTAATGCGCCTTTATCTACGAAATTATTCAAGTTAAAGAGTGTGCTTCTTGATGCAAGGTACTGGATAAACCTCTAGATGATCAAATATAAAGGACAAACAAACAAGTGCAGAGTGGTCAGTGCAGCACACAGAGAAGAAAAAGAAGAAGTGAAGTTTCATGACAAACTTGACAAATACAGACTTTAAATTTTAAACTTCTTTGTTTGGGGGTTTTACTAATCAGAAAATTCATTCATTCATTTTCTTTTCGGTTTAGATTAATCCGGGGTCGCCACAGCGGAATGAACCGCCAACTTATCCAGCACATTTTAACACATGCCCTTTCAGCTGCAACCCATCTCTGGGAAATAATCAGAAAATTTATGAAAATTAATGTTTCGAGCATGTTTTACCACATGGTTTACATGTTTTAGCATTTTGCTAGCTTATGTTTCTAACATGTTTCAAAATTTATTAATTTATTAATTAGGATGGCTGCGCCTGAAATCACATACTTCCATACTATATAGTAAGCTGAAAACAGTACGGGAGTCGAATAGTAGGGCTGTGCGATTTGGGGAAAATATCTAATTGCGATTTTTTTTTTTTTTTTGACACATATTGCGATTTGATTTTTGATTTAATTTAAGTTTCAAGCTGATTTTAATTTAGGTCAAGCTTCAGCTTAATAATCTGAGAGCTGTGGCAACAATTCTTCGCAGAAAGTCTAGCATGTTTAATTATCTGAAGCATAGCAGACTGGTTTTGAAGCACTTCACCTCAGACGTTATTCCTTATTTATATATGTATATACATACATATGCAGCCTCTTGCGATTTAATAATCGCAATGTTTGAAACTACGATTGCGATTTGATTTTAATTGATTGCACAGCTCCATCGAGTAAAATGTCTAAATTTATAGAATTCGAAAAACAATATGCGAGAAGTACTCTGATGACCTACTACTTTCGGCGAGACTCTGAAGTGCACATCTGATGCATGCTGCGCTATCCCATGGTGCACCACGAGAGAATTGATGAACGAGAGTGAAGTGACTCATGTGATCATGACAAAATGGTGGATGCAGTACATCCAAGTTCCGTTCATACTGCTCACATTCATAGTGTATTAAACATACTTTTACATTTAAATTCAAATGCAGTACCTACTGAGTTGTAGGCGATTTCGGACGCAGCCCATGTTTCTAACATGGTTAACCTATTGTTACAATTGATTAGTATGTAAACAACATGTTATATTACACATTGCTAGCATGAATTAACATGATGCAAACTTGTTTCTAGTATCTTTTAACATTGTTAGCACAAGTTAGCATGTTGTTAATGTTCAGTTTTAGAGATTAGCACACTGATAACAAATTAATATTTCATAAACATGAAATAACCCACTGCTAGTGTGTTTTTATCATATTTTACCACGAGACTTACACACTTTAACAATTTTAAGCATGTTTTTAACATAATTTTGATAATTAGCATTACTTAATTAGCATGTTTCTAACATGGTTAACATTTTAAATATGAATTAGCATGTTAGCAACATTCTATTAACACATTGCTAGTATGAATTAACAAGTTGCTAACATGTATAGATGTATAGATTAGCACATTGATAACAAATTAGCATTTCATAAATATTAACACACTGCTTGTGGGTTTTCTAGCATTGTTAGCATGAATTAGGCTGTTTTTAGTAGCCTATGTCCAAGGCTAGGCTTGAGGTAGTTAGCTGGACAATTAGACAGATGAATCTCTCTGAAGGTATTGAACTGTGGATGCAGGTTAAATATTCTGTAAGATTTAAATGTTCAAATGATTTGACCCCTTAAAAAGTCTTATGGTTGTAGCTTGAAATCTCAAGGTGAGTGTATTTTTTATTATTTAAAAAGAAGCTTCAACAGTAGTCAGCTTCAACATATGGCCTTGTCAAGCTAACCAAATAAATACCTTCCTAAAATACATAAAACCCATAAATGTTATGTTTCACATCTAGAAAAAGATTTAACTTTTCAAAACCTGCCAGAATGAACCTGCAAGTACTTCTACATTGATTTTGTGACATAATACGGTCCACTGAGGAACTGACAAGAACAACAAGAATTTAGTTGGCTACTCTTACCTCATTGCCGTACATCATGAGGTGGTGTGTAGTTATGAGAGCTTTAAAGACCACCACCCAGCTTTGATTTGCTGTCCTCTCAAACAATGTGTCAGCCAAGTGAGGTATATTCACGTTCACATCATTGGTGCAGTGCATTAGATCTGTGGACAGGAGCAAAAGTGATGACTGTACATGATGCAGGATGATTAGTGGACTACTTTACTGGATGACATACAAACTTGGTTTTTCATCAAGAAGATCTTTTGAAAAGTAATTGGCAGTTTCGCTAGCTAGGTAGCATTTAATTGATCAAATAGTAAAGTTTTCACATTATATATGCTTATATTCATCCAAGAATCAAAAAAGTATCCTGTTTCCACAAAATATTAAGTAGGACAATTTACTATACATGTCAACAGCATTTTGAACTTTAAAAAAACATGTTTCGAAATGGCTTTTTCATAACCAAACTGTTCTAATCTCTGGTAATTTAGCAAAAGCTGTGATTTGGGTTAATATTATTTTTTTAAGGAACTCACAACTTGATTGAAAAAAAGGTAATTTCACCAAATATTGAGTTCTTCACTCTTCTAAAGTTAAAACCCTGGCTTTGTGTTGAATACAACACAAAATGAATACAAACTATCTAAAAACATGGCATATTTTAGTTACGTCAAAAAAACAATGCTTTACATGACTGCATTTTCATCATAAATTTGAAAGAAATGGAGAAACGCAGTAGTTTACAGAATACTTAAACACATAACTACATGTCATAACCCAGAGAAACTGTGAATATTTAAGTGGTTTGTGCTCCTAAAAAAACAACAGATTATGTTATCAAATGTATATGGGTCATTAAGAAATTTAGGGGTTTATTAGTGTGAAATCCATAACATAATGATTTTGTAAATGGCCTGCACAAAACCCAGACCTGAACCACTTTAAGCATTTCTTACAATTATTATTCAGAAAGTTGACAGAGAGCCAGAGATTCACTTCTGTGCAAATCCTGGCCTCCCTGTTAGAACATCTGTCTTTCCAGAAAGATATGAGCAGTTAGGAAGGACTTACACAGTTAAAAGCAAAGGGTTTTAAAATAAAATGTTGTTTTTGTTAAGGCATTCGCATATTTCAGGCTGCATGGTGGGTATAAAATCTAAATGAGAATCTATTCCCCATTTGGAAATTGTTTACTCACCCTTACGTTGTTCCAAATCCATTAAAAAAGACTGTTCAAATAAAGATATCTTTAATCAAATCTGAGAGATTTATGTCTCTCCACTGAAAGTCTCTTCATCCAAGACTAGTGTTTCTCAACCACATTCCTGGGGGACTACCAACACTGCATGTTTTAGATCTCTCCTTTGTCTGTCACAACCATTACAGGTCTTTCATTCCCTGCTAATAGGCTGATGAGCTGAATCAGTTGTGTATGTTTAAGGAGACATTGTAAATATGCAGTGCTGGTGGTCATAGAGGAACGTGGTTGAGAAACACTGCCCAAGACATTTCCAAAAACAACATAGACTAAACAAAAGCTTTTATTCACGTATAAAACTGGATCGCCAAACAATGTTCACAGCATTCACTTCTGATCAGAGAAGCTTAGCCATGCTTGCTTGATACGCAAGAACCAATGAAGTTCATTCTTGCATGTCAGGCAGGTTTGGATGAGCATCTGTTTATGTTCACTGATTAATGTTTATGTGAATAAAAGCCTAAATGAAAAGCTATAGTTTGTAATTTCAGCTGTCATGTCTCCTCAGAATTTGTTGTATGTAGATATTTTTTGTATCCTCTTACGCATGTTTTGTAGAGTGTATATATTTCAGTATAGGAACAGAAGTGTTTCAGATTTGATTAATAATATGGACAGAAGAGTTTATCATTGGAACCATGTGACAGTGAGTCAATAATGACAAAAAAGCAAAACATATTTCATTCCATTAATCTAGAAATGAATTATAATGCTTATCAGTTGTCTACTTCAGTGGCTTACCATTATATTAAGATAAAATGTGCAGTTTCACTGTGAGAGAACAATCCGAAATGATTCCGGTCTCTTATCAGACATGACATTGCTTTGAATAGCAGTTACTCAAAAGTTACACTTGATTTCTCACTAATTAACAGATAATATTCACTGTGTCGGTGAATGCTAGCACATATTTCGCGAACACCTGCTACCTTTATTACTGTGGATGAGCCTGGCAGTTTATTAGATCTGCAGGCTGCTTTCTTTATGTCCCCCACAGGACATCTGCTCCGGACTCATTAACTGACAGCTCAATTGATAACCAGCTACATTAATCAACTTTACGCTTTAGTTATTAATAGTGATGTTACTTGTTTTTGACCTGCACAGAATACAAAAGTGAATCCTAAAATTGTGTGCAATGTTTCGAAACACATACGAGATGAATTCTGCCAAAGCTCACATTCGATAAATTAATTAATTAAATAAATGAATAAATAAAATCAGTTAATCCGCTAACCCTATTGAGATTAGTGTGTTCTTTTGACAAAAGTCTTATTCATAAGGCAAGACCCTGCAGATTAATAGTGTAAAAACATCTTATAATTATCACCCAGTTACATTAAGAACATATTTGGTATTATACGATTTCTATAATGTTGTTTATGTTGGCTAATTATAATTTTTTTTAATATATATTTGTATGATTATATATGTGTTGATGTGTTGAGCAAAGATGCTATTTTAAATTGTAAAGATCAAGAGAGCAGCCTGACATACTGCTTCAAAATATTTTAAATGTTTCTCAAAATAAAATATATTGAGTTTAAAGGTGGGAAACTTTTTCGTTTTTTCAGGGTGTCTGCGGGGTCTCAAAATGTCCAAAAATTCAAAAATACAATTTAAGGCCTCTGAAATATGCTGTTGTTGGTCTTAAATACTTTTAAACAGGTTTTAATTTATTTTTGTAAAATTGTCCATGTAAAGCTGTAGCCAATCAGTAAAACCAACTAATCCATCTAAAAAAACGTTTAAAACATTAACATTTATTAACTATTTAGCAGTATGGTTTAATAGTCTTCCTTACATCCTTACAACAACATTTGTTTAAAAGTTCTCCATGTTTTCATGGATAAATTTATGTTGTGCATAAATGTTGTTTATTATAGCTTTTAAACTTTGAGACATTCTGGTCGTCTTTAATTTAATATTGTTTAAGTTAAATTGCATTTTTGAAAAATATTCTGTTTTGCTTTGATTTTCAGAAGACTTTTAGAATAGTATCTCATTGTGAATGTCGATTCAATAAATGACACCAAAAAATTACTGTTTGTTTATAAAGCATTTTAAAATAATCTAGAAGTTAAAGGAGTAGTTACACTCAAAATAAATATTAACCTTGATTTAGACAATCACAAAACCATCAAACCGTTTAATTTTTACTCAAGGTTATGATGCCATCAGAATCTTATACCGACCCATGTCTAAAATGCATGCACTTCTTTGCTTTAAAAATTCTAAAAATTGAATGGTCTAAAATTCTTGGTCCATGTTAGATTTCAACAAAGGGGATTTTAGGAATCTTATTTTATCAGCTCCATAAATCATAAAATATACACAATTTGGTGTAGGTAAGTGCTGCAGAAGTGACTTATGGAGGTCATTAAAAAAAAACGGCCTTTAAAAATAGACTATAAATGACATCCACTGACATTTAAAGATAGAGTGCAGTAAATAAAAGTATTGTATTGCATTCAGGGTGGCTTTCCCCATTAGACTAAATATATATATTTTTTTGAAATTGCTAAAATTGTCAATAATGACAGGTTCATGAGCAAAAGTGTTTTTGTCTGCAGTGTCTCGCCCTAACAAATGCAACGTAGCAAATATCTTCAAAATAACCCATATGAAACACCTAAGCTACAAAACATCACTGCATTGATATTGCTGTCACCTTCAGTGACTCAGACCAGAACAGTGGAAGTCAACAGAGAAGAAAAGCATGAATACCGGGTCCACTCACAAGCAATCTGAGCCTATGTTTCGTCATGCGATGCCCTTGACATAGCATGTTTCCTATAATAATGATGATCGACATAATAATCTGAGTTATAATGATTCTCTGTTGTGGAATGCATCATCTAGACAGAATGCATTGCGAGCAAATGTGTAATTAAATAAATAAATAAAAATGTGTAACGCCTGCGAGTGTGAGCTCCCTGTCGTATGCAAATTGGTCAGCGTGTCAATCACGCATTCAAATTAGCATTAACCGTGAACGTGCCACGGTGACCTTCAGTTAATTGATGAAATGAACTCTATAATGGCAGTCCAGAAGTCATCTGCTGTAATCATCTGAATTAGGTAGTAAATACCAGCAAACGAGCGGCCAAGCAGAGAGAGAGAGAAAGAGACAGACAGAGAGAGAGAGAATCTAAATGACAAGTGCACAACACAACGGGTGACATTTCGCAGCGTTTTTTCTGCTTTAACCTACAATCAAGGTGCTTCTTCTTGGGCGCGCTGACTTCGTGCGTCGTGGCCTTGCACACGGCTTTGCTGATCGCAGATCCGGTCATGCTGTGCTGAGCCGCGGCGATCCGGTCCGTGATGGACTGTCCCGACATATTACGATTTTCAATAAATCGTCTCTCAAAACAGATCTATTCACTGCAGGGGTGTGTGGGAGCCTGCTCCGTGGCTTGAGTCGGTCTTGCGGAGAGCGCTACCCTGATGCGAACCGGACACGGGCGAGGATGCTCTGACATTCAGATAACGGCAATCACCGCGCGCTGAAACGATGGCAATATAATGACAGATCGTTATTTAAATAGGCCTACCGTTCAGCACGCGCAAAAGAAAAGGGACACCGTGTTACTCGCTAGCCTCCGGTGTTGCCGGTTAACCATGTAATTGCTGCTTGAACGGACGAAAACGGAGCGAACCCGGTTCGATTGGAGTGAAATCGATAATTCTAGCCGCGGAAAATCTCGCCTTGATTCATTGCATGCGCGGAGTCGGTGCATCACGGAATTTGATACCGAGCATCATTTTCCAAATTCCTTCAGCGCGTCAACGTGAATGAATGCATGCGCCACGGACAGGGGGAATATTCAGACGGATATCCCAGATGGAGCGGAGGTCCTCCTAGACGTGGAAATTCAGCATCTCGTCGATGACATCTTTGATGAAGCAACAATTCCAATTTCCTATAGTTAACAGTCGGACGCTCCGCGCAAAATGGCAGTATCAGAATCAGGTGACTGGAGAGGGGGGCGATTGGCCTGTGTCAGAATATCTGGGGTGGGCACCTTAAGGTGGAATTTCCGCACTGCTTTAAAACCCCCTCTGTATGTACATGAGAATGCATCAGACGGCCATTTCAGAGTCTTTAATGGTGCGTCTTGCTTCTTTTAATCGCACAGCCACCGAATTGCGCAGGGCTACAATAACATATTCAAGAGCTTACATGGAGGAAAAATACTGCATGCTTTATTTTTAATGCAAGAGGTTGCATGGAAACGTTCTAGCTCGGAGCTGCGTTTTACAAGATTACAAATGACACTTTTAATCCATTCAATGCATCTTTGCTAAACACAATTATTGTCAAATGAATATGAAGAGATCAGAAGCTAAAAACTCTAAGAAAGTTGCTCCTAAAATGAGCATTTTTCTCAGCCTCCTGTGTTTATTTTCCGTTCTTTTACATTAAAGGTAATGAAAATAACATATTCTTAGCCACAAAAGTGACACTACTGAACCTAAACATACGGAGACTGAGAAAAATGCACATTTTAGTAGAAAAATCCAGATGGCACTTCTAGGCTTTTGCACTCTGCATATGTATATTTTGAATCAGAATCTCAGTTTTGTGTTAAATATTATAATGTGCATACCCTCAGTGGACACTTTATTAGTAGACACATTGTAGCTTCTTGTTTACACAAAAATATAATCAGCCATTTAGGCTGCTGAACTTTAAACCGAGCGTTAGATTTTTGCAAAGAAAGATGATTTAATTCAGTGTTTTTCAACCATGTTCCTGGAGGCACACAAACACTCCATGTTTTGGATGTCTCCTTTGTCTGTCACACCCATTACAGGGCTTTCTGTCTTTGCTGATGATCTGAATCAGATGTGTTTGATTAAGGAGAATTGGAAAATGTGCAGAGCTGGTGGTCCTCCAGGAACGTGGTTAAGAAACACTGATTTAAGTGATTTTCAATGTGATGTTGGTTTCAGAAACTGCAGATCTACTGGGATTTTCACGCACAACCATCTCCAGGGTTTACAGAACCAAATATCCAGCAGTTATCTGGGGGGCAATGATCCCAAGCTGATATAAGCCAACAGCAGTAACACAAAATAACCACACTTACAACTGAGGTCTGCAATAAAGCATGAACATGACACTGACACACAATGTCCTCCACAGTCAGCAGATCTCAGCTCAATAGAGCATGCCGTGGAACAAAAGATTCACATCATGTGTGTACAGCCAACAAATTTGCAGCATCTGTGTGACATCATCATGTCAATAATGGACCTAAATGTCTGAGGAATGGATCAGTGCCACATATAATTTACGAGTTCTGAAGGGGTTGAATGTGATCTCAGCTAAGGGTACCTAATAAAGTGGCCAGTGAGTGTAATTTGAGGAATAAGCCACTTAGTGGTGTAATACTGTGCATACTTTTTCAGAAAAACTCAACATAGCACAGAAGAAAGAACAGTGTATACAGCTTAGATCATGTGACGGGCTAAATACCATATTTAGGAGCATGGAGGGGAAAATACTGCATTTTATTTTTAATGCAAGAGATTGCAGAATAACATTCCTACATACTGGAGCTGTGCAAGCCATGCATTTTAATAGCTTTGAATCTTACTTAAAACTGGATCAGAGTTCACTTTTCATACAAGCTTTCAAACTGTCTGTACACGAAATACATTTTAACCTAGATTAGTGTCATAATATAGCTGATACCAGGCTAAAATCAACACGGTTCACCTGTAAACAAAACACTGATGAATCAAATCAACGCTCCGCCAGCACAGTGTATCTAATTATGTGAGATTTCACGCTACATATAATCAGCACAGTTCTTCTTCACAGTCCCCGCCATTTTGTTACATGGCTCATCTCTGGAAGATGAATCTCAATGTTTTGGGTGCCATATTGGATGGCTGAGTCCCCTTGAACCTATGATAACCTGTTATTTGTTTCTTAGTGATTTATATCTTTCTGTGTTCATGACTTGGAACACGTCATGCATCTGGATCGAACCCGCTCTTTGGTGTTGTTGTTGTACCCGGGCAGGGCCACCACATCTGGGTCTGTGTTGTTGACGATGTTTTCCTCGTGGGCCAAAATGTGATCCACCAGACATTTTGCTGCCGCCTCAATGTTTGAGTTCTCCTTAAGTCGGGCATAAAATGAAACAGAATAAAGGTGTCATTCAGATATTATTATTGCAAAGCATAAAAATTTAATTATTGCCACACACACGCTAAATAAACTCTCCGGCCACTTCATTAGGTACACCTGTCTAACTGCTTGTTAATGCAAATTTCTAATCAACCAGTCACATGGCAGCAACTCAATGCATTTTGGCATGTAGACATGTTCAAAATGATCTGATGCAGTTCAAACCGAGCATCAAAATGGGGGAGAAAGAGTGTTTAAGTCACTTTAAACATGGCATGGTTGACAGTGCCAGATGGGCAGGTCTGAGAATTTCAGAAACTGCTGATCTACTGGGATTTTTATGCACAACCATCTCTAGGGTTTACAGAGAATGGTCTGAAAAAGAGAAAGTATCCATTGTGTGCGAAAATGCCTTGTTGATGCAGGAAACTGGGGCTACAATTTGCACAGGCTTACCAAAATTGGACAATAGTACATTGGACAAGCGTTGCCTGGTCTGGTGAGTCTCGATTTCTGCTTTGACATTCGGATGGTCAGAATTTGGCGTTAATATGAAAGCATGGATCCATCCTGCCTTGTTTCAATGGTTCAAGCTGGTGGTGGTGTAATGGTTTGGGCATATTTTCTTGGCACACTTTGGGCCTATTAGCATCATGTCAACGCCACAGCCTACCTGAGTATTGTTGCTGACCATGTCCATCCCATAATGACCACAGTGTATCCATCTTCTGATGGCTACTTCCAGTAGAATAACGAGCCATGACACAAAGTGGGAATCACCTCAGACTGGTTTCTTGAACATGACAATGAGTTCAGAGCAAAATCTCTGAGGAATATTTCCTGTATCTTGTTAAATCTATGCCCACAAAGTATTTAGGCAGTTCTGAAGGCAAAAGGGGGTCCAACCCGGTACTAGTAAGGTGTGCCTAATAAAGTGGCTGTTGAGTGTATATAATAGTAAGAAATGTACATGTTTTTTTAAGTCTCATAAAAGTGAATTGAAAATGATTTGAAAATTGTCAGCTTTCCAATGACATACAATTTAAATGCAGTCTATTTCTTTAATGCCATTTCCAGAAATAACTAAAAAACCTGCTGGATAAGTTGGTGGTTCATTCCGCTGTGGCGACCCCGGATTAATAAAGGGACTAAGCCGACAAAAAAAAGAATGAATGAATGAATAAATTTTTCATAAGTAATGTTTCTTCATTTATTCATTTTCTTTTCGGCTTTGTCCCTATATTAATCTGAGGTCGCCACAGCGGAATGAACCACTAACTTATCTGGCATATGTTTTACACAGCGGATGCCCTTCCAGCTACAACACATCAATGGGAAACACAAACTCTCATTCTCACTCATACACTACTGAAAATTTAAGCTTACCCAATTCACCTATAGCGCATGTCTTTAAACTTGTGGGGGAAGCACTCGAGCACTCGGAGGAAACCCAAGCTAACACGGGAGGGGCATGCAAACTCAACACAGAAACGTCAACTAAAGCAGCCGAGGCTCGATCCAGCGACCTTCTTGCTGTGAGGCGACAGTGCTACCCACTGCGCCACCATGTTGCCAAGTAACTTTTAACAGAGCTAAATTTTCACAATGTCTCCTATCATACTTTTCTTCTTTTCAAGAGTTCACACTTTGCTGATGATTAATTATAAGCTACTTTGGCATGCTGTCCCGGGAGAGAGCCCTGAGCTCATAAGATCCTCGAGCCCGGGGCTCCCTCCCATTGCAAGTCGATAGGGGAGTTTGAGCTCAGGTAGATCTCAAGAACTCCCCTGCTGTACTAACAAATGAACAGATAGTGCTTGCTCTTAAGAGATAACTAGTTACTAGGAGCATGTCTATGGTGACGATTTGAATTAGTCATGTTGTTGCATGTTTTTGGATGGTGGGAGGAAACCAGGGAACCCATGTGAGCAAGGGGAGAAAGTGCAAACTCCGCACTGAAATGTCTGCTGGTTTGGTAAAGCCTGGAACCAGAGACGTTCTTGCTGTGAGGCAACAATCCAAGCACTGGGCCACCGTGTCACCCATCTAGGAAGAAGGAGGAGTAGGGGTGGAAGGGGAGATACTTCAAAACGAAGGTAGCAGTGGTACGTAACCCAGGGTATTTGTAGTAGCTTAGGAATCGTCTGATAGGTGCATTGGAATTGGATAATGCGGATCCAGACGCTAGCAATCATAAGCACGCGATCCTCTTGAAATTAATTTATAAATAAACTTCACTTAGTTTGGCTTGAATAAAAACATATATATATATATATGTATATAAATAATTTTTTTTAGTTGGCTACACAACAAACCACTGTTGTCCAATTACTTTTCAAATTAAGTTAACTGTCCTAGTAAACCATTAAAAATACACTTTAAGCTGAATAATTGCAAATTAGCTAGTAAAATATCATGTACTGTCATTGTGGAAAATATCGAATAAATCAGTTATTTTGAACTACAGTGTAAAAAAGTTAAATTTAAATTTTAAGGCAACAAATGTCAGGACATTTTTGAGTTTACTCAACCTAAATTGAGTCAAGTGAAGTAATTGAAAGTTGAGTCAACTCAAAAATGTCCTGAAGTTTGTTGCCTCAAAATTTTACATTTTCAACTTAGTTTTTTTACAGATTACATACTGTTTACAGAAGTATTGCTCAACTTAAAATGTATTATTGTTGCTCATACTAAAACAAATAAACCGTAGGATATCCTTGTGGAATCTGTGATGCATTTTGGTGAAGATTATTACCAGAAAGAACAATTTCAAAGTGTCTTGCAAGATCATAAATGTTCTTACTGTCACTTTTGATCAGTGCATATTTGTGGAATAAAATAATTAATTTACTTTAAAGAAATCTTACTAC